GAAGCTTGCAGAGAACTACACATTCAAGTTGACTGACTTCATCCATGATTGTTTTCGTTCCAGAGCTAACCGGGCACAAACCGCCAAGAACAGGAAAAGGTTAGCTTTGCCCGCCATGAGCCGACGTTCTGAAGATTCAAACTTGTCGATCGCTGAAAAGATGAACGTGCGGGCTCTCAAGTCGGCCGGTTTAAAGACCGTGCCCCAGCAGAGCAACATGTCGGAGTGGCTCGCTTTTCGGAAGTGCCTTGATGTTCAGGGGGATAGGCACGCAGGGTGGGAGGACATCTTTTCTACGGTCCTCGCTTCGTCAACCATCCTGGCACAGGGCAACAGAACAGAAGACCTTGAGTTGGCTGCAGGATTCATGCAGTGTTTTACTGCGCAGTCAATGTCTACGGACGCCCTGACGAACGTGCCGTGGGCAAAGGAGATCCGCCATCTGTCCGAGTTGGAACATGACTCACTGTGGGATCTGAGCTTGCCTACCGAGTACGTCCCTGGGACATCAAGGCCGGCGGTAGACGTCGTGCCCACCATCTATGTGGTGACTTCCGATTCAACTTTGGCTCTGATCACTGGAAAGGGTAAGACTTTGAAGAAGTACACCTTGAAGGAGGATCTGGGATTGCGAAAATCAGACATGGTTCTCGAAATCGGTCATGACATGCTCTGGGGTAAGGATTTACAACAGCTCTGCAAAGCAAATATTTCCATGATCAAGGAGCTGATGGCAAAATATTCTTCTCATGGATCAGCCATCAGGGTTATTTCGGTGATCTTTTGGTCTGGAAATGAAATTTGTGGGGAATATGGTGTTGAACCCCTTCCCATTTGGGGGCAGAGGGAACCACAGGGTGACTGGAATGCCATCATGGACAGGGTCAAAGGCAACATTGTTTGGTGGAACAATCAGCTCAAGGAGTTGGGAGTGGATCAGGCCGCCCTAATCGGCGAGCCCGACCCGCTCACTTATGGGTTGAGTCTCATCTTCACGACGTTTATTGAACGTCTGAAGGAATGGTTCCACAAGGAGATTGCCAGTGACAACGATCGGATTCGGTGGATCAAGAATGACATGCTTCCACCGAGGCTTGAGCTCAGGGACTACTTTCACGCATTCGAGACCGAGCTCAACCGAAGCGAGATGATCGGATATGTCATGGCAACTCTCCACATGCTGCACATGACGGACATTTTGATCCCTCAGTACAACCTGTCTTTGTACAAGCGCAGGCGCCCTGCAGGTGAAGCTACAATGCGCGATGTCCCGCCAAAGATGGAGCACCTTCCAGTCAGGTTTGTGCAGGTTCCCAACTCTCTCCGGGAGAAGGTGAACAAGCCTGCACCGAGTGTCTCGACCCCAGAAAGCTTTACAGCGGAGGAGTTGAGGGATCGCCCGACTGATGCTGGTGTCGCCGAAGATGATGATGAGGAAGGCGACCCATGGGATGCTCTGGATCCCGATGAGCACGAGGGCCCATCTTTTGGCAAAGCCAAGGCAAGCCACGAAGCTCCACCTGACCCCAAGGCGAAAGCTCCAGCGACACAGGAGGATTCAACTCAGGCCACCTCAGCTGGTGAGCCCCTGCAAGAAAACGAGATCAAGGGTACCATTGTGCCAAAACACGCATTGGGACACCTTGACAAGTATCGTATCACTTTGGACGAAAACATTAATGCAGAAGTTGTTGAACATTGTGTCGTCGATTCCCATCCCTGCGAATTGATTGTCAAGACCTGTTGGGAGATGGATGGGGCAAAGGAGCTAAAATTTCCTGACCGCATGGACCGGCACAAAACTAAGGTCAATGCAGTGACGCGTGGACAGCCTGGTCAGGACACCTCTGGATTTGATGAAAACATGTGGCTTGACCTTGATGATTTCTTTCGAATGTTCAACCAAATGCTGCCAGCCAAGTTGCCCAGAATGACTGTTGAAGAGCTCATCTCATTGCTCTACTGGGACAGCAAGTGCCGTTTTGAGTTCCAGTGCATTGCCGGGTACCAGAAGGCAACCCGTAAAGGGTTAGCCTACTGGCCCATCAGGATCCGCGCAGTGCAGGGGCATACGAAACGTGCCATGGATGCCGCTTCAGCTGAGGACACGTTCAATGCAGTGGAAATCTATGCTCTGTCTGGAGCAGCAGCGATCCAGAAAATGAACGCCAAAGGTAAAAAGATTACCACTCCTCAGATGTGCCCTGGCGTAGTTTATCACAGGACTACAAAAGGCAATTGGAAGGGCATCATTGAGAATGGCTTCGTGGCTGGAGGAGGAGAACGAAACTCGTCAGGAAGAGCTCACTCTTATTTTAGCGACGTTCGTGTTGATGAGAAAGAGTATGTGAGCGGTTTGCGTGCTGAGCGACCCATTGAAATCAGGGTTGCAATGGCAGAAGCTGTCAAGGCTGGAATTGGGTTTTTCAGAACAGCTTCCGACGGCATTCTCACAAGCGATGTCGTCCCGCCACAATACATCATCTCTGTCGATGACACGGCCAAGAAGGTGAATCTTTATCGTCGCCAGCAGGAGATTGCACAGTCTGCAGCGAGCAGTGGGGGAGAAGTTGGAGTCCAGCAGCTTGTCGAGACCTTTGAGGCCAAGGCATCGAAAAGGACGGGTTCCACATCTCCGGCCGCCTCAACTGGCGCGCCCGCTGCAAAGACATTTTTCCCAGGAAAGGTGAAGCCTCCGCCACCAAATGTGGCCCAACTTGCCGGTATGCCTGGATATGCAAGCAGCAGACTGTTGCCCCCTCCTCCAAAGGGTGAAGCTCCGAAACCTCCTGCAGCAAAGGTTGAAGGACCAAAGACACCGCCAAAGACACCTCCAAAATCATCACCGAAGGAAGGGACTTCTGCACCTCATGCACCAGAAGTTCCAAAAGCTGTGACCTCAGAAGTTGATGCAGCGGCAAAGGATGAACCTGCAAAGAAGAAGGCAGCCCTGACAAGCGTGCCCGCAGCTGTGCCTGCGGCATCATCGGCTGCGGCCTTCTTGGAGCCTGTTCCAAAAGTTGCACCACCAAAGGCAGTGCAGAAAGATCCAAAAGCTCCAGTTGCAGAGTCACCCAAAAAGACGCCAGCAGCAACATCAAAGTCACTGGTGCCAAAGCAGAAGTCTCGCCCTAAAGGCGATGACCAACCTTCGAAGAAAGAGGTGAAGAAGGAGGACAAGAAGCCGGTGCCGGTCAAGATCGAAGTCACGCAATGCTCAAGATGTTTTGCACAGACTTTCAAGGGACAGATTGAATGCGATGTGTGTGGATTGATGCTCGAAGGGATCAACAAGGCCGATCGAACCAAGATTGCAGAACGAAGAAAGGCCGCCCTTCACAAGCTGGGCTTGTACTATGATTTTCGTGGTGAGTACCTGCAGAGCATCACACACGGCCAGCTTGAAAATTTGGGTTTGTTGGACGATCAGGCAAGAGGTAGCTCAAGTCCGGAAGCCGGTTTATTGGCAAGGGCTAAGAGTCGTTTCGATCGTGCCTTGAGTTTGGGCTATGTGTCTGTGGCTGACAGGTTTGCCCAGGACGCCACATTCGCAGAGAGCGTGCTGAACGAGGGGGAGAACGAGTACGATTGTGAAAGGTACGACCTCCTCAAATCTGCACATTTGCCAAAGCCTGGTCGCACCAAAGCTCAGGTCAAGATGGGTATTTCTGAGCAATCCCAGCTGGAGCACAATGCAATGAGGCTGGTTTACTTGGATTTGGCCAACCGTCATGATGTCCCAAAGTCTTTCAGGTACATCGACCAGCCATGGTTCTACATGTACCGGACCGAGATCTACTCCGAAGAAGAGTACATTGACTACCTCAGCAGGAATCCTGGACACAATCTTTTGTTGTCTTGCACAGGAGTTGACAACATTGCTGTTCATGATGCTGAACGTCATTTGAGGTGGATTAAGGGACAAAATGAAGAGCTGTACAAGCAGAACGCAGCAGAGAAGAAGAAACAGTCTGACAGGGCCCGCGAACAAAACGAGGCCAAGCGCAAAGCTGAGCAGACTGGTGCGTATGGCCAAGGTCCCTCCAAGAAAGGCACCGCCAAACCGGTTGCCCGACCATCCACAAGCGTAGAGGTAGCTTCATCATCCACGTCAGCAAGTCAGTGGCTCAACCGCCCTCAGCAAAGTCATTCCCACGATGATCGCCGTTACACTGGAGAATGGCAGAAGTGGCATGGACGCTGGTATGAGAAAGTCATCAGGCATGGCCGAGTTGAGTGGGAAGAGGGATAAGTTGTGACACTGCTTGCATTGACGATCGGTTTTGTATAATAGCCGCCAAGTGTGTTTTCCCTTGGGTTTGCAAAGAGCAGGTTCGGTGAGGCAGGTCTTAAAGACCTCGCCCTGGTAAATGCGGCATCCTCGCCGTAACCGGCTCACCTGAGGGGGGTGTAAAATCACCTCACATAAAACACACTGTAATATAGGTACATCCTACAGCTGTTGCGGCTTCAAGGAAAAGTAGTGTTGCCGCAGGTGCTTAACGGTTTTCTTCCCACTTGTTATAGGTTTATCAGTCCATTTGGGCGTAATAGGAATTACCCCTGCTGAAACCTGTAAATACAGTTACATCATGGCCATGTTGAGATTTTGGGATATTCTTCGTGATCAGAGGCACTTTTTTCGTTGTAGCCGTTGCCAGGCACTTTCCCAATCACCATAAGGCTCCTGTGCATAGTGTGGCCATGAGTCTGACTCTTATCGAAAAACATCGCTGAGATTCGTTCGATTTCGGGTTTTTTCGGGTACCAAAAGAAGGGTTGATTTCTGGTCGAAGATCCACAAGATTAAAAAAAGGCTGTGATTGTCGTGGTGATCATTCTGTTCGTTATAATATGATCTCTGTGATCTCCAATTTTGATTGATGATCTCATCTTGAAAAAATCCTCAACGTTCTTTAAACGTTTTTTTTTTTTCAGTTTTTTCCAGTTTTTTCCCCATTTTGTGCCGCATGTTTTTCGGCAGTTTTTGGCGCTCCGAGGCGAAGATTCCACGCGTTTTGTCACAGCCTCTTGGGATGCCACGATGCACGTCTTTGATTTGACGCGAAAGGAGCTGGATAAGTCGCTCAGCTGGAACTGGCCGGACATGACATGGTAGATGTAGAATGATGTAGATAAGTTAGATAAGTTAGATAGGTTAGAAATCGCTGTAAAGATGAATGCAGATATGATATCTATGAGTATGGAATATGAAGGAGTATGAATATAAACTTAAAAACAAAACTGAACACAAAAAAACGCGCAGATGCGGAAAATCGGGCTCCTTGTGCTGTAGATTCGACATGATGACGACGACCTGACGACCATGACTGAGGACACTCCGGAAGCAGAACGCTGGGCGCCAAGCACACGCATTCAGTGAGACTCCTGATAAACTAACAGCCAAACCAAGCAAAGAATGGAGGGTTCATGTTTACAAAGCATCAAAATCCATGAGCATCCAACATCCATCAAAATCCAGAAAAACATCAAAATCGATTAAAATCCATCGAACTCCATTAACATCCATCAACATCTATTAAAATCCATCTTAAAATCCATAAACATCCATGAAAATCAATGAACATCCATAAAAATCCATAAAAAAATCATGAAAATCCATAAAAATCAATGAACATCCATAAAAATCCATGAAAATCCATGAAAATCAATGAACATCCATAAAAATCCATAAAAATTCATGAAAATCCATGAAAATCAATGAGCATCCATAAAAATCCATGAAAATCCATAAAAATCAATGAAAATCCATGAGCCATAAAAATCCATACTGTGACTTCGAAGCTGCTACGAGCAGCCGGATCTGTTTTCCACAACAGGAAGGGTCATCGGCCGGGGCTAGCTATTTGAGCGCCGAATTGGTGTACGCACGGCCCCACTTTGCCCTCTCGAGCAAAGAAACCCTGCGCCACATCTGTGTCTACCAGAATGGATGGTAAGCAATCATCGCACCAAAGTAGAGTCATTCGCTTCCATCTTCTTTGATAATTAATTGATGATAGCAGCCTGGAGAGAGCATGAATTAAAAGGCAAAACCCTAGCTCCAGCAAATCTTTCACAGGAATTGGGTAAGATGTAGGGAATCAAACACCCACCCAAAACAAAGCAAACATTCCGGGCGGCACCAGAAATATCTGTGCCTGTGAGGAAATGAAGCAGCCGCGTGGTGGCTGGGTAGTCCCAGCTTAAGGTTTTGATCGCCCATGCGACATCCCAGACTGCCAAACCATATGAATTTTTACCGAATGCCCCCAGTGAACCCAAAGCAAAACCAAACAAAAAGCAACAAAAACACAAACAGAAACCAACCACAAGAAAGTGAGGAGGCACCCGGTACCAGCTATCTATTCCGCAAGTCTCTACACTGGCAAGCGGCCTTCATGGCTGAGCGAATTCTTCCAGCGATGCTTTCAATCCAGCCAGGATCTTGGGCACAATGGTGGCTGTAGACCTAGGGAGATTCCCTCTTCGGTGAACGTGACGAAACAACACTTTCAGCCTTTCCATGTCTTCCTTGGCAAGGCGGCTTTCAAACTCGGACCACTGATTGCACTCTTTCACACCTTCATAGGACCCAAGCGCGTGGAAAATGGCCATCTTTTCTGCTGGCGTCAATGGCTGGTCCTTCACTTGGTTCTGACCTTGGTCCTGGTTCTTTGGAGGCCCGGGCTTGTGGTCAGGTTGTGCTCTGGCTCCTGGAAACTTGCTGAGCTGTGCCAGCAGGTCTTGCTGTACGGCGGCCACTTTGCTTTCCATTTCTTGCATCAGTTTGTCCTTTTCAGCTGTAGCTTCCCTGGCTGCCTTCTCTGCCTGGAGCATCTGCAGTTCCTTTTCGAGTCGGTTTTCGCGGTCAGACTTCCCGCGCCGGGGTTTCTTTTCTTTCTTCTTGCTGTGTCTGCGCCGTGAATGGGATGATGAGGAATCTGAAGATGACCAAGAATATTCCCTCTTGCGCACATATGAGCTATTTTGGTGCCTGCGGCTGTGTTCCCTTTGCCTCTCCTGCTTCTGGGAGCTCTCACCTCTGTCGACCTCAATGCGAATCACTTGGGCTGGCTGGGTGTTGTGGGATGGCCTCCACTGGGACGCTGACCAGCCCCAGCTTCTTCCCTTCTGTTGGCCCCAGCCCATCGATTCTGCACTGGACATTGCGGAAAGAAACACTAAGAGCAGCCGGAGGCCAGCCATGGCAGACACGCTGACTACACTAGGTCGGCAAGCTAGACGGCAGCACGGACCTACTTTGTTCTGGGCTTAAAGGACCTCGTGACAAAGGCTTTTGAAAGCAGGTGAACATACAAACGCTCTGCAAAACCGGAGCTCTTCTGCAAAACTATCCTTCCACATACCAAAGATTATGCGTCTTAAACGTTGGCGGCCAAAATGTTGCCTAGCAAGGGCTACCAAGAAAAGGCCAAGGTCATGCTCTTTCTCCCTGGTTTTTAAACCTATTTGCCTGTGCCGGGCCAGTCGGCCCCACAAAAACGCACGAATACTGCTTTGCCGAACATCCCATGGGGGTGGGAAATCGAACAAGCTTTGTTTGATATCAAGTACAAGGCAGTCAAGGTCAAGAACAACATCAAGCCAATGCAACTTGCGGGATTGTGGGGCTGCATCAAATTTGACAGTGTACATGGCATGCGTCATGTCAACCAAACAACTGAAACAAAGCAGTTTGGAAATCATGACAACATCATCAATGTAGCGCCGGGCAACGACGGCTTGGTGCCAACAGGGAGCAGAACAAGACAGTCCAAAGTTGAGGGGCCACTGCTGGACCCACATGTGCTCTTCCCATGCTAAGACTGCACTGGCAGCAATTCTGGAAAGTAAACCTCCTATTGGCAACCCGCTCATGCGGATGATGGTGCTCCCAAGGCTGCAAAAAGGGATGTACATGCAAGCCGCAAAGCAAAACAATAGATCACGGAAAAGGAAACAAACCAGTTTAGGAGAAGTAATGGCTGGATTACCTCCTAGGTACCCTTGAACTTTCTTTCGGCGGAGGATAGTCACTGAAGTGGTCTGAGACTTGCGCGCAACATCATGGAATATGTTAGCCATGCAATCAACTGCTGTTGAAGGCTGCACAACTTCAAAGAACTGGCCCGCGTCTGCAACGACACCGTTGAGCAAAGGCTTAACACACCCACATTTGCAGCACTGCAAGCCAAAGTCAATGTACTCAAGGTTACGGCAATCTTCTAACAAGCCTGAGGTGGCATGCTTCAAGCTTGAAACTTCGGAACCATGACCCCATTTCCTGAGAATGACATCACATGCACGACTAACTAGTCTCCATCGTTGCCGAAACGGCCACTTGCAATACGCCACAATTTTGCGACAACAGCTATGCCCTATTCTGGTACACAATCGTGCCCCAGTGCTGTAGCATTTACTTTTGATTGTGACGTACATGTATGGCACCCAAGCACATGGCAAGCCAACACCAAGCCAATCATGCAGACAATAGGGGACCAAAGTGCGAAGTACAAGTTGGATAAGCAAGGTTGCATCATGTGGCATCAAGCTGGACAAAGTCCAGGTTGCAGAGCACACGGTGTAACACAGCAAAAGTGCATGGTAACATGTCAAGTCAACTTTCCACATGCGTGCCTTGTCTTTGTCATCAGGGACGCGAACTATGGTTGTCCCGGACAACAACTCACCCGCAAAACTATCATATTGTGCTTTGGTAAGTATATCCCGCGCCAAGGAGGACTGAACGGCAACATGACTGGAGACACAAGAAGTGAGACCTGCTTGGGACGCTAGATGGCACCCTTTTGGCAAACGCGCTTGCTGGCACCATGTCTGGACAGCAAGGTCAACAACTTTGGTTTTCTCTTCTAGGGAAAGTCGCTTTTTGGCTTTCATGTTCTGTCAACTTTCTGCATACCATTTCCTTGGATGGCATGCGACAGTGATGCAGAATCCAACGACAAGGCACTTTGCAAACAAAAACTTCTGGCAGCCCGGCCGTGTGACAACAAATCCTTGAAGGTAGGACATTTCCCAACAAGAACTCGTGTCTTTTTCAAGACCCATGTCACCACATGCGGCGGCCATCTTGGCGATGACCGGGCTAAGGTAGCGACCAACGATTTGCAAGGACCGACAAGACAAGGTTCCGGCACAGTCACAACAAGCAATTTCTTGGAGGGAAGACCTTCAAACTTCATGCATTGCGAAGCACGGCGCAGGACCTGTCTGCGTCTGCCAGCTGTTTGCACAAGTCCCCCAAGTTTTTCAAGCTCAACACCAAGGAAATCACACTTCCATGCCGCACGCAAGCGATTCCAAGCAACACATGAGCCGCGTGTCCCTATCCACAGAACCATGAGACGGCGAACCTGAGGGGAATAAATGTTCACAGGACCACAGAAGCCACTGGAGAGGAACAATTGCCGCTGCAACTTCCGGTACGCCACTGAAAAGCTCTGCGACCAAGCTCCAACAAGCAATGGGTCAGGATTTGGGGGCCGCACTGCGAGGTTCCTAAGTTTGAGTTCCTTACAAAGTTCCCGATCTAAACGCATTGCACCAACATGGCAGGACCAGGTCGGATCAAGACATGGCAATTTTTTTGGCCGGCGTCGCCACTGTGGCGGTCTCATCCGGCGTTTCTTTGTTTGCCGTGCTGGAAAATTTGCAGGTCTGCGCGAGAAATTACCATTGGGCCGATACGCCTTAATGGCAAGAGACTCACGTGCCCGGATTTCGCATTCTGGCCCAGATCGGACCGGCAACCACATCATGGACACAAGTGGGATACGTCGTGCAAGACGGTACCTGTGGATGCACCCGTGTGTACACTGGGCTCTAGCTCTTAAAGTCAGGTGCTCAAACAAGCGACAGACCATGCCAGAAACTTGCGGACGGGACATGCGTGAAAACCTAGCAATGCCAAGGTATTGAAACCCACGACCAAACCAAGCATACATGCCAAAAGCATCGGGCGTACTCCCCTGAGTCACACAGTTTGTGGCCCAGGCAACGAGCTTCTGCACGTGCTTCAAATGCCCAAACAAAATGGCCGCCTGGTATTCAAGATCAAGCAAAGCAAGGACTTTTCTTGCAACAGCACAATGGGACGAAATCTGCAGCCACACCAAGGATTTTACAATGAACAAAGTGGCAACTAGTTCTTCCAAAACACGGTCTTGTCTCCGCCATTTATGATCAGGGGGAATCAAAAAGGTGAGTGCAGCAACTAAAGACCGATTGCAAAGGAGAATGAAATTGCCATGTCCCTGTTTCTTTGTCAAAACACAACCTGCATCAAGCCAAATCTTCTTTTTTAAGATCTCCCACGTTTCATGGTACACACATGGTGGCTGATTGATATGGAAGGGCAGCCCGAGGAACTGCGAGAAAACTTCATTAAGCGGATCAGCCCACACAGCACTCAGAAGCAGAACAAGCCCAAATTTGGAAACCAAATTGTACCAGTCTCCTCCGTACCGTGTGGTGAACAAGTACGCTAGCTCACTTGTTTGAAAAGGCATCAAGCAGATCCAAACGAAGCAACCTAGCCTTGAAGCGTTACACTGGCAACCGTTGTGATCGGCAAATTGCGTCAAACCGGAAATGCCAGGGCTGTCTCAACTGTGACTTCGAAGCTGCTACGAGCAGCCGGATCTGTTTTCCACAACAGGAAGGGTCATCGGCCGGGGCTAGCTATTTGAGCGCCGAATTGGTGTACGCACGGCCCCACTTTGCCCTCTCGAGCAAAGAAACCCTGCGCCACATCTGTGTCTACCAGAATGGATGGTAAGCAATCATCGCACCAAAGTAGAGTCATTCGCTTCCATCTTCTTTGATAATTAATTGATGATAGCAGCCTGGAGAGAGCATGAATTAAAAGGCAAAACCCTAGCTCCAGCAAATCTTTCACAGGAATTGGGTAAGATGTAGGGAATCAAACATGAAAAATCCATAGAAATCAATGAAAATCCATGAAAATCCATGAAAATCAATGAACATCCATAAAAATCCATAAAAAATCATGAAAATCCATGAAAATCCATAAAAATCAATGAAAATCCATGAGCCATAAAAATCCATAGAAATCAATGAAAATCCATGAAAATCAATGAACATCCATAAAAATCAATAAAAATTCATGAAAATCCATGAAAATCAATGAACGTCCATAAAAATCCATGAAAATCCATAAAAATCAATGAACATTTATAAAAATCCATGAAAATCAATGAAAATCCATGAAAATCAATGAACATCCATAAAAATCCATAAAAATTCATGAAAATTCATGAAAATCAATGAACATCCATAAAAATCAATGAAAATTCATAAAAATCAATGAACATCCATAGAAATCCATAAAAATCCATGAAAATCCATGAGCCATAAAAATCCATAGAAATCAATGAAAATCCATGAAAATCCATGAAAATCAATGAACATCCATAAAAATCCATAAAAATTCATGAAAATCCATGAAAATCAATGAACATCCATAAAAATCCATGAAAATCCATAAAAATCAATGAACATTTATAAAAATCCATGAAAATCAATGAAAATCCATGAAAATCAATGAACATCCATAAAAATCCATGAAAATCCATAAAAATCAATGAACATCCATAAAAATCAATGAAAATCCATAAAAAACAATGAACATCCATAAAAATCCATAAAAAAATCCCCCCCCATGAAAATCATGAACCATAAAAATCCAGAAATCATGGAAATTCATGAAAATCCATGAAAATCAATGAACGTCCATAAAAATCCATGAAAATCCATAAAAATCAATGAACATTTATAAAAATCCATGAAAATCAATGAAAATCCATGAAAATCAATGAACATCCATAAAAATCCATAAAAATTCATGAAAATTCATGAAAATCAATGAACATCCATAAAAATCAATGAAAATTCATAAAAATCAATGAACATCCATAGAAATCCATAAAAATCCATGAAAATCCATGAGCCATAAAAATCCATAGAAATCAATGAAAATCCATGAAAATCCATGAAAATCAATGAACATCCATAAAAATCCATAAAAATTCATGAAAATCCATGAAAATCAATGAACATCCATAAAAATCCATGAAAATCCATAAAAATCAATGAACATTTATAAAAATCCATGAAAATCAATGAAAATCCATGAAAATCAATGAACATCCATAAAAATCCATGAAAATCCATAAAAATCAATGAACATCCATAAAAATCAATGAAAATCCATAAAAAACAATGAACATCCATAAAAATCCATAAAAATCCATGAAAATCCATGAAACTCCATTAATTAACGTCCATCAACATCTATTAAAATCCATCTTTAAATCCATAAAAATCCATGAAAATCCATCTTGAAACTATCAACATTTGTTAAAACCATCCATTGATTTTGACGCTCAAAGAGTGCGGAGTCCGAGGCTCAAAGACAGGATCAGATGGGCGGCCTCTACTCCGTGGCCTTCGCCAAAACGGTGCGGAAACCGACCATTTTTTATCAAATGAGATACGAATGTAGTTGAAACATTCGTTTGAAAAAATGAAAAAAACAGGGATGTGTTTCTTTTAATGGTTATATAATATATATATATGTTATATCTTACATGATGTAGTTGATATATATACAAATATACACATGTAATCATACAGATATGATCATGGTATGGTATATCATATAGTTGATATATGGTATAACAAAAATAAATGTGTCAATGGAATCATCTCCATTTTCATCTCGTCATCCTTGAGGCTCCAGAGGTGCTAGGCTGTACCTCCGTGGACAAGTTGGGTCAGCTCAGTGTGCTCAATCCGTGTCCGCGCTTGCGTGCTACGGATGTTTTTTGTTTGAATCCCACTGGAATGATAGAGTTGTTGAGAGACAATTCATAGATTTACCGAATATTTACCCTCTGGTAAACATACAAAAAACTATGGAAAATTACCATTTATAGTTGATTTACCCATAAAACATTTCATTTTGTATAGCTACGTTAGTTTACCAGAGGGTACCTTTGATTACACCGTCTTACAAAGTTGGTTGATAAAATTTGGGAATATATCCAATCCTAAAATATAGCAACCCCCAGAAAAGATGCCCATGTTTTTTTCGTTCCCTGGTGGCTTCTTGGCATTTTTTGGTGCCCGATATAGTGATGAATCTGGGTCAACCTTGCACGGATAGTTCGGTAGTGACGAATCTTTGGCTCTAAACGGATATAAATGATATAAATATATATATATATATACACATTATATGTATAAATATATATATATGTATATGTATATGTATACACAAGTATAACATACAACGCCGCTAAAGGAATTGCATAGTATCTGAGATTGGCTACGATGGATTGTGATGATTGATAACTAATGAATTTCATGGCCTCTGGCACATCATTTTTTCCCCGTGGGGAGTCTCCCTGGTTTCACCTGAGGCATGTGTATCTTTGGAACCATAGAACAGGCGCAACTGGCCGGTGGCCCCGGGTGGCGTCAACTTGCCATGCCGCCATGCCGCTCGCCATTGGCAGGGACGCAAATCTCGAAGCTCGGTGGGGAGAAGGGCCACCAGGACGGTTCCACCGGTTCCACCTGGTCACGCTGAAAACGGTGTGAGTTTTTTTTTGTAAACCAACAGCTCAGAATTTCCGTTGATTGACAGTTTGAAATAGATATTTTGTAACTGGGGATTTGATATCCAGTTGATTGGATTTGATGATTTGGGGGGCCATATCCATGTCCTCCATGTCCTCCATGGCACCATGAAGTCGTCGCAGGACGAAGTGAACGGCATCGATTTTCATGCGGGACAGCAGGCAATCTCTTCAGCCTCCTGATCCTACTGGGCATGGTTGGAATCCCCGTAGAAATGCTACTTGGGGATGGTGACTATGGCATTTTTGTGGCATTTTTGTGGCATTTTTATGGCATTTGAATGGCATTTTTATGGCAATTTTTAGTTTCCCAACTGAATGCCCCACAGTGAGTTCGCCCATTTGCTTCGATGATTTTCCTGCCATGTCGAAGATCATGGATGACACAAACTCCAGGTCATGGCGACCGCGTCCGATGACACCACAGCCGCTTGGGCGAGCCGTTGAGTCAGCCATCAATAGGACACACGCCGTTCCAAAGCACCAAGCAGATCAAGCAGTGGTGATTAATGATGATTAATAGTGGTTACTCATGGTGAAAAATGTGGCTGTTGACAAGCCGTGGCCATTGGAATTTTGGTGAAATTTCTGGATCCAGGAAGATCATGATTCTGAATGGTTGAAGTTTTTTTGCCCATGACTTCTGAAAATGATCCACAGATTTTCGTGGTCCTGATTTTTTCCTCAATTTCTGGTTGACTTGATGTTGGGCTAAACTCCTGTTCTTTTTGCGGCTTAAATCCACACTTTTGGTGGCATGGTATGTTTCTATGGCTGTCCTCATCGTTTTTGGCTGTCACACATCCCCATCAAAGTTGGCGAATTTCGATGAATTTCCTATGCTTAAGGGAAATGCTGCATCTGCATCACGCGACGCCGTGTTGTTCGTTTCTCATGATGAAATGAGGCCATTGTTTGGGACTTTGCGGAGGGCATTCCCTTGCGAACGCCGCAGAGCCAGCAAGAAAGTGGCATGGAAATCACCCTTGAAATGTGGATGGTTGGTGGGTTTGTTTTTCATTGACATTTCAATATCAGAGTAGCATATCAGAGTAGGATATCATAGCCCATTTTTTCCAAATTTTTGAATCTCATGACCTGGATGACTTGGGATGAATTCATCAAGATTTCAAGTCGAAAATGGTGGACTCGATTCCATTCAGAATAGGCTTAGATGGGATGACGGCAACCCATCTCAAATAATTCATCGAGAGTTGACGGGCTCCTGGTTCTCCCACCTTGAATTTATTGGTGAGCTGGTTTCTTTGGAATCGAAAGATCCTGATCAATGTGCAGTATGTATACCCATCCATCCATATCTCCTGGCAATCGATATTTTTCCAGTTTCCAAAAAAAAATCCAGAAAAGTCGGACAGTCCGAGAGTTTTCCACGTTTTTTGACCATGTCAGTCGGCATGTCTTTTTGATGATTCTCACTGAGGCTGCCCCATCCTGGAAAGGCGGTTTATGGCGTTACCTTCCTGGGCAAGGACCCAGATAGGCAGTACCTGGTGGCCACTTGCTGCTTTGATCAGCCGCGAGCTTAGCAGGGCATCGGCAGGGCATCGGCAGGGCATCGGCAGGGCATAGCATGGCAGATTGGAAGCAGACGATTTTTTCGTGAAAATGGATCTACAAGAAGTTTTTTCCCAAGATCTTAAATGAGATTTTCATGATATCCAAAAGATTCTGAAGAGTTTCTTCACAACTTCAGATGCTGCAGCATCCACTGCCCCAGTCCTAGAGATGTCCACCCAGTTGCGGCCCTCTTTTTTGGTGCCAGGAAGACACGCATTTTTGATATGCGAGACAAGAAGGCGGTTTCGGTTGAACTGGGGAAAGCTGGATGGATACATTTTAGTATTCGCATATGTGATATATATGATGATTGTTGTATGTACCAATGATATAACATGATATAACATGATATAATATACAATATTGATCACTGAATAGCGCATGGAACATTGCAATTTTTCAGTGTCAACCATTTGCAAAACAAATGACCATCACCGGAGAATGAGCAACTCAGTAGATTCGGATGTCTTCCACTCTGCTCGGTGAGAACCGGTTCTCCGGTTCGCGCTGGGTGAGCCAAACGTTCGTTGTATCCAAGTCTTTGGCCCATTTTGTGTCCAGATTGTGACTACTTTGGATGGACATGCAGACGACATCATTGGTCTGCGACTTAGTGACCAAGGTGAAAAACTTGCGGAACAACTGGCAACGACTTGGTTTCACGAAACATCAAAGGACTTGGCAAAGTTGGAATCTCCATGACTCGTAAGGGGACCTGAGGGGTTTTCATCGACTGGCCATGACGGTATCCATGACTTCCACTGCAGGTATTGATTACGCGGCTCAAGGGTGGAACGCCCCAGAATTCCGCGGACTGGGCGCGGGAGGCTGCACCCGAAATAGTGAGCTAAAAATGTTGGGAAACTTGGAATTCATTTCCGTTTTCAGTGGTTTAGAAACTTGTCTTCCAGAAGTATCCATGAATTTTCCTCATGATTTGTTAGTGGCAACACAAGTGAGGGGTGTATAAGTTATAAGTATAGACCCCCATTCCTGTTCTAAACCCGACTTGTGAGCCACAGATGTTTTTTTCCCCTCGGTGTGCATGTCTATTTGAAGCGTGGAACCAACACGCTCCTCAGTCTTAGTGGAAGTGATGTGGACAGGTCTCTCTCGGGCGATGAAGAACCACCATTTTCATGACATCCTGGTTTTTCGTGATATTACCTGGCTTATTGTGGTTTCTTATAAATTACAACCATGTACCCTCTGGTAATGACTAACAGTTTGCGATATATGGAAAATGGCCCAGTCGAGTTATAGTTGATTTTCCCATCAAAAACATGGTGGATCTTTCCCATATTTTCCCATTCGTTATGTGGCTGTTTACCAGGCCGGGTTGGGAAAACGATCAACCAACGAGGCTCCTGGCCACGGGATCGGATGATGGGTTGCGACCTCAGTCCCGGATGGGAATCCTTGGTGGGTTAAATGCTGATGTCATGATGGGTTTATTAATGACGTTTTAATATGGGTTTAGCATGTTTTAACCGTTACCGGGAGACTGGTGAAATTGGAAGTTGGACATGATTTCCAGTTCAAGCATGATGAGATATAACTGTTATAACTGTTCCCTGAACGCAATTCTGCCCCGTAAAAGGCTATTGCTGGCCTTCAGTATGGCCAGATATGGCCAGATATGGCCAGATATGGCCAGAGTGGCAGATGTGCTGAGGTTTATTTTGATCTATGACACCAAAACATGGAAGTTGCTTCACCGAATTGATTGCAAGGCTCGGAAGCTGCTGGGTGAGGGTGATGTGCACAAGCTATCTGCACCAAAGATATGATCCTATTGTTTCTTAGTGATATGATGTGATATGTAATTTGCAGCTTCTTTGCGCAGCTTTTTAAGGGGAAAATCCAACACATTTTCAGGTCTTGGTTCTCCATCCTTTTCACTTCTGCTTTCACCCAAAACGTGGGTAGAATCACCTCTGCGGTGACCTTGATCCTGTCATCATCGCCAGTTGGACATCTCTTCAGAGACAGAGGTCGGCTTCGAGCGGGGCTCCGATGAATTGTTGGCATTCGGGGACCTTCAAACACACAGTGATTGGTAGCAGTTTTAAGTAGGGAACCATAGGGTTCCCTATCCATTCTTCCGAATTTGATCATCATGACCTCAGGTGGTTTTCCGTCACTGGAATGATGGGAACTGGATGGGAAGCAGTGAGGGAATTGTTGTAAGCCAGAAGACTTGGGGTTTGTTATCACTGGGGATGAACCCTGAAGTGGCGACCTCTCTGTTTTCGGGATAGTGTCTGAGAGCTGGATATCTATATCTATATCTAATATCTAATATCTAATATCTAATATCTAATATCTAATATCTAATATCTGTATTAATATCTAAATCTATATCCAATATCTAATATCTATATCTAATATCTAATATCTAATATCTATATTTATATCTATATCTAATATCGATATCTATATATCTATATATCTAATATCTAATATATATATATATCTAATATCTAATATCTAATATCTATATCTATATCTAATATCTAATATCTGTATCTATATCTAATATCTATATTTATATCTAATATCTAATATCTAATATCTATATCTAATATCTAATATCTATATATCTATATTTATATCTATATCTCTGTCTATATCTATATCTATCAGAAAGAGAGTTCCGATGATCTGTGGTGACATTTAGTTTCGGTAGTTTTGTATGAAAGTATCCGTTGATGTGGCATTTGACCGACTCGACCCAAGGTGAAGCGAGTGGCTTTCAGTTTGGGACACCCAGCGAGTCATCGGTGGCTCAAAGGATGACTTTCGCCATGATTTTCAGGTCATTTTCAGGATCCCAGGTTTCGATGGTCGCGAGGTCGCGATGGCGACATGCTGGCAGCGGCTTGCTCTACGGGGAGCCGTAGTGAATTGCTGGTTGCTGGTTGCTGGTTGGCTGGATGTTTTTGCCCCAAATCTTGCAATCAATGTGGTATTATAATATAGTATAAGTATTTTAGTATAATATCTGCTACTATATATATATATAGCACTATAATTAATGATATATTGTGGTATCTCTATATATATATATATTCTTCAGATATTATAATGTACTAATACATACTAATACTATGTAATTAAATGTACAAGTATCTCATTGGTATGGTCAGTATTGGTCCAGCTCCATACTTTCCAATTTTTTGGAAGTCGCATCATTTTACCAAAGGATGGGCGGAGATCCTGTCCAGACATGTCCACCAATGGCAACGCTATCAGCATCCTGGCTTTCTCTGGGACACAGGTTCAGGATATTTCAAGGGGTCTGTGTCTCTTTGTCTCTTGCAGAATGGTGCAGGAGCGTGGCGCTGTATTCTGGCTTCAAATCTCAAGACAAGCCAACTTTGAGGCAAAAGCTAAGTGCTGATCTCGGATCTCAGTTTCGTTTCAGTCTCGATGGAGCCAATGCCAAAATTGGAGATGGGTGTCGCTCATTTTTTCCATTGGTCCTGGAAGAGCCTTAGTTGTGCACCGGCGAAGCCATGACAACGGTTCAACGATGGTTTTTCGGGATGGTCCACCCATTATAGGACCAATGGTGTTAAACCCGCCATAAACGACATAGTATACAGATATTAGATATAGATATTAGATATAGATATTAGATATAGATATTAGATATTAGATATAGATATTAGATATTAGAGATATAGATATAGAAATAGATATTAGATATTAGATATCTGCCCCAAGTCATGACCATAGGTGGGTTGGGATTCCAACCACCATCGTCATGGTAGGTAAAAATCGCTGAGGCGGACACACGGACTGCGTGTTTGATGTGGCCTGGGGCACGGACGCCAGGAGTAACGGGGCACTCTTGGTCCGGGCGCCCAGGGCACCCAGGGCACCCAGGGGAGCTGTTAAAACCATGATTCCGGACAAAAACGGTGAAGTAAGTGGCTGACCAACAATTTTTGAAGTTGATCTCTGAAACATCTGGAAACATGTCCACATGATCCTCCTTGGCTCGGGGCAGGATGCAATGCTCTAAGGTTTCTGCCTCGCACGACAAATCCGTGAGATTTTGGAAAGAGGTTTTATAAGTTTGGTCGGCCTGCTGAGTGCAGAAACGACATGCTGCACATGAACCAAAGGCCTGAAGGGCCTGAAGGCTGCCTGGCAGGGGAGATTTTCTGAGTCACATCTCTGCGCAAATTAGGCACCACCAGTTTTGTGTGTAGCATTGTAGCCGCTGTAGCCCACTCCCCTGTTGCTTAAGTCTTCGCCCCCCCAAAAAATACTTTGGCAGTTGGCAGTTGCGGGATGACCCGTGACTGTGCTGCAATGGCTTTCGCCATGCGCTCGGTTGCCCCAATTAGAGAGGCACATTCTTGTAAAAAGATGCCAAAAGATGCCAAAAGTGAGCCAGGGGTTCGGAGGGTTGGGAGGGTTGAGGGGAAGGTCACCCATTTTTTGACGCTGAAATTACAACATTGATTAGTTTGTTTTTTCCAAGTTTCACATAATTGTACCCGTTTTCACATAACTCGGCCACTTCTGTAGGATTTTTCATTGGCTTCACTTAACCGCGGCGAAGGCAGTCCCATAATGCCCCTATATTTTGATGGTGTTTTCACCATGGGTTGTAGATCTTCCCAGCAAATCAAGAAGAATTTTTCCCCACCATCTTTCACCTGTCCTTAAAGATCCAAAGATCTTCCGTCATCTTCCGTCCTCTTCCAGGGCTTGAGTCCTGAACTCCAAAGTCACTTCGTCCTTTCAGACTTTGGCTCTGGCTCGATTCCAAACAGCGAAGGGGCCATCTGAGTTTGCCATGGATCGCAGTTTCGTGGCCGTGGCGGGTTTCAAGGAGAAGCCACCAGCGGTCATTGATCAACAGAAGAGTTAAAGGGTAAAATAAACTAAAATTTAACAGAATCACTGGTTAAAGAAACAGGGTGATGTTGCTGGGTTTTGATACTTTGCTGCTTATGCTGGTGATTCCGGTGATCCAATGGTTCCGCAGGCCCCTGAAGCTGCAACTTCGGTAGCTGATCGCTACAAGGCGAGTGCTGCCGAAGCTTGGGGGATTTCAACAGGCTGTCCATCCAATATGATGGAAGAATTCACCTGAATTCACCAGAAAGCTATGGATCAATGCCAAAATTATGGGTGTTGATCATCCCAACTTGCGTTTTGATGCATTTCCGGCTGGCCAGCTCGGTTTTTTTTGAAGGACATCACTATTTTTGATATGTTTCCAGGCGATTTTCTATGATCTTCTATGGCTTTTTGGTGATTTTCTATGGCTATTTCTTGCCACAAGCAGACCTCCCGTGTGCTGGATTGTGATCGGACATCGATTTCAGTCCGGAGGTTTAGAACTTCAAGGTCCTTCTCGTTCTACAGTCCTATGTATACATATATATATAATTATACATATATATATATAATTATATATATATATATAATTATACACATTTTTTTCCCGATTCTAACGGCTTTATTTGCGGCTTTTCTATTGTTGCTATATAGACCTCTTCCATAGCTTAATTTGCACTTAAGTCCGACCTCAGCATGTTTTTTTTTTTGCTGTTTCACCGAAGTTTCACCCGAAATGTTACATAGGACCCTCTATAGATTTTTGGGTCCTGAACTTTACCCTGCAGAGGTCTCTGTCTCCGTCCCCGAAACTGCCACCCGAAGTGAAGGCGCTGAAGTTTCGGTCACGGTAAACCAGAAAAATGCGGGTTGAACACCATTGTGGTTTAGATATTGTGGTATATATATATATATTGTGGTGTATATATATATATATATACACACCATTGTTGAGGTCACAGGAAATGGTTCCACAGATATTCGGATGATCTTCGGATGGTTCAGCCAATCGTTCCTGGGATCTTTCGCTGCGATACAGGCGACCTAAAAAGTAAGTGGCACGAAAGGATGGGAATATTGAGAGCTCAGCTACAGGGTGTTGCCAGTAGCTGACTGGTCAAAAAGAATGGGTAAAACATGGTAAAACATCAAACTTCCATGTTTTTGTTTTTGTTTTTTAAATACATAAATACATCTCGTTTTTCTCCCATTGGCAAATTGTGGGGATGTCCCAGTTCTCCCAGTACTGAGTGTACACATCCAATTTGGATCAATTGGGTAGATTACCGGGTAGATAGTGGTTAACATGGCGACATGGCAATCCCGGATTTAGTACTGCAATGATGGCTATGGTTATTGTATGTTAGTGTCATTATCATTTTTTTCCATTGTTATATGACTGTTACTATTGTCATCAACATATTGATAGTTAGCTATAAACATTGTATATGATATATGACGGTTACTATTCTCATCAAAGTTATTGCTATTATCAGATCATACTTATTTTGACACATGGCTGTGGAGATCTTTGCCCATTGGCATCCAACGGGTCAGGAGATGGTCGTCTTCAGCTGGTGTCAATGAGCTGCTTGGATGCTGAGGCTAACGGCAGATGTTTTTGTGTTGTTGTTTGAGAATTCTCCTGCGCGATGTACCATAAGCCTATAGATGTATCAGAAACTCATATTATATATACAATTACATAATATATATTATATATACATATGTACATATTATATATATATATGTACATATTATATATATATATGTACATATTATTATATATATATATTTATGTACATAATATATATGTACATAATATATATGTACATAATATATATGTACATAATATATAATATATATGTACATAATATATAATATATATGTACATAATATATAATATATATGTACATAATATATAATATATATAATATATATATAATATATGTACAGAATATATTATATATGTACATACATGCATATTATAATGTAATATATATATAAGATCCAATGAACTATAGATATAGCACAAGCTCATCTGATGGTTGGAATATGGAGAACTATCCGCAGATATTTGGAAGGATGTTTGTGGCACTTCCGTGTTGGTTGGGAACATGTCAGGATTGGTTGGCTATTTCCTTCCCAGCATGACTTAGCCTATTTAGGTTGGGATACTGTCAAATTTCACCAACATTTTCATCCTCCTGACAATCAGCTCATGTTTTTCAAAGGTCCCTCGCCAGTCGTCCCCTTCTGCCGGAGCCCTGTCAGCCGTTTTGCGATCTCAGAGAAAGCCATCCGGGGTGAATTGTTCCCTCCATCCCATACAAGATGCAGCTGCCAGGATACATGATGCCGCCACCCAAGGATCTGGGAGGGTAAGGATTGTGGGGCTCTACCAGTTTTGTGGTGGCTTTCCATCCGATGGCAAAATCTCTGAAAATCCCATTCTCAACAGAGGTTTTTTTGGCACAACAGGGGCTGGTAGGTCAACATCCCATGCTTGGGACTTCAACGACCATGTTTTTTTCTATGTCCCTCTTGGCTCTCTACATCACTAACGGGCTGAAGCCTCCGAGCCGCAGGTCACTTTTGTGCACAGATGTAGGTCACATATAAATATAGATCGTAATAGATCACGGTAGATTCCCGGTAGATCTGTGCAATTTTTTTTAACCCCTCCAAAAAACCAACCATTTGGGGGTTGGAATCCCAGCCATAAAAAATGGTGCCTTGATGGTGACTATGGGTGAAACCCATGGGCCGTTCCAGGAGTACTTCACTCCCAACCAGCGGGCCATTGCGCGCGCCGTGGCCTTTCTGACGACCATCGTGCTGGTGGTGAAGTTTGGAGACAGTATGGACATGCCTGAGAATCCCAAATACGCTTAGAGCTGGATTTCCATCTGGCGGCCCAATGGATGGCGAAAAAAAATGGGAAATCATGGGTCGCCGCCAGAAAGATTCGAAGCCATGGACAGATGTGATGGGAAACTTTGATCCGGACAGAGCTGTGGTGCCAGTTTTGCAGAGCCCCACACGACGCGCGAAGTGGTTCAAAAAGAAACTTTTTGTGACCGTGGTGCTTTGGGATGTCGCATGGGTTTATCAAACATGGAGTATGCCTAAAATTACTGGTTGGTGGTTTCCAACATTTGGATTATTTTCCATTTCATATACGGGATACTCCTTCCCATTGACTTTCATATTTTTCAGAGGGGTAGGTCAGCCATCAACCAGATTGACATGTGAAACATGATGAGAATCCTCAGGTGCCGTAGGTGCCCCATTTTCAGACCCAGAAATCTCCTACGAAAAAAGCTGGCCACCAAGGTTCTCCACTCCACCAAGGTGTTAATCACTTGTTAATCACAGGTTGTTGCCATTCAGGTGTAGTATAGCCAGTTTGTTGCCTTTCCACTAGGATTATGCTAAACCTTACAATACTGCTCAGACTATTTGCACAGACATTAAGTGTTTTACTTACGTTGAATCGTTCTTGTTCGTGCCATGACAGTTTTCTTTCTGTTTTTAAAACAGTGTTGTTTTCTAGCTGGTATATTCTACACCTACATATCTAGGTGCCACTTTTCTGAATTTTCCCCACTTTTAGAGGACTTCTGTTGTTTTCCCCATGTTCCAAGGCTTTTTTCACCGATACTGAGGCGCCGTGGCGGCCTGCGGCCTGCGTGGCCTTGCGAAGAACCGCGCTTGGCGGCGGCGCTCGCAGCGCGAGCAGCGCTTGGCGAAGGTCACACGGAAACTCTTCGGCAACATGGAACAGCTGAACCCGTGCCTTGGCCATAGGATGGTGCTGCGATGGTGCTGGTTATCATGGGATATATGGGATGATGGTTATTGATAGTTATTGATGGCAATGTGGGATATGGGATGGATATAAATTATGTTCTATTATTGTGAAATATGGTCTGTCTGAAAATGGGATTCATGGGGATTCATGGGATGGTGATCGATGCTTACTGTATGTGGGATGGTCGTATGTTTTTAGATCGTTATTTCAAGGGGGTTGATACATGTTGATACTGTTATGGGGATATCATGGGATGATGATGGATACGGATATGCCTGAATCCGTGATTTGGAATGGGAGAACAACTTGAGGGATAGAGTCTAATAGAGTCAAGGTTTGGGTGTTTGGGGCTATTTCTTAATTCTTGCTGACCCACTGGTTGCCCAAAAAGTTCTTTCCGAAGGTTCTATGAGTCGCCAGAGAAGCAAACTCAGAAGCGCTACGAGCCGCAGGTTCAGGCCGACGTTGACGCAGCTCATTTTTTGCCTTGTGGCAGTCAACCATAGCCTAGAAATCTCCTGAAAAATCCCATCTGAATGGATATGACTATGGATTTTTAGGGATATGAACCATGGTAACCTCTGGGATATGAACCATGGCTACAGTTACCGGTAGGTGAACATGTGGGCTTCCACTTGGGGCGGCATGTTTTTCAAATCAGCCGAGTATCAACTAGGGCAATCCAGATAATTCACCGAAAGCGATAAATTCCAATTGAAAAAATATCTTGAGGAACAGCAGCAATGGCGCATATCTTTCCGTTTATTATTGTAATTCTCTCTTATCTTCTCCTACATACATCTCATGTATATATATATATACATACATATAGACATAAAATATATATATATATATACATAATACGCACGTATATCACATAGTCATGCCCCAAAAAAGAACTAAGTGAGTCGTTGAGTCACCCAATTCGGGCATTTTTCGGGAGCCAGGCCATCAATGCGCTGGAGGAGACCATGAAGGCGAAATCCGACGACGACCTCCGTCCGAGAGCCGAGAAGTTCGGGGCGATGTTGGGTGGTGGCCGCTGAGGATCCAACGAAGAATGGGACGTTTCACCGGAAAAAATGGGGGATTTTGACAAATCCAGTGGTGAATGGAGGGAGCCTAAGGAGCGAGCTAAGGAGCGATTTGGGTATTCATATTCCCTATGAAATTTTTGGGCCAGTTGGAGCTACCAAGAGCTGCCCAACCACATACGGTACTAGTGGTGTTTAATTCAATTGATATGGGGTTGGTATGTTGATCCACCATCTCTTAACCACCATGGCTATGGATTCAATGGGGTTTACCTCACAATTTCCATTTGTGGTGCTGAAGTTAGACCATACCCATGTCAATCCATCTGTCTTTGGATCATTATTCCTCCAAAAAATCCATGTAGGCAGAAGCTGGAAAACGAAACGAAAAAGGACCAACCAATCCCTGACGGCTTGGCTGTAAACATCATCACTGGATAGGAAGAATATGGTTTTCCAGTAGATCTGATGTTGAACAAGCATCTTGGAGGAATTTGGAAGACCACAGGTTTTGACCTGATTGATGGTTGTAGATATGTTATATTAGGAGGTTCTAGTATACAATTCGTCAAACCATTTTGAGAACATTTTGAGAGAAGTAGTGTCATCCATCAAGTGGAAGGAACCAATCCTCAGCGGTCCTGCTCATAATTGTTCATCGAGGTTAGCTGGATTGGGTACTTGGATATGGAGAACAGAATTGGCCTGGAAGTCGACTTTGCTTGATGGGCTACTGAGTTTAAAGGTAGCATTTCTCATTCAGCGGTTCATCTAACAACATGCGTTTCGTTTTTCACTGAGAGAATCACGACAGTTCATAGGAATCAACCTATATATTTCCTATATATTTCCGAATATTGTATACGTCACTAGGTAACAGAGCAATGCGCCCTGCTGGTCATTTTCCAATTTGGTACCTGAGCGGCTCGAAGATCGGATAGTCTCTGCACCTGTTTGAGGTGGTACCTCTGGGTGTAGGGCTTTCAACATGACTCTGTGGGCTGACTGGAATGTCTTGTGCATCGGCATAGACAACTACAGTGTTGGAGCAGATCGTTTGGCCTTTTGTGTCCAGGAGGCAAGCATTGTGTTTGAAGCGCTCGAGGCAGCAACCTCCGGCAAACATCAACTGGTCCTGAATCCAACTTCGGCTAGTTTGGACCAAGCTATCCACACTTTCATTGACAACAGTCGATCTTGTCGGAGCAACCTTTTGACCTTTGCTGGTCATGGATATGTACGGTCATCAAAATCGTATATGAAGTCACCTGACTCTGACACAAACTCGGCTGATATATGTGTGGATGATGTGTGTGCGAAACTTCCTGACAGATCTCTCCTGGTGTGCTTTCTGAACTGCTGTAGAATTGATGTCACTCAAGCTATCAAGGAACCACGGATGGACCTGATCATGCCCGTCCACGAGTCTATCAGGGTTTTTTTGCGACGCAGAGCGCGGCTCTTCAAGCCCATTGTCCGAGAACACTTCTACTTGTACCTTGCTCTGCCAGAGGAGGAAGCATGTGACGTTAACCAATTTGGAACAAAATTTGCTAATATCATCGGAACGCAGCCCAACATTACCATAGAAGAGGTTGCCAAGCAGCTCCGCAGGGGTGGAACACATGTGGAGTGGCGGTCAAACCTGGACCGCTGGAGTGGGCAGCCAATTGGACAGGTGCAGCGGAGGCATTTGGCATCGAGGACCATGCTGGCAATGTTTGCAGCTGCCATTTTTGGTTTGTGCAACATATGGTTTGGTCTGGCAGAGCAGCTTGGCTGGCACTCAGATCCAGTGCCAGAATTTGTGCCATTGGAGAGTAGCAGTTCCTTTTGTGATGGTCCGTATTTACGCTTGAACATCCAAGACATTTCAAGAGGCAAGGAAATTCTAAATGCCAGCCAGGATGATGCTTCGATAGTCTGCTTGGCACATCTATATTGGATGCAGGATGATTATGAAAATGCACAGAGGCTTTTTCATCGTTTCTGCTCTTCATCTGAGTCTCAGTTGCCAAAAACAGTTGCATGCTTCATCGAATGTGACATCCGGGATGACTTGAGCCCAGAGTGTTTGCGCTACGCGCTTATGGCGGAAGAGATTGCCTGCGCTGGCATCAAAAAGACATCAGTGTGCATTCGCGCTACGCTCCGGGCGGCTTTGTTCAAAAACATGCAAACATGGACCGAAATAGCACACGGTCAGCAGTCTTGGGATCCTCATGTCCTCAAGACTTTGGCCAGTTTCAATCGGTCAACCGTGCCTGAAGAGGTTAGATTTGCTGCTTTACTCGAACTCGCAGATTCAGAGCTTGCTGCTGGTGACCTCAAAGTGGCGACTAGTATGTTGTTTGACCTGCTTCCATTTGCTGCGCGGGTTGCTCATAGGCCTCTGTTGAAACAGATGTCTCACGTTGTGTTCGTGGACTACATGGATGCCCTCTTATGCTCCGGATTGCGAAGCGAAGCAAGACCTTGGTTCGATGAGGCAGTCAAATCTTCAAGAAATGATGTGTATCTAAGCAAAGTGTATTTCATTCTGGCCGAGGCACTTATAAAATTTAATGCCATTGATGAGGCCACTCAATGGATCCTCATGGGTACAGAGTTGATTAGAAACACCAAGCTACTCGGCTGGAACGCTTCAGCTTGCCACGATCCACTTGCTGTGAGCCAAGAATTTGAACCAATCATAAATTCAAGTTGTTTGGAGGCGGAACTGATGAAGTATCCATTCTATTTCGACCGAAAAAGCGCCAGTCTTCTTGCGCGGGCACAAGCCCCGCGCAAGATTATCCCACAGATCTTCAGATGAAAATTTTGACCGCTTGGCTGGGCAATTTCAGCCTTGCAGCTCCAGAGAAAGCTTGGATAATCCTTGCACTTTTGGTAAATAATCGTAAGGATTCGTAAGGGGTTACTACATTACTATAAACATCATGATCATCATGACCATGTACAGTAAATCCCTTAATTGAATAAGCTCCACACATCACTGACTGACATGTGTTTTTACTATTTGAATCTGGACAATTGCCACTGTAAACAAAACAAACATGATAATATATAGTATATCATTCAATTTCCTTTTTCTATTACCGATTTCACGAACCCAATTTGTTGGCGTTGGTTGGAACTGCACACCACTACAGCGATTTTTATTTTCCAACATTAAGCAGCATGCATTCCTGAAATGACCTATGACCACATGTTGGTTAAATTTGTGAATGGCTATGCATTTTGAATATGAACCATTCAAAATTGGGGCAATTTTGACCCATAGCCATATGAACAGCAAAAAAATCACGATCTGTTTTTGGACGACTGTCCTATAGGCCTATGGGTGGCTGGGATGGGCTCAGGTGCCCTGACGGCAGATCTGCAACAGCGAGCCCAGAGCGGCACGGCTCTGGAGGAGTTGTTGCCCGAAGCCTTTGCGCTGGTGCGCGAGGCGCGGTGCTGATGTTTGGTGGAAAATGGAAGCCAGTTTGAGTGGGCTTCTACTGATTCTACTGATTGTTCCAAGAAAAAAGGGGCTACAAACTACATCAAAGTACCACAAAAAACTAGGGTTGAAGTTGGGTGATATTGGGGTTATGGGGCTGGATCCGACCAATGAAGCAGGAACCAGGGAACCAATCAAGTTGCGAAGTTGGGAAAGTGAGCAAGATGCCTACCCCTGACATTTTCAGAATCTGCAGGGATCCACTCGAGTCTTGGGCCTGCGACACTTTGATGTGCAGATGATGGGAGGTGCGGCTGCAGTGGGGTTGATGGTTGAGCACCGGGAAGTCATGAACGAACACTGGCTGATGATGATGACATATGATGACATATGATGACATATGATGACATATGATGACATATGATGATATATGATGATATATGATGATATATGATGATGACATATGATGATGACATATGATGATGATACATGATGATGATGATGATGATGATGATATAATATATAAGATGATCTACGACGATTATAGATGATGATGATATATGATGATGATATATGATGATGATAGATGACGATGATACATGATGATGATATAGGATTATGACTATGATATCTGATGATGATGATGATATAATATATAAGATGATCTACGACGATTATAGATGATGATGATATATGATGATGATATATGATGATGATAGATGACGATGATACATGATGATGATATAGGATTATGACTATGATATCTGATGATGATGATGATTATGATGATAATGATGATAACGATTATGATCATTGACGATGATGATTATGATGATGATGATGGTGATGATGATGATGATGATGATATAATATATAAGATGATCTACGACGATTATAGATGATGATGATGATATATGGTGATGATATATGATGATGATAGATGACGATGATACATGATGATGATATAGGATTATGACTATGATATCTGATGATGATGATGATGATTATGATGATAATGATGATAACGATTATGATCATTGACGATGATGATTATGATGATGATGATGGTGATGATGATGATGATGAGGATGATGATGATGATGATGATGATGATGGCGGCAAGTGAACTGATGATGCAGTAGCTTGATGAAAACTCAGGACGCTTTTTGTCCACACATTCCAATGTGATCACGTGCAAGGTAATTTTCACATGACTATCCATGAATAGTTCTGTCAGGAACTTGCACAAAAGCCTTGTATCTGAAGCTTTCACATAGATTTGTGCACGATTTCCATCGATTATTTTCCCATTTGGGGATCATTTCCACAAATAACATCTATATTCCCATTATAGCCATGCATGATTTCCATAGAACTTATTTCCCTATCACCAAAAAAACCGAACACCGAAAAAAAGACCGTCGCCGAGCTCGCTACCCTAGGTATTGCTCTCCATGAGGGCAACATTGCTGAGATGGGCACCGGTGAGGCAGACCGACAGTTCAAATTTTGGGTGAGGTTTGGTATTGGTATCCTCTGGTAAACTAACATAACTTGCGAACTGGACAATCACCATAATAGCTGGGTAAACTGGAAGTTCTCAGCATTTTGCTGGGTAAAACATCGAACTCAATGGGCTATCTTATTTATTTTCAACATAGCAAAGTGTTTGTCATTCCCAGAGGGTATCCAACTGTTTGATCATTGGGATCGTGGGGATCATGGGGATCAGGAAAGATTTCAAAAAAACAAATAGTTGTTACCATAGTCTTATTCATTGGATCTTCAATTTTTATATATTGTTATAGGATTTTTAGAAAACCTGTTTTTGGTACTTGACATGTTTCAACTCATAGAAATAAGTGTCCAAAACATTTTCTTTCCCGAAACAATTTTCAACAACTTTGAGAAATTTCTGAAAACACTTTTTACCTGACAAACTATTGAAAATACGTTTTTGAACGTCCTTGAAAACAACTTTTTTACTGAACATTCTCGAAACGAACTTTTCAAAAGGGGTTCTCAACCTGCCATCAAAAACAAAAACACAAGAGGCTTTCTGGAACAACTTCCATTGAAGACATGTTTTTTCACGTGTGGCCTCTGAAACATATGGCTTAAGGGGGACTGGTTGGTGCTTTGGAACATTTTTTTTTTCTCCATATATTAGGAATTTCATAATCCCAACTGACGAAGTTATATTTTTCAGAGGGGTAGGGCTCAACCACCAACCAGGGGAATATTGTTATGACCCCATGGTTGTGAAAACCATCGTCTCAATCATCCCAGAGGAGGGATATAGCCTACTGAAATGATTGATTTAAGGAGCCTAACAAGGATGGTGTGAGTTTATGAGTTTATGGCATGGTTACCGGGTATTTTCACCACATTTATAACAGATTGATGGGAATTCATGGTGGATAACTTATAACCAACTATAGATAGTTAGTCTCTGGTAATTTTCCATGCTTTGCGACTGGAAATCATCAATGTTTAACAGGGTAAATCATCGAACTAAATCGGTTATGGCTTCCAGTTCGCAAACTCTTCAATTACCAGAGAGTAAAGGTGGAGCTTTAGACTCCAAAAATGGTGATATCTACCTAAGGCCTGAGTTACTATAGGATACAATGTTGGTAGAAGCAGCAATTATTTGGGCCAGTCAAAAATGGTCAACCCATTTGCACGGAGCGATTGGCTCAGATTGACTGGTGGTACAACCAACGCACCATGGCCTTTTCTGGATGCCAAAAATGGAAGAGATGGACGTTTCCTACCACCAGATGGTGCAACCCTCTTACAGTCCAACCATATCCAACCTGTCAACGGTTTTTCCTAGCATTTTTATGATATTCCCAAAATCTCCCGTGGCCAGCCGAAGTAGTTCACGATGGTTTGTCCGCTTTTTTTCACTGGCGAAAACGATGATTTTGAAGCTTTTCTTTGGTTCAGCAAAACATGAGTAATCAAATTTCGAGATACACTTCCCCCCCAAAACATGATAGATGATTTCCCTATCTTTTCCCATGAACAATGGGCGAACTTGGAAAAAAGTCGGGTTGCGAAATCCTGCGCTCCAGGGTAAGACCTTGGTGGCGATCTTGGCTGCCTTCCTCAATGCGCTCAGCGGAAAGGTGGTTGGGGGGTGGCACGGTGACACGACTGATGAATCTGAAATTGTGATGAGATAGTTTGGATAGTGGTATAGCAATGTATAGCATATATATATAATTATATATATATGCATTATATATTATATATATACATAGATGTGTGTGTGTGTGTTTGTTGAATGTTCAGCTTATGTGAAGAGGTCTCTGTGTTTCCAAGAAATTCCCTCACGGAAACACCTCAATCTGCTGCGAGAATCTGTAGGACACCCCTGAAAGTTGAAGCCCATTAAATCATGAAATCCCCATTTTAAGTCCCATGAGAATGATGCTTCACCACTAGATCCCAAAGCATATTAGATATATTAGATGCCCATTGACCATGATCAACCCATTGGTCATTCCATTTTCCCATGATAATTTCCATTAGATCCCAATTCTAAAGTCAGTTCTAACCATGGTCATTCCATGGGTCATTCTATTAGATCCCATGATTAATCCCAATTTTCCATTAACCATTAGATCCCATTCCCATGATTAACCCATTGGTCGTTCCTTAAAAATCCCCATAGCAACCCCACTTCCGGATGCTTAAATCATGAGATCCCCATGGTTTCCGGCCGCAGGGCGTCCACGTGGTCACGGTGAACGACTACCTGGCGCGCCGTGATGCGGAGTGGGTCGGTCAGCCCTTGCGCTTTCTGGGGATGACGGTGGGGGTGGTGCAGAAGCTTGGCTGGTGAAATGCTTCAACAAAGAGGTAGCGAACCACAATGAAGCACCTAGAAATTTCCATGGTTTATTGAAGTTTATTGCTTATGATTAGGAGGTTATACTGGCTAATGCAAGATTGGAGATGGTGATAGGCCATGATAGGCCATGATTAAAGGAAGACCTATGAACCAACCAGTATGTTCCAAGAAAATGAGATACACATCAAGGCTTAAAAAACCGGGCACAAACTGAACCACAAGACCTGCAAGGAACGGAATGCCACCGGACCAGAAGAAGAAGGCCTACCGGTGTGACGTCACCTACGTGACAAACAGCTACTCGACCGCCGAAAGGAAGTTCTGACTGCTGTGAGGAAATCACACATGATCATAGGAACATCATCTATGAATCGTTTTTTTTCAGGTTTTTTCATTTTCAGGTTTTTTCATGGAGATTCTGGTTGATTCAAACTCGGCTGTCACACAGGGTGCCAAAACAAGCCCTCCAAAGTCCAAGTGTTTCAAGCCACAACATGGTTAATTCACGAAAGGATAGATCCCAGCGACCCAAGAGATACTTGTAGGACTGTTTTTACTTCCATCGGATTTTGCTCTCCTGCCTATTACAGACGGAAGCTCCCCTTAGTTGCAAGTTAAGGGGCTTGAGAGTCTGTGGCCCAATCATTTTGAATTTGTAGTTGCATAGAAGATTTCAAGCGAATTGTCAACCCCAAACATCAATGCATGAAGTAAATCGGGCAAAAGATAGTTCCCCCCACACACAAAGGCTTTTGATCAGTCTTAAACTTGTTGGTTGGCAGCCTGCTTGTGCGTGGGTTCTTGTTGACCAGTTTGTTGGCGGGGTGTCAATGCCAAATTTGATGCCCGTAGTGACAAAGCCTGACAGGAGAAAAGACGTGAGTAGTGAGGCTGATGTGAACAAACAGTTTCGCTTTGCCACGAATCGCATGTTCATCTGGTTGCCGCAATGTGTCAGTCTAACACGTCTGGCATGACATGCAATGGACCAACACATGGCGGCTCCAATGCGAACGCGCCGCGTTGCTTGGATGAGCCTTGCGGTAGTCCGGGGCACCACAACCAACAAACTGATAGGCGCTTGGCACAAGCGCTTGCAGAGCTGGAGCGCCTTTTTTTTCTGGGCGCGGCTTGGTGCGACGCCTTGCGCGCTGGGCGTTTTGCAAGCGCCAACCCCAAGGTTTTTTCCGCCCCGACATGGGTTGCCTACGACCGCATCGGGCCACTTCAGGTTAAGTTTTCTTACCCCAAGGGCAACATTTTCATGAACTTGTTGTTCGTTCCTTTTGCGTTGAAAGCCACAAATCATAGGACGGGACGAGACAAGGCTTAAATAGCCCCTTTTTGTTGCTAGCCGCTCTGACCCATGCCCAACCGAGTTCATCTTACACAGCATATATGCCGCTATTAGTGACATTGAAAGGTGGCACCTTTGGACGGGGGCGCTGTGACTTTGTTTTGTTGTGATCATCATTTTGTACCATGGATGCTAAAGATGTTCGGGGGCGAACATCGCTCAAGCTGGTTGGGAATCATGGGGTTCTTGGTGATGTCAATTTCGTGGTTTATGGCCAGCTGGTGTTTTTTAGGACCCCAGAGAACCCCAGGCCTCACAACCAATGTCCTTGACATGGATGATTGCCATCGAAAATGCCATTGAAGAATGGAAATCAGGAGGATTACGCACAGGAACCATGAATGTCCAGTGGGAGGTTTTCAAGCAATTCTTGTGACACCATGTAGGTGCCTTTTGTGGCCTCAGGTGAGCAACGGCCACAATTTTCGGTGGTTGATGATCAGGAATACGGGTTTGGGTTGTTTTTTTTCCATGGAAATCATGGACCAATTTGATGTGGCAAACCACTCTTCACCAACCAGTAGGTTTGGGAATGACAGGTTCCCATCATACCCCCATTTATTGATCCAAAAGGCCAAGGATGATCCAATTGAACCATAAGAAACACCACTGTTGATTGGTCAACATAGGCGTTATAGGACCCAATCTAGTGAGGTTTGTTGGAAACTATATAGTGGGATAGTTATTTACCAGCCAGTATGTCATGGGCCCCAACGCAGGTGACATGACATAGTATGCAGAATTAGATACCAGTTGGTAAATGCGAACTGAACCTAGTTGACATCGAAATATTGGCAATTTTCATAGGATTTTTATGGCTCAATTGGAATCCTCACCTGGTGACATCAATTCGCCACAAATTGTTCAGGTGAGTTGGGTTTCGACTACCTGCGCGACCAAATGGCGCCATCTCCCTCTGAGTTGGCACTGCGTGAGCAGTCGCCCTTCAACTTCGCAGTGGTGGATGAGGTCTGCTTTGGGTCTGAAAGTATCTGAAAGTGGGGTGTATTTATCTCAAATAACCAATGAAATGTGGAAACATGATGATAATCCATGATAATTGGGGGTATACTAGATTCAGACAAAACCACTTGGCCTCTGAACATGATTTATCCTCCGGTAATCTAACATAGCCATGGCAATTGCATGCATGCAATTGCCCATTTATAGATGATTTACTTATTAGAAATGGTAATTTTCCATAACTATGGTTAGGTTACAAGAGAGTAATGGTAGTGGATAGGAATGGATAATACCCACATGTGCCAGCTATAATCTTGCAAATCAAAGCTCCATTCATGTTGATTTCGTTTCCTCATTTTTTTGCCACCGAAATAACACCGTAAATGGGCAGAATTCCGTGTGGAACCCGTCGACGCTGCAAGGTGGACTCCATCCTTATTGACGAGGTGCCCAGGGCACTAGGGCTTTCATATCACAAGCCGGGGAAGGTTTTTGGTTTGTGGATTGGATGGCTGACTCAGACGACCCGTCACATTGACCGTCACAGACTCAGAGGATGGTTCGAACAGAATCAGGATGCAGAAAGATATGGATGTCCTGCAAAGGCTCTTTTAGACAAAATCATAGATCAATGAAGAATCTAAGATTCTTAGGCACACATTGCAATATAATCAAATCAATATAGCTATAGAGGTACCAGAACAGTATCATACTATAGAATTACTATATGAAATGACGACATCAATCATCGGATCCCTTGCCAGGCCCGAACTCCTTTGATCATCTCGGGCGTCGCCGAGAATACACCCACCAAATACAAGGCGTCGCTGCTCGATTTGGGGAATTGGATAAACAAAAAAACTGGAAATTCACTGAGCTATAGGAAGGTGGATGATATTGAACATGTTGGAAGATAACATAACTATATACAACTAGATCGTTTTACTATTTGGCCTCCAAAAAAGAGTGTGCGATGGACAATTGTTTGTGAAAGTGGATTATTTACCATGATTTCTTTTAATGGTGGTTTTCCATAGCTATGTTAGACCAGAGAGGGTACTTGGTGAGATGCACAGAAAAAAAGGTGTTTGGGGCCCATTAGTTTGGTTCGATATCGCCACATCTTCTTGGTTTTGCCGTGTCAATGCTGCAGAAAAACAGATTCATTGTTCTTCCAGTTTTGTTGGGGGAATCTGATTTACCTAAAAAGTCATGTTTCATCGTTAGCCCATTTGAGGTTTTGTGTGGTTTTGTTTCATCCTCATTATCCATTAAATCCGCATTAATCCTCATTATCCATTGTAGGATATGGTTATACCTACCTAAAACTCTTACTATTTCATGGATTAACCATGATCCCCATGATTTTTTGGATGACTCCTCATCCCCACATTTCATGGCCAACCAACTGGGCCTGCCCCATCTTTTGGGGCACCTTCCAGGTGGCACAGGAAGTGGTGCGAGCCTTGAAGAAGGAGGTGATCTTCCAGCCGGTTTTGTGAACGGGTCATCAGTTCAATTGGAAAAAACGACCCTCTGGTAAACATACAAAAAGCTATTGAACATGGCCATTGAAATAGTGGATTCACCCATTAATTGCATGGTGGTTTTCCATAGTTATAAAATGTTATAAACAAATCTATCAGTTTTATATTGAACAATCGGTTATAAATTGATTATCAATCAATTTATCAATTCAAAAATCAATTATTGGGAAAATCTGATAAAGATCATAGATGAGACAATATTGGAATATCAATGATTGGACGGAGGATCTGAAAATAAGCGTTAATCTGATAAACTAGAAATCAATTGGATTGAGAATCATGACATACCGTCAATGAATTGGGAAAATAAGTGGATTTAAGAAAGAATGATCACTTGGACTAGGGGGATTAAGTATCATGATTTATTAGTAGGTTTCATCATCATTTGGATTATGATCACCGATTTATGATCAGCGGATCATCACCATCAAGATTGGAGGATTTGGATTTGGGACCATCTGGGAGACGTATTTGGGACACATCTCCAAGGTTGGACCGTTTCAAACATGGCCAGATTTCTCATCCATTCGAGATCACAAAGAAGGGGCACACATATTGAACACCATTCAACCAGTCTTTTTTGGGCTGTTCGAAGGATGCGCCCGGCGAAGGTGCACTACACCGTTGATGAGAAACAACGGCAGTGCGTCCTCATCGAGGCACCCCACATGATGCGTCGGTGTCAGGATGATGCGTCGGTATCGATTCTCGGCATTTTCGGGATGGTTTAAAGCCAGGACAGCAATAGATCAATAGGCGAAATGGATTGAGATGATCATAGATGATCATAGATGATCCAAAAAACCGATTGGAACACGGAAGATGGTGTGTTTTTTTTCCAAAGGTACCCGGGTCAGCCTGGTCGTTGTGAGACTCTGTGGTCGTGGCAGGGTGGTGTGGAAGCCGCTGAGAAACTTCTGGGAAAGGACGACCTTTTTGATCCGGAGGACGACGATTTGAGATGGATGAGATGGGGGGTTTACCCTCTGGTAATTTAACGGTTTGCTATTGAACATGGCCATTGAAATAGTGGATTTACCCATTAGTGATTTTCCATAGTTATGTTATTTTACCAGAGGGTAAGCAACACAACGAAAGGGCGACTAGACTTCGTAAATAAAGATGGCAATGGAATGCAATGGACAAACAAATGCCAGTTTTGAAGTCATTGATCAATTGATCTTTAATGATCTTTAATGGATATCCATGTTTGTTGAAACCGCAGGGAAGCATTGATCGCTTAGTTGGCTTAGTGATGAAGCGCAGTTACTGGGATAAGAGTCTTCAAAGGTGTGCCAAAGTCCACAATGCTGGAGGTATTGCCTGCACGCTTTTCAACCATTTTTTTCCAGAACACCAGGACTGTAGCAATGGCAATTTCATGCAATTTCCTATGAATTCAACTGGTCATGTTTCTACGTACGTTGTGTTCAGAAGGGCTCCAGACTTGGGATGACGTCGTCGGTGGCGTGCTGAATCTGAGAGGACCCTTGGTTCCCTTTCATTACCAACGCATTGAATGCGAAAGAGCTCTACATCAAAGACAAGGCCAGAGTTTGATTAGCCGATTAGCCCTTTTTTCAGCATCTCATTGACATACGCGCGGCTGCTGGATGCCGGTCAAAATGGTAGTTCCAACAGTTGACATTCTAAAAATAGGGTCATCCGCAAGCCGCCATCAGATCGTAGTCCCATCATCCCTTTCCCCGGAATCATCAAGGCCTACATCGTGAAACGTGGTGAAGTCATGATGCTTGGCATGGGATCAGGCTGTGGTCATTGAGGTATCACTGAGTCACTGGCAATCGAAACCTGCAAAAAATGCAACAAAAAACCATCATTTGAAATTTGTTTGTGCTTTCAAAGAACAAACAAATGGACATTTGTCAGATTTTGCCATATTTTTCAAGCTCCCCAATTTGGCCTTGGTTTATTGAACCTTGGTTTAGCACCAAGCTTAGCACCCCCCACCTGGGCCCCAAAGTGTCTCAAGGATCGTGGACGAGTTCACCGGTCGCGTCATGGAGGGACGCCGCTGGAGTAATGGTCTCCACCAGGCAGTGGGAAGGCGACAGGTGAACGATGGGAAAAAAAGGTCATGTTTAATGGGGGGAACCCATTTTAACCAGTTAATGATGGTTAATGATGGGGGAATCAACAATGGTTAATGATGTTTAATAATGGTTAATGATGTTTAATAATGGTTAATGTCATGTTGGGAATAAACATCAATAAACGCCAGGCATTTGAGGGTGCCAGGGTTTTGACACATAGCCATATATCACAGATCACAAAAACAACTTGGGAAATGGGCTAGATTCCTGTTGAAATTTGAGAAACACAGATAGATGGGGTAGATCAATTGAACACATCGACATTTCCGAGCCATAGTTTTCTTTGTCATAGTCCCAAAAACATCCAAAAACCAAGGGGGAAAAAACATGTAATAATCTGATCTTCGTAAAACCCTTTCGCGCCCTAGCCCGTGAAGGCCATTGAAGCGAAAGAGAATGTGCAGATTCAGGCCGAGTCCGTTACCTTGGCTAGCAACTTGGCTGAAGATTCGGAAGTCACCAGCGACAAACATGGGATGAAAAATGGGATATGAATCCCAGACCTATCACCAACACTATGGATGTTTACCGGTGTGGAAAACCAGGGTAAAACCACTAATGTTGACATCATTCGCCCCAGAAAAAAACAATAATTTTGGGGAATGCACAGCATTGACATGCCCAGATGGCAGAAAAGGGGGGTTTTGATGAAATCTGGTTCTGGAGGATTTCTTGGGAGAGTGGAACAGTTGCCACTGTGACAAGTTCTTTATGGCAACCATCATACTGTGTCCATCATACTGTGAAGCCAAGAATGAAACCAGACTTGGGGATGGATTGATGTACTCGGCTTTGGCCAAACATGTCACCGTGTCACCCCGCAGCAAGGCATATCCTACCAGAGTCTCTTCCGCCTCTTTGACAAGTGCCTCGCTGAGGGGAATATCACTGGGGAAACCCACGTGCAAAACTGGGATGCCACCAAGTCATGGCCAGCAAGTTATGGGGGATCCCAGTGATGGGCAAAAGTGACTGGTCAGCTGTTGGATGGGTTTTTAGTGATTTTTTAAGCCCATGTTTGGGACAAATCCATGGTACTTCATCCACGGGGTGAAAATTGGATGGACTTCAAGTCTCTGGTGATCTGCACCGCTAATGAAGTCGTTTCACGAAAGTTTTTGGAGTCTTGCAGCCCCACGAAGATCTGTTTCAAGATGATTTTCACTTGTTGCAACCAACAGAAGTCACCGCTGAATAGACATGACATGAAGAGAATAAGACCTCCAGCTTACTAAACCAGTTTCTATATGTGTATTAGTATACATATATATATATATGTAATATATATACTGTGCTTCTGCCATGTGGGTGCATGGTGCACGTGCATTGTTTCTCAGAGTTGCAAGGGTTCCTTCTAGGAGTTGCAGTCCAGGAGGTTGTGTTTAGGTCAGCATGGAGAATCTGTTGCAGCCGCCGCTCAGCCATCACTCACAGATTGCATGCAGCAGCTCTGTCGGGCCTTCGGTGTGGATCCAGCGCCACATGAGTCACAGGACATGGCTGTAACAGCACCAATTTTTCGCATTCATATGCCACAGAGTCACAGCCCAGCAACAGAAGGGTATAGGCTTCCATGCAAAGACATCCAAGACAGCACCCAGGTGGCCGCAGCCTTGCCCCATGGCTCACGCACCTGCGGCGACTCCAGTGGCTTTAGCAGAAACCATTGCAACTTTGCAAGCAGACCTTGCCAGAAACAGAGCGGCCGGAGTGCAAGCCAAGCATGCCAGATACCGAGCAAAGAAGGAAGCAGCCTCTGGAGGTTTTAGCCCTCTTGCTTGCAAAGCGATCGTTGCCGTCTATGTGTTGTCGGACTGCAATATGGAGCTAGCGCTTCGCTTCGCTGCCCTGTGGCCAGCAGTCAAGCCGACCTCAGGGACAACACGGGTTGTGGTGGAAGATTTGTTTTTGAGCACCACAGACTTAGACTTGCAGCACATTTTTTCACCTTCCGCGACTCCGTGGGCACGGCCAGTGCGGCATGCAGCCGCTTTTCTGGCAGAGGCTAACACTTTCAACTGGGTTCTGGCTTGCAACCACGTCGGTGTAGCACCGCTATCGCTGGATGTCTATGCCACGTGGGAGAAAGCGCGGTTTGGCAGCCTCCTGGAGGGTTTGCCGCCTCGCCGGCATGTGAATCAATGGGTGCAGCGCTTCCGAGCCAAGTGGAACCTGCGGCGCCGAGTCCTACGTCCACAAGTGCACAGGGACCCAGTCACGGTGCAGGCTAAGGCGCCAAGCACGGTCGTGTTTTTGCGACCGTTTTCCGGCTCCAAAAATGGGGCCGGGCAAGCTCATTTCAATTCGGACCTCCTCCCACATGTGGTCATGTTTTCCTAGCCTCCCTGCTCGGCTTCGCCCTGTCAGGTGAGAACCTTTTGGCAGTTACTCTCCTACTACGTGAACACGAAGTTTGTGGACAAGACTCCGCTGTTTTTGAATTTAGACGAAACTAGCATTCCCTACACCATGCTGCAATTGCCCGGCTGCGTTGCTTTGCCACGACATGCCAGTCTTCGCATGCCTGTCCGGAAACAAGACGTGCGAGGGGCTTTGACCTATGTGAGCATCATTTGTGATGCGCCGCATATTCAAGGCAAGTTGCCGCACTACCTTTTTGGGACTGAGACCAAGCTGACACAGAAGTTGCTGAGGGGCCAGCGGCGCTTGCCACAAACGGCGCTGCACATAGTACGTCAGAAAAGTGCTTGGACATCCTGCAAGAACATCACCAAGATTGTGCGCGATCTAGGCAAAGTCTTAAAACCTTATCCATTTCAACCTATCTTGTTGCTGGATGTTGCGTCCTCACATCTCGCAAAGGAAACCATGGTGTGCGCTCGGCGCAATGGTGTCCAGCTCCTGTACATACCAGCCGGATGTACAGACAAAATCCAACCGTTAGATATAGCAGGTTTCCACCCATTGAAAACACATTTGAAGAGGAAGTACCAGGAACTGAGGGCAGGTTCCTGTGAGGGTTTGATAGACCCGTTAGCCTGGCTTTTTGAACTCATGCAGTGTCCCAGCTACTTTGCCGGCAAGAGTTGGAAACGCACTTTTGAATCTGTTGGTGCGGCGAAGCCGCCCGATACGGCGCACCTCCATACGGAGTTGCGAAAATTTATGGATATGCCACTGCATATGCCTCCAGGCAGCAAGCCCTCTAAAGAAGCCATGCAAAGCATCTGGCCTGAGCGACGCCGTATGGCGTACGCGTACACGGCTCTGTTGTGACGAGGTGCGAGCCGGGAGAAAAATTGCGCGGCAGAGCACACATTGGCAGACATACTATCAGGGTACATCGGTGCATGACCATTTTGTCACATTCTCGTAGCCATGTTTCTGGGGTCGTGAACAGGGGTGAAAAGGAGGTACCAGGCAAGCACAAAGAGAACACAGGATCATCTTGAGGACTGCATGCAGTTTGAGTGGAGCAAGCCTGTTGTTCGCCCGCCTTGAGTGCCATGTCCGCTGCTGATGCAAACGCCGCGGCAGCTGCAGCCCCACCGGCCGCGGCTGATAGGGTTGCTGTGCTGAAGGAAGAGCGCAAAAATTTGAAACGCCAGTTAGCAGCAGCCACCAAAGAACTACAGAACCAGGAGAGTGCATGTAAATGCATGGATACGGTGTCTTTTCGTGAGTGCAGGTGGGACATGTGAACGCTGAACCCATGTTGAAAGACATGTACTCCATAGCCTGCAGGAAAGGAAAGAAGACGTCTTCTACGACAAGCAGGAAAGCTGGATGTGAGTGATTTGACGTGGCTGCTGGCACGTCGCATGCATCCAATGGCAAGCCCGCATGAGTAGAGTCAAGCCGTGCACTATGTGGAAAGCGCCATGCCAAAGACATAGAGCGCTTGGAGTGAGAGCGGCCATGTGAAGGTTCGAAAGCACCATGCCAAAGGCATGGACACTAGGAGGGAAAGCTGGCAACCGCAGACTTGCAAGCGCCATGGTCAAGACATAGAGCGCTTGGAATGAGACCATGTCAAGGCTGAAAATCCCAATGCCAAAGGCATAGCGCGGCAGGAGTGAAAGCTGGAAACCGCAGACTTGCAAGCGCCATGTCGAAGACAAAGCGCTTGGAAGACATGCGCGGTCCAGAGACCCCATTTAGAAGACATCCAGGGATACAACGCTAGATAGACAAGATATCTCCCCAAGAATCTTCCCACACCCCACCTCCAAAACATCACCTGACCCCCCCTGGTATATTATTATAATTCCCAAACGGGGTATGCGGTCCCGCTCCTATAAATTCACAGGTAAAGTGGTCCCGCCGACGGCGGGACCGGTCCCGCCTGCAACCTGGAATCGTGGGAATTCCCACATTTTGCGGTCCCGCCGCGGTCCCGCTGCGGTCCCGCCTATAGTAATTGCGTACTGTCGCGCGCAGCAGCAACAGCAGCTTTGAGACATTACCCCCATGCACATCCTTCCCATTCCATCATTTGCAGCGGCCATGTTCCCACATCACATCTACCTCTTTTCCACCCCTTCTTCCAGCTTCCATTCCTTTTTTTTGCAGTGCTGTCGCAGCATGGCGTCTGTGGATCGCACGTGTGCGAAGCGGCAGCCGGAGAGAACTGCAGTCACGTCGGGTGAAAACATGGGCCGTGAGCGGTTTTGTTTCTGGGGCAGACCGTCTCTGTAGATATTGCTACTCAGACACGTGCCTCTACCAGTCACATTTCTCTAGCGGAAATCATCAGCAGCATTCCTGGGTGTCAACGGTCGACACGCTTTTTCCAGACCTGTGGGCCATATGCACGTCCAGCTAGCAGACTATCTGCTCCATGTGCTTTTTTCATGCTCAAGCCTGTGACCTGCATTCTGCTTTAAGGACGTGGTGGTGAGTTCCTTGCTGTTTCTAGTGTCAAGCCCTCTCCAAAGGAAATGGGCCACCTGACAGCAAAGCGGGGTGTCGCAAGCAACTGACGTAGCACATCGCATTGGAGCCTTGCACCCAAGACATGCCATGCAGACAGGATGTTTCCGCATTGCACTTGGGCCGAGCCATGAGATCCTCCACGACACGGAAGCGTGCTGCGTGCGGGTCGTTGCGGGAACTGCTGCAAGCCAACCAGCTCGAGGTGCCGAAATTTCGGGGTGAATTGTCTCGCGCCGACTTTGCAGCGCAACGACAGCGCCTGGAGAACTGCACCTTGTCTCCGAGTGACACTCAGAAGCTGCGAGACATCATTGACCTCTATGAGGTGCCTCACCTGTTTGTCGGGTGCTAAAGACTGCGACCCATTGTTCGGGTCACTTTTCACATTTCTCACCCTGCTGCGACTTGCTCAGCCGTCCTGGTTGGTGCTACCATTCGCTGGGTTTGCACGGCCTTCTGGTTCACACTGTTTCTAATCAGCTTTGCAGGGCGTTGCAGCAGCAGACGAAGCTGGTGCAGCAGCATCGACCCAAGAGGATGTGGATATGGCAGCAGCCCCAGGACCAGGTCAGACCGCAAGTAGTTGCCATTCTGTCCCTGCATCCGGGACGGTGCTTTCCGGAGGGTAAGAGACCTAGAGCAGTGGATGGACATGACATGCATCAGTGACAGTAGGCAAGCCTCAGCCTTGCATGCAGATGGGAGAGACTGAACTAGAAGGGGTATAGTCATGAGTCCTAGTCGCAGCCACTTCATCGTTGCACATTTTTCACAGGTGATGCCCGCCCTTTTCGTCTTCGAGCACGAGCAGTGTTGGTAACCTACAATTCCTTGCAGCTGCAGCTGGCGGATTTCGATGAGTTCCTTACTTGGCTTGCAACGTGTGAGTGGGTCGGCAAATGGAGTGCCACGATGGAATCAAGTTTGCGTTCGGAGGATGCTGGCCGTCTACATATTCATTGCTTCCTGGAATTCGCCCGCCCCGTCGACTGGCAATCATGCACGGCGCTCCGTTTCAAGGGCATTCAGCCCAATCTTTCCCCATGTCGGGCACGGGGCGCACGCTGGCGAGATGCGGCAGACCAAGGACATTTTTACGTTTGGGCTGCAAAGGTGCATCTCCGTTGGGTTACCTTGTAACGACATTCTATCTCATGTTGAAAGTTGCAGTTCATGTAGGCCACCTTTGTCACTAATCCGATCGTGTGGCAGCAGCATGACGTAGCTTCTAGTTGATCATCAGTAGACCTGGCAGCTTTGCAGCAGATCGTGTTTGCAGTCAAACATTTTGTAGGCCACCTTGGTCTGGGCACCCACGAGCCTGATTTGGATGAACTGAACTCATTGGACCGCTATCTACGTGGTTGGTCTTGCATAGGCAATCCTTCTTCTTTGTACGCATTGATTCAAGATTTATCACTATCGATATATCGAAATATATCTCTGCATATAAACATATATATGTGGTGATCCATCTGAAGGTCCTGATAACGAGTTTCAATTGCAAACACAGTTCATTTGTGCTGGGACCCCGCGCGAAAGTTTGTTTGCGAAACAGAAACTGTTTGCTTCGCGAAAGTGTCGCGAACGGTGGCTAGAATGCATCATCCTCATTGTCTACAGTACCGCTTGTTAAGGGCTACCACCGCCTCCCTGCTGTCGGGGGTCCGGCAGGAGACTGGGACCGCACATTGGCTTTTCCCTTCATAGGTAGCAGCCAGCTTCCGAAGGTCACGCTTCGCCAGAGCCAAATACCATGGTGGCCAAGCACATCCTTGCACCTGCCGCTGGTCCTGCCTAACGTTGCTTTCTGAAGTCTCAAGAAACAACCGCGAAATGCAGCAGCCAAGCTTCGAACAGGGACACTTTGCAAGAGCCAAACACCAAGGCACCTGGTGTTTGCTTTTCCTTTGCCGCCCCCCCGTGCTCCTGGCTGTGGTCTGCGGAGACAAGTCTTTGCACGACAGTTGCACGCAAGTGCTGCAAAAGACTAGGTAAAGTTAAAGGGCATTTTGAAGGGCGTGGCCCAGTAAGCCTTGCTAAAAAAGTTCCTCAGCAGCAAGAACCTGTTCGCGAAGGGGATTCCGTGATGCTAGCACAATGTTTGCAAGGCTATGAAGCACTTTTCCGTGCTAATTTGGTGTGATTTGGCCTGTGCCGATTGAATCTTCATAAGCGGAGTTATTGCTCAACATGGGTTGCGCGAAAGATACACATGCAGTTCGCGAAGGATGCGCGAAAGAAACTTTTTGCTTCGCGATAAATGGCCGTTTGCAGAGACAGGAATTGACAGCAAGCGGCATATGTAGATTGTTTCGTCGCCAGCATCACATCTAATCTAATTGTCTGGACCCACCACCAGATCATTTCCTCGGCTGACATGCCTTGAGTGCTGGGTGGAATTCACCCGGGCGATCTGTGCAGGTAGGAACCCATTTCGTTGCCACCAGCTCCTACGAGGCGTTCAAGGACTACACAGTGCAGGGCAGATGGCTGGATGCGCTGTGGAGTGGGCACAAGCTTTCTCATCAGCAGTACCTGCAGTACGCGTGCCTGGGTTAAGCAGCATTGTTTTCATTCCGGAGATACATCAGGGTCCACATTTATTGGACGCTCCATGGCTGCATGGCGATCAGCATATGTAGATATATAGAGACATTTTTCGAGAGATTTAGATACACACGCACACACACACATATATATATATATCTCTTCGAGACAGATCTATACAAAGATATGTCTTTCTATATCTATCTATATCTATCTATGGATATATATATATATATCTATATATATATATATACATGGACCCAGGGGTGCGGATGCCAAAGACTCACTTTAGGCGGTGTCATTGCAGTTGACTTGTCAATAGCTGTTTATCGATCCCCCTTGATTGAAGCTCTATATGGAAGGGAAGAACCCATGTCCGGATGAAATGATTAAACCCATACTATAAATGTTTCTTTATCATATTTTATGTGGTCTGGAATATGGGTACCATAATATACAAGTAATAAAGTGGGATGGAGAAACCTTAAAATTCAACGAGGTCTGCATACCACTATTTATAAACACATATGCGCACGAAAACATGATCAGAATTCCTTGTCCCGATTCTGCTGGGGCGCGAACGGTTCGCGAAAGGGTGGCGTGCGGGCAGTTTTCGGGTACCAGAATATTGACCAACTCCGAAAAGATTTGTATGAAATGGAACATAACATAAACCCAATGTGAATTTCAGTGGGACCACTTCATAGCAGGTCCATTTCATAGAATAGGGAACGTCACAAACACCTATGTTGTTTATAAAAGTGCTGCTTCGAGTCTGATAAAGTGTCCGAACATAAGCAATAATTTGGCCGTAACATATCTTCAGATACCTTCAAATATCCCCCTTGGAATTTCCTCTACAGAATCAAGAACGTTGGGTCCTGGAAAATGGTGCGTTTTAACCCCCTGCTTTGTTTAGGGGTACCTACCCAGTGTCAACGCTTTCAATTGTATAGAGGACCTTGGGGCCTCTGATTCTATAGAGATTTCATGTTGAATACAGCACTGAGTCCTAGTCAGCAGAAAGCCTTAGCCACTGCGATTCTATAGTTGGATCTGTTCTCTTTGGGTGTATGTCATGTTCTTCAATTCTATAGAGAAGTATTGGCAGAACAAATTTCCCACAACAATTCGTTCATCATCATTGATCATCCTTGTATATAATCGAAGAGGTTGACAGTGAACACTTGGAGCCTTTGAGCTCTATAAAATTGGGAATGCATAAGGTAAGGTAGGCAAGAGCAACTGGAGCATTCAGGTCAGCTGTCAATGAATGACACTTGGGGAGCCTGATTTTATAGAAGGCCAACTAACCCCCCCAACCAAAAAACGGCTCTACGAGAGTGACTTGGGGGCAGCGATTCTAAAGAGATTGTCAACTTGAAAATACCTTGGGGTCTCTGATTCTATAGATGCATTTTCAGAAAGAGGGCCAATGTCTCCAGAATTATCACTATAAAAGTGTCAACACCGTGTGCAGCAGGTTGCAGGTGCGCTTGGGCTATATCACCCGCAAACGCGCTGTGGAAGCAGTCATGCAGCAGGAGAGCGAAAGTCGCCTCCGACGTGAGCAGGCCGAAGTGGTGGCTCAGCTCCAGCCATTGCAAAAGCCATTTTTGCCAGAAGTGGTTGCCCGAGTCGAAGACTGGGCCAAACAGTATTCCATTTTAGATTCTCGGTACAAATTTCTTGTGCTCCGGGCGCCTTCGCGCGCTGGCAAAAGCACCTTGGCAAAATGCCTCCATTTCGTTTTGCCTACGTATATCCAGAAGCCTCCTTTCATTCAAACTGTCCAGGGTGCCACGGCCGCTGAGTTACAACATTACGACAGAGATTCTCACGGCTTTATCCTGTTCGACAATTGCAATTCTATGTCCTTTGTGCTATCTCAGCGGGCCTTATTTCAGGCAAACCCAGACTTTCATCGCTTAGGCCAGTCACAGACGAACATATTCTCATATCAGGTTTATTTATTCAGGGTCCCCATTGTGATCACCATAGATGAATCAACTGACTGGGATGATGACGAACCATGGATTCGCGAGAATCAGCATTTGGTGCAGCTTACCGGCCCGTGTTATCATTTGGAGTAACAGCCTGCATGGGGTAGAGAAAGGCATGGCTTGGGTTAGGTTTGTGAAACCGCCTGCGGGGGAGATTTGGGTCTACAGCTGCTTGAACCCTCAATGTATATAATATATATATATTACATATATATATAATTATAAATAAACAGGGGGAAGGGATTTCGCCGCAGCACATATTCCGAGGTTGAGTGGCATGACAGGCACCGCTTTTACCGAAGCCAAGGAGTTTGAGGAGGTCTACAAGTTGAAAACCGTCGCTGGGCCGATGGACAGAGATCCAAGCTGGGCCAAGCTGGGGTTGTCTCACCAAAATGTGCGGATTCTAGCAAGAGCCACGTGGATTTCACATGTAACATGATTTACCCTCTGGTAAACTAACACAAAAAGCTATTGAACATGGTGATGTAGAAATAGTGGATTTACCCATTGATAGCATGGTGATTTTCCATAGTTATGTGATCTTTGACCCGAACACTTCACCAACGAGTTGGATTTTTTTGTTGGGCGTTGGAACCCTGGAAGCTCCAGATTTTCGCAGCCAGCAATGATATCCCAGTCAGAAATCCAGGTGGTGGTACCTCCCAACTTGGTCAGGCGGCTGTTTTTTTTTTTCGGGTGGCGAAGTTTGCGATGACCAAATATCTGATGTGTTCTATGACAAATCCTCGGGATGGTTTATGATTGGATCTACCAGTTCACCACGTTATAAATCAGACGATTCGTTGGTGGTTTGGAACATTTTTTTTTTTTCGTATATTGGGAATGGAATAATTACTGACTTTCAGTCCATCATTTTTCAGAGGGGTTGGTCAACCATCAACCAGCTATTTGTGGTAGCCATCCCGTTGGAGTCTGACCACCCTTGGGGAGTGCCTGGAGATTTCAGGCAGTGGCTGGATGTTTTTTGTCATGCTGTGACTGAAATCATGCACCGGTTGATGGTTTATCCCATGGTTTATCCCATGGTAATCCCATTCTTTACAGTTATCCCATGATAATCCCATTGTAATAGCATTATGATCCCAGTGTTTCACAGTCACGAAAGGAAAACCTGGTGCAGGATGCCTTGTCCATCCCCAGTACTGTAGGATCCTCCCAAGTTTCTTGGATCCCAGACATTCTGACAGGAAGCGCGAAGACAAGGACGATCAGGCACGTTGGTTTGAAGAAACCCCTTTAACAGGTAAATGATGATAGATGGTATACCAAATTCCCATTGGTTGGTTGATGAATATTAAAAAAGAGGGGTTTCTGAAGGTAGAAACCCCTTTAACAGGTACTGTAAATGATGATAGATGGGATTAACCAGCTCCCGGCCCAAACCTATTTTTACCCAAAGGACATCAAATTAGTGTAGTGTTCGTGTTGAATGTTCAATCGTGTAGACATCTGCTTGTGCATCCAGGTCTATGTGGATGACATTGGCAAATGGAAGGTGCCATGCTGCCATGCTGGGCTGGAGATTGAGTTGAAAGGGGACCTTCGTAACCTGACCGTCTTTGCTCCGGCCCAAGCTGCTCGAAGAGTGTCGACTTGATCTGGTTTCCACATGTTTCCATAGATCACCCCAAGGCTAAGAAGCCGTGCCAGTCGGGTCGGGTCAGCCATGACAATCAGCAAGGCCTTCTTTGTGCGCCAGCAAGCGATGGAGGCTTGCTCTTTGAAGCGTCTTCCAACCCCAGCAGCGTCTGGCAAGTCACACTTGACTCCGTTGCAGAGTAAAACAATGTAGCCAGAATGTGATAGCTGCTGCTGAGAGCATTCCGTGGTGAGTTCGGAAGGCAAGAGAGCTGTGGCAGGAGTTCAGCAATATCAACTCTATTTTTTTGGGCCCTGCAACTTTTCGAGAAAGTTAAACAATATCTGGCAAAATATACCTGACGCAGATGACTTCTAGGCCTTGACTGTGGGGAGATGCCGCAGTGTTCCAATTTCTTCAAGGGCTGGTGAAACAGGCAAGAGCTGGTGAGTCAACCGATGCTGTCAACGCTTTCACCTGAAATGCTGTGCCGTGGTTTGCCGTGTAATTTCTTCTGCTTTTGAAGGGAAAAAATGTTAAAAAGCCGAGTCAAAGTCAGATGAAGAAACTGGGCCTGATGAAGGAACGGAGCCATCGCCGTTGATGTTTTCACGGCCATCCAGCCTGATGACATTTTTCAACAGCATGGCATGGTACTTTCATGGATGACCGAGCTCCGGCGTTGTGGCAGGTCGCCGATCAAAATTGCTATGTCGTTGTGTGTCTGACAATATTGGTATTGCTATGAGTTAACTATAGTAGCTATTGGTATCATATTGGTATCATATTAGTATTATTAATAGTACTAATAACCAATGTTCATTTTTTCATATTTTTCGTTAAGTCATAGCCTGGAATCGTAGACTCATAGACAGTTGCCCTTTCAACCAATGACAGCCACTCTGGATGAATGGCAATCAAATTGATTAATGTGTACAATGACAGGACATGATACCACAGCGCAGGATACAAACATCACTTTAGTGGTTGATATCCAACATGAAACCTAAAGTTAGTGATTCCAATGAGAATCTTCCGAAGCCAGTTTTATTGTACTCTGATTGGTGGTTTGGAACATTTTTTATTTTTCCATATATTGGGAATGTCATCATCCCAACTGACTTTCATATTTTTCGGAGGGGTAGGTCAACCACCAACCAAGTTTTATTGTACATTCGTATGCATATGGCGGATGAGTTTGTGGCCAATGACGACCATCAACATCATCAGGGAACCACTGGATTGGGGGGGGGCTTTTAAGGCACCGTAAACGGGGTGAAGATTTTCCCTTAAACCAAGCCATTGACATTAAACCCAATAGTAGACCATCCTCGAGTCAGCATTATGGGTGCTAAACAAACTTTTCTCACATGATTATTCTTAGCTTTATTATTTGAGAGCTATTTTTTTTGTAGCTGATGATTTTGGGAATGCTGGCCAGCTCATCCAGTTGGGAATGGTACCTAGTCAGCATTTTTTATGGCTGCCATGAAAGCCCTGAACGCTTTCCCGCATTGGAAGCTCCAGGCGGTGGCGCGAGAAGTGGAGAACGCTCATCGAATTGGAAGGCCGTGCCTCATTGGAACCACCAACGTGCGATCTCCCGGTATCGAAGTTTGGGGACGGCGCTGGAGATCCCCCGAAGATTGGATGATTGTCGTATGGGGAATTGGACAAAACTAGGGTGCCATAAATATAGATCCCGTGGATTGAAACTTCTTGTTCGAAGATGAATGGGTAGTTGGGGGGATACCACATTTTCAGACCCACCCGGTGTATTTTATCTAAGATATCATAGGGAAAATCATTTTCCAACTGGTGAAGAAAGTGGGGAAACCTCAGAAAATCAGAGGAATTCTGGGGAATTCTGGTACCAAATGAAGAACCATTCCGTTGGCGCCACAGAACAGATGTAGAAACTTGACATCATACGACTTACCCGGCCTGGTAAACAAACAAAAAACTATTGAACATGGCCATTGACATAATTGATTTACCTATTAACCATGGTGATTTTCCACAGTTATGTTAGTTTACCAGAAGGGTACCTGACTGATACATCTGGGCTGGCGATTTTTCGTGGGCACTTGGATGTTACTTGATTTGAGGGATCTCCACTGTCACCTGCCCACCACCCCAATAAGCATCCAATTTGCCAACAACCGTTCCAATGATCGGAATTGAGGTGCCGATTTCTCACTTGAGCCATGAAAAAAGACCTTGTTGATTGGTATGGAAAATAAAAAATGTTTGAAACCACCAACCAGTATATATCGTATGTATTATACATATATATTATCATATCTTATCAAATAACTGAGGCCTCTTATAGGAGTTATTATACTACCTGATTATTGGTGATGATCAAGCCATATTAGGGAAACCTATCAAGCAACTAGTATTTCATAAGATATTTTGCCAAGCAAAGCCTATTTTGTGATGCGGACGGAACTTCGAAGCTAAAGCCACGGACTGCGTGCCACGGATTAGTCTGAGAAGGCCTGGCCATGACGAATTTCAGTCCAGTGGATATGGATGGATCAAGTCTGGATTGTATTATTCTTGTAGGTTTTATACATATATATATATATATGCGCCATTGTTTATCGTGGGTTATATATAGTGATTGTATACCTATAAAACCTTTGCTTGACTGACTCATTTTTGATTCATCATGTGGTGCTTGGATCCTACTACATTTTAGCTGATTATGTCTATATAATTAGATCACTATATTGGACCAATAGATCATATATGGTTATATAATGTTACAGCGTTATATCATTATACCGTTCTATCTTTATATCATTAGATATATATATAGACACCATTATATCATTATAATATCGTTATACCCATACATCATTATCTAATATCACAGGTTATATCATATCCCCACATTCCTCAACGAGGTGGAGAATTCCGAGATCATCGCAGAGCTTTTGGATGCCCTGGGTGTGTTAGGGGGCCCGACTGAGGGGGAAAATTGGGGAATCCATGCCGTGGATTCGGTGCTTTTTGAGAATTTCCCCCCCAAAAAAGATAGGAAAATCATGGAAAATCCTCAAATCGTAATATACACATTGCCTTTCCATTTTTGTTTGGTGTTATCAAATCGTGGTAGATGGATGACTGTTCCATCTCTTTTGTCGGGTTAGGTCACACCATGTCACACCTCCTTTGGGATAGCAACAAAAGTGGGTGAAACTTCCCGCAAAACAGTGGGCCGTTTACCTTTGCCTTTGCATTTCCAGGTTTCTCACAGCGATTCAAGGAGTAGATTCTGTCAGATTATGCCCTTCATGGTTGGATGTCGGCAGGATTGTTCACATCCAAGACTTTCGAAACAGCAAACTGCGGGACCAAGAATTGGTTGAACTGCAAAAATTGCCCTCAACATCACAGAAATATGATGATGAAACCTCATGAAACGACAATTCTACCAGCCTTGCTGGTTTGCATTCACCCACTGTTCACCCTAGATTTTCCAATTCATCCACCAATCCATTGATCAACAGTGGGGGTTCCCTGGTGTGTTCATCCTAGGGCCTATCAGCTGTTGAACGCAAAGCCCGAAAATGTGGCGCGAGAGACAGAAATTGTGGCCTCCAGTGGCCGAAAATATGCGTGGAGCCTCAGAGCCTCAGATCGATGGAGCTTCGTTTGATGGGAACTGTTCCCATGTGTTTCCAGGTAAAACCTAGGGTTTGGCGGTAGTTAAACAATGTTAAAACACTGAGCAGGTTATTTTTAACTATTCTTTGCGGAGATCTCGTATCACATGATCATTACTTTGGGCAGATCGCCGTGTCACGTTGGTTTGTTGGGTGAATATGTTGCCGTTTTTGGCTTTTCACCATTCAATAGGCTCTTATTGGTTGATTGAACTATATTGAAATCATGTGGGAAAAGCAAGAATCATCCATCCCTAATAGACGTTTATGATTGGAAATACCTCTATGACTGGGATGATGTCTATCATGCCAGTCATGGTTGGTTTTCATGGGATGATGACTATGGCAGCCAGGGTGGCATTGGGTGACTCCCACATGAATGGAATTCCCAACATTTCAAGAAGAACCACTTGGTGAATTTCGTCCAACACCAAACCAAACCCCAAACCTATTTTTCCATTGACATCACAAGATCAACAAGTTCATAGACAAGCTCAAAACTTGCTTTTCTCATCAACTTAAGGGATATCTCCCATATTCAGAAAAAAAGTTCATAGGCCCTAGTTGTTCCCAGATATCTCCAATATATATCTATTATATATATATAATAGTGGTATATATATATATGGGAGATAATGTAAACCCATATATCTATATTAGATGATAACCCATATATCTATATAAAGTTATCATCTAAGTGGTTCACCTCAGGGCATCTCCTTCGGGCAAACTCCCTCCCTATGGCCTGGCCAAAAAGGCTGTGACCATTGCCACCAACATGGCAGGTCGAGGCAGGTGGAACATGGGACACTTTTTTCTCTATGAGTAATTATATGAGTATATGATATATATCACGTACATGCATAGACTTTCATGGCAAATCGATGAAGACACGCTGTAAGCGTCACGTTTTTCTCGCCGAGAATAACTCACCCTTGAGTCACAGATTTGCCCAGTCGAGCCAAGCTTCAAATTAAAAGACCCACCTTGGACCATACGGCCCATGCAAGGGAAATCATGGTATGACATGGTGGTTTTTCCACTGATCAACTGGGTGGGAAAAAACCACGGGTGATCTGCTGCCAGGCACCGATATTCTGCTGGGAGGCAATCCTTCCATGATGGCACGCTTACGGCTTCGAGAGGACATCCTAAGCGCTGGCTGCTGTTGCTGCCATGCTAAAATTTGCTGAAGGAAACTTGAGTTTCTTTGAAGATTTTTTCTCGGTTTTCAAGATATATATCTATATATATATTGTTATTGTTTTACAAATTTTGCTGCTCGCACCATAAATTTTTGGGCCCTCCAAAGATTGCTGCGCTTGTGAAAAAACAGGAGCTCTACAGCAAGCTCTTTCCGCGAAAATCCTGGGCTCCTGGGCCAGCTTAAAATCACGGGCGAATGATGGGGTGGTTGAAGTATTTTGAAGTGCTCCACTTGAGATGTAAACCATAGAAACCTCCAAAAAAGATAGGAAAACCAAGAGTTAAACCACAGTGAAACCACAGTTACCACGATTTTGTCCCATGGCTTTTGGCGGACTTCGACCGATTTTCCCGTTTTGGGTGCCAGGCGATGCCCGAAGAGTTCTATCCTGTAGACCTGACTCCGGAGCTGGAGAGCCAGGTGGCTTCTTTAATCATCCACTTATGGGAAAATCATGGGACTATCATGGGAATATCATGGGAAAATTTCATTAGCAAAAAACTATGGAAAGATCCAGCATTTTATAGCTGGGTAAATCAATGATAATGGGTGTTATGATGGGAATATAATGGGAAAATCATGGGAAAATTGGGATTTCACTAGCAACTATGGGATACCCGGCCTGGTAAAGTGTCACAAAACTATGGACATATCTCAGCATTTTATGGGTTGTTCTCCACTATGTTAGTTTGCCATTTTCATTCGCAAACTACCAGAGGGTATCAACCACTTATGGATGGTACTGGTTATCATCGGGATGGTTCAATAAGGGTTTACTGTATAAAACCCACTGATCTTTACCCACTGAAGCATCAAGAAAATAGGGACTGAAGCCACTGATGGATGGTCGTACTGAGTCATACTGGTGCTAAAAAACGATCAAGATTGGGATTCTGGATCACGCGAATGATGGTAAGTCCTATGGTAAATCCTATGGTAAATCCTAGGGGATTTAACCAACAATCATAGGGATTTTCCACCATGAGGGATTGTTCCTATGGGATCATCTGAATATGACATATGACCAACTGGGATGATGTTTCCAGACTGGTAACCAGACTACAAAGCCCATGGAGCTATCAACCATGGGTCATGTTATGGGCTTTAAAAAGTGGGATACACATTAAAACAGACACACTGTCTGAAAATGATGTGCACCATTTGAAGAGGGTCATGTAATTAACCATTTTTTTTTGGGGGTCAATTTTCAGACAAACCCATTTCAAGCTTTTATCTTGAGCAAACATAAGGAGATAGAATAGGGGAAAAAAGAAGGGAACCAATTTCTGGAAAGCTATTTGGCTGCTTTCAATAAATGCGCGACTTTCAATTTTTATCGCGATGGCTATTTAGCAGCTTGGCAAGTCTGGTCATCCAGTTGGAATGGTATGCTGGCAACATGGGTTTTTGGCATCTATTGGGACGGTGGACAGGGTTTTTTTAACCCCGTTTTCCCCCCCCATGGATTTTTTGGATGGGCATCAAGACTTGCAGAAAAAAAATGATGTGACAATTTCAGGATTGTATCTGTGATTTGATCCACGACTTCACTGGCGATTTTTCACCAACATCAACCATTCATCAAAGAAGTTCAAGTTCAATTGATGTTCATCACCCCAGAAAATACTCTGGGGTACGAATATCATGGTCAATCAACATCTTCATTTTCCCTGTCATTGTCAGAGGCAAAGCCAATTTTCAGAGCTGTTTCTTTATGGCTGGCGGTGCACTCGGCCAGGTCCAAAAGGCGGTCAGCCAGACGGTGGAGGCGAGGGCTGGGGTTGTGATGACCCAGTTTCTGCGGGAGTTCGGCCAGGGGGATCACTGGAAGCCATGGCCTATGGAGTTTGATGATATGCCAAATGGCAAAGTGTCAAATTACCAACAAGGGGTAGAAGATGCCAAAAACAATGTAGATGGTTAGCACCTCAAATTACTAGAAGGAAACATGGAAATCATCCCATAATTCTTAGCATTGTTGATGTTCATTTTGTCAACACGTCGGAAAGAACACGCATGACAATTTGAATAGGTTCCCGGTCGCAAATCTGGAGCACACCTTGAGCATTTGACATGGAACCAAAAATGTTAGCAATTTCCTCTCCGAAACCAGTTTTTTTTCTGGGATCCGTGTGCGTTTTTTCTGGGATTAACAGTTATGAAAAGCTATGGCTAAATGAGCCAAAGACCCTTATTTTCTGCATTTGGCTGGTGCTCATTTTGTGCCCCTGGCTTGTGCTCACTGTTACTGCCCCGGGGGTAGATCAAAGATATATGTATATATATATATATTATATTATATTATATTATATAGATATTATGTATATATATCATAGAAGTATATCAATCAGCAAGGAACTTCCCATGCAATGCCGCACTTGGAGGCCTGGAAACCCAAGGAGAACAACTTGAAACCCACCTCGTTGGAGGTGGCCGAGCAGATCGTGGAGCAGGTGGGGAGCTGAGGAGATTTTTCCATTTTTTTCGGGGAAAAATGGCAATTTGAATGGGGAAAATGGATGAAAATGGGAGAAACAAACGGGTTTCATGGGTTTAATGGGTCTAATGGCCATTGTGATGGTTTCACTTTGGAATTATGGCAATTTGAATGGGAAAAGATGATGATTTGATCCATTGGATAGATGGGTTTTCTGGCACCATGGCACCATTCCTGGAAGAGGTTTAGCCTCCAGCATCATTGCCGTGGCTTGGAATATCCCCCAGCTTGCCCAGTTTTGCAAAGCAACAGCAGGTTCCAGGGTTCCGTTCCGGTTGCAGGGTTCCGTTCAGTTTTGGGTCAACCAAAAAAACGAAAAAGCAGCACTCCCAGACCCAAAAAAATTGAAAGCCAACAGTCACTGCTGTTGGGAATTAGAGTAGTTTGATGAAGGTTGATGTTTTTTTTCCCGCGAACTAAGCCAGCTAAGCCCTGACCAGGGTCAACCAGTGACATGGACCCTCGGCTTCAGAACCACGATTCCTAGTCCCTGGTCATTCACCATCGACCTCGCCAGGGTCGCCTCACTGAACTGGACGCAGAGGCCGACGGCCTGGGGAGCTTCTCATTTTTGGTGGACAATTCACTAGTTTCCATGGTTGGTATCAATCTATATATATATATATATCTATATGTAATATACATCTATATCTATATCTATATCTATATCTATATCTATATAGGATATTGACATCATCACCATCAGTTCAATATCCTGGGATTCTCTCATTCTTGGTTCAATGATGATGGGAACATATTCTATATATTTTTATTCCATGGTGGATTTTAATGGTTTCATACTTATGATCATTCATGATTTTCATATTATTAGTTGAAAGCCTGGACTAATAGAAGGTAACTATCATCCATGGTGAAGCGCGCACTTTTCGGCACCTTTTTGGGGAGAATATAGGAAACTTATGCTAGTCTATGGTGGATTTGAATGGTTTCATAGGATTTATGGTGGATTTATGGTGGATTTATGAATACAATTGTGATTGACATATGTCGATGATTATGATAATTATATGATTATGTGTTTTTTCAGTAACATACTCCCATATGATATGTGTAAATATGCTGTAATACCATATGATAATGGATAACTTATGTGCAATAATGATAATGATTACAATACATTACATGCAACATTCATAGCATTTATATTGGTGGTAATATTTCTATATCCCAATAGATTTATGATTCTGATCCATAGATCCCTCATTGAACAATGGACTTTCCGCTGCCATGATTTAGATTGCCTATCTCGCTGAGGAACGCTTGTCCTTGGCATGTGAAAAGGCTCCAACGGACGATGAGGCGCGTTTGATGGAAGGTGTTTCGGAGTGTTTGATGATTGTAATCTGGTTGGTGCTGACTGGAACATGGCTGTCTGATGCCTTTCCATATATTGGGAATAATCATCATCCCATTTGACGAACTCATATTTTTCAGAGGGGTAGGGCTCAACCACCAACCAAAAAAATAGTGTACCTACTCGGTAGGTCAACAATGATTTTCACATTTCACCCAACCAATAAAAGAGAGGCATCTTTCTACATGATCACGTCTTACCTTTGCGGGGTATCTAACGTCCGGACGTCAAATCTAACGTCGTTGCCTGGGCGCAGGTCATTTTGCTGCTCCGTGAAGCTTACAAGGCCTTGGCCGCCCACTACAAACAGGTCGAACCGAGGGTCCCGTGGGTGGATCATTTGCACCAAAAAAAAACACATGGGATTTTTTTAAGGCCAAAGAACAGAATCCTTGGAGAAATTCTGAACCTCCAAAAATCCTCGGATTTTGAAGACCACTTCGAATACTATTTCGAGGCTGTCGAACTTACAAACCAACCGACAGTCAAACCTGAGATTTTTCAGATTTCTCAGACCCCAAAAAACAAGACCGTGCCCCTGGTTTTTTTTTTTCGGGGGATGGGGTCCACCGAAAGTACCATTTGCAGATCACGGACCTGGAGAAGGACGAAGTTCGAGCACTGGGAGGTTTGCTTGTCGCAAGCTCAGCTGGAGCAATGGAGGGGGTGCCGGAAGCATCCCCTGGGTGACAGTTGTGCCGCCCGAATATTTGTTTTTTTTCATATGCATTAATATGGGTAATAATTATGATACTAAGATATACTAAGCCTCTAATCATATTCCTATCATCTAAGGATCATCTAAGAACCAATTTTAGCAAGCGATAAATGGATTTTCATGGGTTTTAGATGGGTTACTGAATGTTATTGACCACTTTCTGGGATGCACACAGAGGTAGAAAAAAGCCACCATCGAATGGTGAAATCATCGTCGTCGATCCCAGAAGAAGCTCCTGACATCGATTCTCCTAGTGGTGACCGTTCTGTTGTGGATGTAGGATATGTAGGGGATTTACCCTCTGGTAAATTAACATAGCGAACTGGAAAATCACCATTTTTAATGGGAAAAACCACTATTAATGGCCATGTTCAATAGCTACGTTAAATTACCAGAGGGTAGGCGCAAGTACCCATTTCAGATCGACAAAAACTGACTGGCCAAATCTCTGGGGGGCCCTCGATTCCATCTGATTTTATTGATGAGTTTAAGCGTCACATCACAGTTAACTGTTGTTTCTCCAAAAAATATTCTGTGGATCATTTAATCACAATTTTCTCACTTTTTGTTACCCTCTGGTAATTTAACAGTTTGCTATTGAAAATGACCATAGAAATAGTGGATTTTCCCATCAACAATGGTGATTTTCCAGTTCGCTATGTTAATTTACCAGATGGTAACATGTTTCACATCCATTTTGAGTCTCCCAACATCCACCCTTTGGCGGAGGTGCTGGGCACCGAGCGTCATGAGTCTCGTCGAATCGACAACCAATTGCGTGGCCGGTGCGTCTGGGCGCCCAAAGTCACGGTTGGTGATTGCCGCTGATTTGGACGACTTGGAGGATTTTTGTTGGATACTTTTTTTTGGGGAATGGAACTTGATATGTTTGATAACAATATGATATATATATAATTATATATATGTATGTATGTTTTTTGATATGTTTGATATTAATATCAGTTTTTTTTTTGGGTGACTTCTTGTGGCAGATCTCAGTTCTCTCAGGCCCGTCAGGGCGATCCGGGCGCTACGCGTTTTTTCCTGAGTCCGGCGCCCAGAGACCGAAGAGACGTGGGGTGTTGGGATGTTTTTCCCATGGTATTTTCTGGAAAACCATAGGAAAACCATAGGAAAACCATAGGAAAATCATAGGAAAATCATAGGAAAATGGAGGTTTACCAGAGGGTAATGGATTTTGGGTTAGTGATTTTTGGTGTTGAACGGATGATGTTTTGTGTTGTAAATGGATTTTGTTTCTCATTTTCTGGATCGGTATAGGAACAAAGCCAGTAAATATATCCATATGTGGCTTCAAAAAGGTGTCCAAATTGGACAAAACGACAAAATCAACAAACAAACACCGGGCGATGCGTGAATTTCTGCCGAGGTTTGAATGATACGATTTTCCGCATCTTCGGAGGCCCAACAAGTTCTGCGGTTTGCCATGTTTTTTTGGCCGCGGACATCGGCACCAGGCGACAACATCAAGAAAATGATGAGTCTCTCTGGCTTTCTTAAAGGTCTTATCAATGGATTGGTTGAGTGGAAAAAATTACACCGGAAAAGGCCATATTTTTCATGGTAAAAAACCATGGTTTCCGGTTAAAATTGTCCCTTAAACCAATCCATTGATCACAGGTCTGGAGGAGGTATCACTCCCAGAATCGCCTGTAGATTGAATCTATGATAAATCATGTTTCCTTAACCTTTTAAAGCCCATAGATCACCACATTGGTGATCTTTCCTGTCTGGATCCCGGCCAGGTATGATGAGTTTGAGCCAACCAGATGATGTACCATTGGAGCTGCTGGGCTCCATTTTCCCATGGAAAACTCTCCCCCGAAATTTTAAGGGTGGTTGCTACTGGTCCACCGTCCCATTTACCCTCTGGTTATGACTAACATAGCCATGGAAGGATCCACCATTTTTAATGGGTGAAGGGTGAACCATCTATAAATGGACCATTTTCCATGGCTATGTTAAATAACCACAGGGTATTCCATTTTGATTTTTAGGGTGGAGTACTCGAGGCATAAAAACCCATGGTAAATCCTCTAGAAGTCAACTGTTGAAGTTTTCGATAAGTCAAAGCATGTAAATCCAACAAGCAGCCTGCCACAGAAAAGTCCTGCGCTTGTAGGAGGTTCACCTCCAGCCCTGTCAGGTCTCTCCATTTCTTGGGTCCTTCTGTGAGTCCTGAGGTCAGGGCTTTTGTCCAACTCACTGGAAGAGGCTCAGAAGAAGGTCTGCTGTTCCCCCTCTGTACTGGTGAAATGGGGATTCAATCATCACGCCCTCATGGGGGTTTCCTTAAGATGGGGCTCCCGTCTTAACTCATGGGTCAACCTATACTAAAAGCGTCTAATGACTTGGATGATTTGGGGGTAGCCCTGTGACTTAGGAAACCCGCATATATCAGGTTGTGCAAGGGATGATGAACATCCTTTATATATCAGGTAGTACAGCCTCCCAGCTCATCATCAACCAACAGGGCTTTACAGACTTCTGTCTCAGAAACTTGCAGGAAACCGCCAAGGATGGGAAATCAATCCAGGTGAACCTATCATAGAATCAAGCTAGTGAGTCTTCAATGACCATCAATGATCATAGTTGCAGCTTTGATCTCAAGCTGGAAACTGTCACCATTGCCCAAATATTTCCAGGATGGGAACTGCTCGAAGCTGCCCCAAAATTGGATTCATTGGGCATGGGTCAAAATTATATCATTTATCAACCCCCAAAATGGATCTTGTACCCTGGTTGGTGGTTTCAAACATTTTTTATTTTTCCATATATTGGGAATAATAATCCCAACTGACTAATATTTTTCAGAGGGGTAGGTCAACCACCAACCAGTACCTATGTTAAATTCCAAGCATGACACACGTTGAAATATTTTTTTCATGGGTCTCTTGTCACCCCATCCACAGCCACCACTGATGCAGGCCCCATCATCCAAAAAGGCGCAGAGAGTCAAGACCAAGACCCCCATATCACTGTGAATAGCTAGTCTGTCCACCACTGGGGAACATCAGAGAATCAGAGACATCATCCAGCACTCTGCAGATTTTGTTGAAGCACTGAACAAAGTTTCGGTACATTTGAGCGCACCTGGGGGTCAAAGATTCCCCAAAAGCATCCAAAAGCCACAGATTTTTTGGTTGGCAAAACCCGAAGAATCTCGGCCTATGGCGTGACCCAGCCGATGTCGAAATTGCTCTGCTGCTGTGCACCTTGGTTGCCTTGGTTCATCCTGGAATGGGAACGGATCAGGGATGAAAATGTTGGAAAACACGATGGCAGTTTGGTAAACCCAATGAGAAACCATCACCAATTTAGCATCACTCACCCAAGTCTTACCAGGTAAGGGGGGAGAGGAAAAAACATATATCCCCAACTATAGGGGATACCTCATCGCCCAGGGCTATTGGGGATACCTCATCGCCCAGGCCTTTCTGGTATGTCTCCTCTTATGGTCCCTCTTCATGAAGGCTGGGCGCCAAGGATGAAGAGTTGTGCTTCCAAAGGCAAGGCCAATTTTTGATATCCAATTAGTATTCTCCAACTATCCAAATGTTTGCACTATTGACATCCAGTTCATTTTTTTGGTGGGACAACTCAGTTTTTTCACGATTTTGGGTCAGGTTTATCGGTTGTCGGTTGGTCTTTGATGGGTACCTGCATGAGTTGGGATGTAACCCCTACAACCGTGTTTTTTTTTTTTAATGACTTGCACTGTACCCCTGAGCAGATATGTGTTTTTCCCCTGCAACTTGACAATTTTAGCATGAAATTTATGGAAATGTCGCGGCTTTGGGTAATATTTGCGTAGCCAACTAAGATTGAAATACTGCAAACGACTCCACAGTACGCCTTGAATTTTGGAGATCCATGCGTTTCGGCAGTTTTGCCATCCGCCACTGGAAGTTTGTGCTTGGGGGAATCCCACATTGATGATGATGATGATGGATGATTGATGATTGATGATTGATGATAATTGATGATGATTGATCATCAAACTTATTTTTCTCAACTATTGATGCCAGTTTTTTCCCATTGAGATTCTGAGCCGCGTTCCCAGTTCTTCCTGGCCTACATGGCGCGGAGCAGCAACACGGTGCCGTTCGGTCCAGGCGGATTTTTTCCCCTTCCCATGGGGATCTCCATGGATTTCTCCATGGATCTTCACCGATGAACATGAGATTTTTCAATTGGACATCCTCCATCTTCATTGATGGTTTATCCATTGGATGTTCATTGGATGGTTTACCATCCCTTGGAGGATGGTTTACGAAAAATTGGATGGTTTACCGTTATCATTGATGAACCACTGAATTGGATGGTTTACTCAACTTTTTTATCCCTGGTTCCACCATCCGCTTGGAGGCGCTGTGGAGCTTTCCGAGGATCGAGGCCCCTATTTGAACAGAGCCTGGAAGTTGGGAGCAACAAAAACATTAAGAAACACATTGGAAGTACCACAAGAAACTAATTAGTGGGACCACCTGAAAGAGACATATGGAAACTCAAACTGCGGGTGAAAAAACAGGACATCAACAAATAACCAGAAGAAACAGCAACATCCGAGCTGGTTTGCTGTGGAACAGGTGCGGCTGGTCCCGCCTTGCAGGCGATGATGGGAATTGGATTTGGCCGTCCCATGATTTTAACTGGACTTTCTTAGCTTAGTGGATTCCGAGGAGATTTATCCAGAAATTGTCAACTGGATTGATCCACATATCTCCAAACAATGGCACCGAATGATCGAATGAATTCCCAAGGCGTCGTATCCCAATGAAGTTACAGAATTAGAATCCTATGGTCCTATGAAATCAACGGGGGATAAAATTGGTCCGTTTTTGATATCCAACTAATTCTCCAAGTCTCCAAATGTATATCCAACTATTGATATCCAGTTCATTCCAATATTTTTATACACCAATTTGATGATCCTCTTCTTATCCGAATCCCATCATTTGACCATCATGAACAGTAAGCAGCTCCGACTCCAATGATTTCTTAGGCCAGCAACCACTGATTCACCGCTGCAGGATTTGGATTCCCCGAATGAATCAGCAAACCAGGTAACCACCGTGGTTGGTTAGTTACACTAATTATATCTAATTATAGTTACACTTATATCCCATCATATCCCGATGGATATATATGGTTAAATGATATGTAAAGAAATCGCTGGTGAGTTATCCTCATTTCCCATTCCATGAAATATCGCATGATATCCCCCTTCTATTTATTCCGTGGTCAATGATGTCCCCATTGATATCCTGGATTGGATATACCGATATATCATAAAACTATATTAAACTACCATTTTTCATGGTTGAACCGAACCAGGATTTTTATCCCATGATTGGTTTAACCGACGCGGCTGAACACTTTTGGAAGGCCATGAGAAGGGGAGCGTTCCAAAAGGCCCTTCAGAAACTGGCAGGCGACCCCGCGAAATCGGCAGCAACCAAGATTTTTTGAGTGTTCTGATGTTAGTAGTACCTTAATTGATTTTAAACTTCATTTTCCGTGTTTCTTTTTTTAGATCACCATTTTACTTGCTTTAACCATCTTTTCTGTTGCACAAGCCTTCTTTGGCCACATTTGCAGATATGTTCAGTTCCAAGATGCTCTAAACGACTTGCGTTGCAAACGTATCAATGGATTAGTGGGAAATGTTGCAGGAGACCATAGGAAAACTTAACCAGTTCATTCACTGAGATTGCCCTTCACTAATCAAACATGGCAATGGAAGATCGCTTATAAATTATGGAGGTTTCTAGCTGGGAAAAAAACTATAGTGTTTTTTCCAGCCAGCCATCTTTGATCACTGAAGGGTGACCATCAACAGTCCTTGACTAAGTAATCTTCAGTCCCTCAACATTAACCATTCTGAATATCATCAATGATATTTCATCATAGGTCATAGGTGAATCATTGTTAGTCACTGGTGAATCACTGGATATGTTCTGACAACACATCTTGTCACTAACATAAGACATACCCTCTGGTAAACTAACATAACTATGGAAAATTGTCATTGTTCATGGGAAAATTCACTATAAATGGTGATTTTCCATAGTTATGTTAAATTACCAGAGGGTAATCACTGGTCTCAACCAATGAAATTCTGTGACTTGGACTGGCAGAAAGAAAGGTTGCGATGAAGCGCCCTGCCGGACGCTGTTGGGTGAGATGCAGCTCACCGGCTTGCAGGTGCAAAAAATGGGCGGTTTCAGCAACAAAATGGGCATTGAAACTATGAACATGAGAATGTCAATAACGATAATGGACATTTAATGAACGAAAAATTGGAATTTCATGACCAAACATGCCTTGGATGTTCACCACACTGTGTATGGCTCAAGCTGTCGGGTCAAGACCCCCATGTTCAGGCGACCGTTAGCACTAGGAGCGGCAGGGGGATCCCTCTCTTCTCTGGCTTTGCGTCTTCTGACTGAATCTGTCTCTTCGGTCGTTGATCCCAGCCTTCCTGTTCCACTCCCTGACTTGAGCTGCGTCTGCCCTACTTCTTTGGATTTGCCTGCTACTGGACTTGACCTCCGTTCTTTGTTGATTGGTCTGGTGGTTGGACTTTCCTTGGGACCGTTGCTTGAATTGCTCCTTGTGGTTCGGCACTGGTGGACTTCCCTGATTCGTCGTCAGCTGCAATCCCTTGCCCGTGGCCTGCGTCCCTTGTACCGTGAACTGTGACTTGTATGGCCCAGAGAGCTGCTCAACTCCGTCTTGAGGAGTCTGTTAATTCTCTACTTGCCCGGGTTGAGCAATTGGAATTGCGCGTTGCTGAGTTGGAATCTTTGCAAGAGTTTGAGGTGATCCGAGAAGAGCCTGCACGACCCAGTGCCTCTGGGTACCGTTCCAATTCTTCTCCACCTGTCATTAGCGAAGAGAGACGTGTCATTTTGGAGCGGATTGGACATTGGTTGCGTTCTTGCCTCTACGACGAACGTCGTGGTCTGTCGGGTCGTGAATTGCTGCCTGAGGGAAACCGATACTACTTGGTCTTGCGTGCCTTCAGTGGTGAGGTTTTTGATCCCGTCCTTGTTTTTGATTCCCTGAGCCAAATCGTGCCAATTGTGAAGCCCCTGGGGCATCCTGGTGATTCTGTGTTCATTGGACTCCCTAATTTGCAAGACGGGCGTGTGATTTGCGAAGCAGCCAGGCTGCAGTGGCCTTCCAATAGGCAGTGATGCCAGCCGTTCCTCCTCTGGACGCAGCCCCAGAGGAAGAAGAAGAAGAAGAGAGAGGTTCGGGTTCTGAGGCAGCGGGTGAGCCGGGGTTTTTCAATCCTCGGGAACATTTTGTTGTCACTCCCGACGGCTCTCCTACCTACAATTATTCTGTTTTGAATTTGACTGTGCCTGTTTCTGGGAATCCTGCCTTGGCCGTTCCCACTGTAGTGATTACTGAGATTGAGCACCAGCTGTTGATTGCCATTCCGAGCAAGTATTGGCACCGAACGGTAGCCAGTCGCCTTTTGCCTCCTAAAGCCATAAATAAAGCCATTTCAGCAGCCGTCGTTGGGAGCTCAGAGCACCAGCGAGAAGAAGCAGATCCTAGCGGTGAATATATCAGGATATGGATTGGTTTTCTCAACCCCGAATTGGAAGTGAATTTGGCAACAGGCCAGGGTTTTGCATTGGAGAGTGCTTTTCCTTCCGAGAAGGGTCAGCTTGGACTTTTGCCCTTCGCCGACGCACTCGTAGCCGTAGCAGACGACAAGTTCTCTTTCCTGTCTGCAGAGTCGGGTCACCCAGAGGACCCTGCTGTGTCCGAACGCCTAGCAAAGTTAGAAGAAGCCGTAGTCAGCATAAAAGATGCAGTGTTGCAGTTGAGCCAGAAGTCCCAGCCTCCACAGCCTCAGCCGGGAGCAAAGAGCAAAGCGGCTCCAGCCCTGCGGCCTCCCGACAAGAACACCAAAGCCGCCGAAGATGGTTTGCCCGGCCTGGATCCCGCAGTCGTAAGATCAGCCCTCCAGGCCGGGATAGGACGAGACCAGTTGCAGAGCCTAAGCCAGTTCCTTGGTGGGAAGAAACCAGCCGTAGGAGACGTAGCAGCTTCCAGAGGTCGGACTCCAAAGGTCCGTTTCAACGAGCTAGGAGAAGTAGACGAAGAGGATGTAGAGGGTCCCACAGCCGAGCCTGCCCTAGGAGCCCCAGCAGATGCCATGCAGGCAGCTCTCTTGAAGCTGACGACAATAGCCGAAGGTTTGACCAAAAGCCGAAAGAAGTTGTCCCTGGAAGATTGGTCAGACGATTTGCCAGCATTGCAGGATTCGTCATCCTCCAGTTCATTTGTTGGGGGAAGCTCCAGGAAGCATGCTGCCGTGCTAGCCAGCCTCCGGAAAGCCTTGAAAGAAAATCCAGCCGAGCTTTATCGTGTGATGGAATCCCGCATGCTGGACGACTTTGGCTCAGCCGAGACTGGACCAGGAGAGCCCTCCAGGCCAGGCACGTTTCGAGGCTGGGCAGAGCATCGCTCTCGAATCCCGAACATCAGTGGTACTGTTCGCCTCATCTGGGCAGTTTGTGGTGCTTTGGACTCTTTGAGGGCGGGCCGAGTGCCCGAAGCCCAGGCTCGCTTGATTCTCCTGTTGGGTCAGGTCGACCAGGTGGCGGTGGACAGAGGGCAGTGGGTGTTGGCGGCGGAGGGTTCTTTGGAGGAGACACCTCCTTTTTCGTCCTTTTCTCGCCACAGCCCACCAGACTTCTACGAAGGTCAGCATACCAAGCTCTGGCCGCCCGCCTGGGCAGAAGCCTTCATGCACAAGGTCCGGGAGACGGACGACTTTGTAGAGCGGAGGTCAAAATTGGGGAAGAGAAACATGTTGAAAGATGCGAGCCTGAAAGAGGAGCAGCCGTTGCCGAAAGCCAGTCCAAAGAAGAAAGGAAAAGGAGGAAAGAAGGGCCAGACCAAGAACGAAGAGGAGGTCCCCGAGGGGGGCAACAACTGATGGTGGCCGAGACAGCTTTGCAAGCTTCCGCTGGTCCGAAACCTGACATTCATGCAAAGCAGCCTGAGACTCACCAAGCACGACATGTCCCAGGTAGTAATGCCAGTACTGTGAAAGTGGATCAGTGGTGGAATTCAGCTTTTCGTTTGAATATGCAGTTTGGAGGTACCTTTGGGTCCTTTTTACGTAGTTTTCATCGCAAACCAGCCAGCTTTGTCAATATGCAGAGTACCGCCTCTATGTGGCCAATGCCTTTGCCCTTTCCTTGGGTGCTTGTAAAGAATGGTATGGGTCCTTCCGCCAGTGGTTCTAAGTTCACACTTCAGAAGGGAGTAAACCTTGTGGTTGCTACCTTGAACTGGTTGCACTTGCGTAGGCCCAGCACTTGCCCCCTTGAGATTTGCTTGCATGCAAAGCCTAACAAAGTTCAGTGGCGTGTTGTAATGCAGATTGAAAGGACCTTAGAGGCGTGGAATTTATGTGAGCCTGTTACAGCTGCATCCATGGGCCGCTCGGCCGCCAAAGTTGAAGACATCGAGGGAGCGATTTCAAAGCTGGGTCTTTTTGAGCAGCATGCTTGTTCCGCCTTTGACACTTCAGCTTTTGAAAGTTCTGGTGGCCAACGTCCCGTGGTTCGTCGTGCTCCTTATTTTAGCCCTGGTTTGCAGCGTGCGTTTGCAGGAAAAGTTTGTGGTTTTTTGCCGGGCAGAGAGATGGTTCCAGCCAAGTCAATAGAAGCCAGCAGACTGGAGTTCCGAGGCGAGCCAGTGTTTGATCCCACTCCCTTTTTGGACCCCCTAGGACAGAAGATTTTTAATCACCCCTTGCAAATGGCCATGGATCCTAGGGAGTTGTCTGAAAGCGTCCCACCTGTCCGTGTTTTTGCGTCAGAGACGGAGAAATGGGCGCTGCTTCGCAAGTTGGACAAAACAGGTCGGCTAGGTGTAGTGAGATCTTCAGAGGTCCTGCATGGATTTCAGGCAGGCCTCTTCTCTGTGCTTAAGGATGGACTTCGTGACAGGTTGATCTTTGACTCTCGGCCTTTCAACTGCTTGGAATCTGTTCCTCGTCGGTGGGTTCGTTCTATGGCCAATGCTTGCAACTTGTGTGACATGCATTTGGGAAAGGATGAAGACTTTGTGGTGTCAGGTACCGACCTTCGAGAGTTCTACTACTCCTTCAAAGCACCGCCGGAGAGGGTCATGCGCAATGCCTTGTTGATCAGCGTCCGGCCTTGGGAAATTAGGGGGTTTAGGTGTTATCACGTTGGACTTGAAGAAGAAACTAAACCCCTTTTCCTAAGTCTTAGCACTTTAGCCATGGGTGATTCCCAAGCAGTTGAGTTAGCACAGACCGCGCATGTTGGACTTCTGTTTCAAAGTGGACTTCTTCTTCCGGACTCCCTTGTGTCCATGGGAATGCCCATCCCGAGGTCCCCTGTGATGCTGGGGGTCATAATAGATGATTTAATCGTCTTTGAGAAGATAGCCCGTGGTTCAGCAATGGACTTTTCCAAACTCAGCAGCTGTGTCCTTCTTGAGCGTGCCGTGGAGGAATATACCGAGGTTGGACTTTTACCTCACCCTGGCAAAACGTTTTACGGGCAAAACCAGTGCGAGTTTTGGGGTGCTTTGTTTGAAGGAGACCGGGGTTTTGTGCGTGCCTCTTTGAAGCGTGTTGTCCCTGTTGTGTTTGCCACTCTGGGCATTGTCAAACTTGGGGTCTGTACGATAAGCTTGCTGGAGGTGTTGGTTGGATGTTGGAATTCCATTTTCTTGTTCCGGCGCAGGTTGCTTAGTCTCTTCAGTGTGAGCTATGAAGCCCTTCAAAGAGCGGAAGATCGAAGAGCTGTCATCCGGCTGTCTGTCGAGTTGAAAATGGAATTGCTGCTCATGGTCAATCTGGCTCCGGTAGCTGCCACTTGCTTGCGTACGGAGGATTCTCCTTTGGTCTATGCCAGCGATGCTTCAAACTGGGGTTGGGCTGTTTGCTCTGCTGAGCTTCCTTCCGTCTTGGTCAGTGAAGTGCACCGTCACAAGCTTAGCAAACCAGTTTGGTCGAAGCTTTTGTCCCCCCTGCGTAGCTTGCAGCGCCTGAAGGGTGAGTTGTTGCCGGCAGATGAGCTTCCAGAGGGGGTCATGCTTCCCACTCACCCCCTGTTTATGGAATTAGCTTGTGCGCTCCCTTTTCATGAAGACCGAAAGAAGCCAGTCCGGGAGTGCACTCACATAAACATTTCTGAGTTGCGAAGCATGGTAGAAGCTGAAAAGATAGCAGCCCTGCGGCATTTTCCGAGCCGAATCATGAGCTTGTCCGACTCTCAGGTGTCCTTGGGTTGTTGGATTAAGGGAAGATCCTCTTCTGTTGGTTTGAACCAGGAGTTGCAACAGAGCCTTCCTGTCCATTTGGGGTGCGGCATGGTTAGTAACGGTGCCTATGTTCCCAGTGAGTTAAACCCGGCTGACGACCCCACGCGTCAGCAGGCAGTCCGAGCTCCCAGTAAAGCCTTGCCCTCCTGGATTTTGGATTTACTTGAGGGTTCTTGCGAGGGTTTGAGCCCCAATTGGACTTCTTTTGATGCGTGGTTGGACTCGTATGGATTTAGTGCTCAGTCGCTGTCGGGTCTGCCTTCTTTTGAGGAGCTAAAAGCCCCGTGGGTTGAAAAGCCTTGGAGCCGGGCGAGCCGCCACAAATGTTTCTTGCAACGCGCCCGATCAAAAAGCCTGGTTAATTCGGAGCCTTGTCCTGCCCTTTCTGTCGCTTCAGGACTCCAAAAGAATTCGAGTTCTGAGACTGTTGTTCCTCCCAGAATGCCCTCCGCCAAAGAGCTTGGAAGAAAACCTTTGAGCTCTGCAGCTGTGGACTTTTTGAAGCTTGTCCCCTTTAGTCAGTTTTTGTTTCCCGAGACTTGGCATGTGACTGATAGCAGTTGGCGTCCCGACTTCCCTGGGTATTTGGACTTGTACTCCGGGGCCAAAGGTGTAGCAAAAGCCGTGTGTCGTGATGGGCCCATGTGGTGCATAACCTTTGACACCGCCGATGACCCTAGCCAGGATCTAAGCTTAGCCAAAAATAGGAAGTTGGTAGAGGACTTGATAGCAAATGGTTGCGTTGAAGCTCTTGGGGCCGCCATTTTCTGTAGCAGTTTTTCCCGAGCCGTCCGTCCGGCGGTGAGGAGCCGCACTTTCCCTGCTGGACTTTCTGACTTGAGTGCGCGCATGGCGGAGAAAGTGTCCGAGGGCAACTCTCACTCCAAGTGGTTGGCCAGCCTTGTGTCTTTTTGTCTGTTGCTTGGAATTCTGTTTTGGGTTGAAAACCCTGATGGTTCCTTCCTGTGGCTTCAAGAAGAATGGCGAGTGCTTGGTGCCAACGTTTATGGATCTTGCTTTCGGTTGGACTACTGTGTCTGCGGCACTGCATGGCGGAAACGAACCCGTTTCTTCACCAACCTTCACCTGCGTGGTCAGTCTGCGTTTTGTTCTCGGTTGCACAAACATGTCAGGCTTGTAGGATGGAGCCGGGCTCATCGCATGTCGTGGACCCGTGCAGCTCAGGAGTATCCCCGTCGACTGTGCCAATGGATTTCTGCTGCAATCCTTATTGACACTGGCCTCCTTCCGGGTCGGGCGAAGCTGGATGTGAATGGCATGGCAAAGCAAAGTCCAGGTAGGATAGGAGAAGCCAAAAACCCCGGGCCTCGACGAGCCCGTAGTGCACCTGTTGCCAGACACGCGGCAGTCCTTTCTCAAGCTCTGCTGGTGGAGCCAACCACCGAGCTCCTTGGTTCGCGTGTTTGGGCTCAGTTTAGAACCTGGTGTTTGAATGGACTTTCTTCCGAAGACTTTGATGCCTTTTGTGCTGTGCCTGACCTTTTGGCCGAGTTGGTTGAATGCTTTGGTTTGGACTTGTATTCTCGCGGCGGTTCCCTTTACCTTCTCCGTCACTTGATTACTGCAATCCAACGTTGGAATCCTAACTTCCGTCCTCACCTGGGGCGCTGCTGGCAGTTGGTCTGTCGTTGGGAAAGCCTTGAACCGATCACACATCGGGTCCCCCTGCCGCTTGTAATTTTTAGAGCCATGGTTAGCGTTGCTATACTCTGGGGTTGGAAGAGATTTGCTGGAGTGATGGTCCTGACTTTTGGCGGCATTTGTAGACCAGGAGAACCTTTACAAGCGGTAAGGAGAGACTTGTTGCTGCCGAGGGATTTGGTCGTCGAAAGCCCTGACATTTGCTACTTGTGCATTCGATCTCCCAAAGGTCGGCGAAGAGGCATAGGCAGGGTTCAGCATGTGAAGATTTCTGATAGGTGTTACACGAAGTTTTTGGATCATGTTTTTGGACGACTGCAGCCTGAGCAGCCCTTATTTCTGGGCTCACCGGGCACCTTCCGGCGGCGTTGGGACGCCATCTTATCTGCCTTGTCGGTACCTTCAAAGTTGGCACTGACACCAGCTTCAATGCGAGCTGGTGGAGCAGTGCAGAGCTACCGGAGTGACGAGGAGATTGCCAAGATTTTGTGGAAGATGCGTCTGAGGAACATGGATACTCTACAGCATTACCTTCAAGAACTTGGGGCGGTTTCAGTCTTTTTGGAACTTCCGTCTAGCAGCAAGCAAAAGATTGAATGTACAGCGCAGCTTTTCAGTTTGCTCTTGGACTTAACCTAGCCTTCCCTGACGGTCGCAAACATGTGAAGGATACGCGGCTCTTCATTTCATGCCGTGCCTGGTTCCATCCGAAGAGTGGCTCTGGTGACCTTCTTCTTTCAACTGCATATCGCTACTTTCAGCGGTTTTGGGAATGCTACGTTGAGTTTAAGGCCACCATCTGTCCGCGGACGGTAGAGACCCTTCAGTGAAGCTGGGCGATGGGATAAAAAGGCTGGAGTGAGCAGGGTGTTTAACATGCCTTGGATGTTCACCACACTGTGTACGATTCAAGCTGTCGGGCCCACCACGCCCATCCCTGCTCTGGTGACCTTCTTCTTTCAACTGCATATCGCTACTTTCAGCGGTTTTGGGAATGCTACGTTGAGTTTAAGGCCACCATCTGTCCGCGGACGGTAGAGACCCTTCAGTGAAGCTGGGCGATGGGATAAAAAGGCTGGAGTGAGCAGGGTGTTTAACATGAGAATTTAGCCAATAATGATTGGATAATGGGATATCATGGGACAACAAAAAGGGTACTCTCCGGTGTCATCATTGCCGCGAAATCCCCGAACTCAATGGCAGTAGTGGGGAAATCATCGGAGGGTACCGTATTATGGACCCACAAGAGGCTAGTTAGTTAAACTCGCGAGGATTTTTGTTGGCCCCTTGCGAAGATGAACTCTGACTTTTTGGATAGTTTTGGTGGACGTATGAATTATCCTTTTCTAACGGAGAAAAAAGGTGTATCTCAAAATGGTTTTTGGTTTTAATTACCCTTCGGAATCGAACGTGGAAATAGGAACTCCCCCATTAAACCTTCATTTAGTTCGTTGATTTTTACGTTGCCACGTTTGATGACACCGTACCCAAAATGGTAGTTTTGATGAAGTTTTTTGGTTTCAAACTTTGAGACGACCCCCAAAAAAAAGGTGGCTGTAGCGTTTTCTGAAACCATACTGACTACCACTTTCGACAAGTACAACCCCATTGCTAGTCCATTTAAACTGGGATTCTCACAGTGAGTGAAACTGTTGAGTTTTTTTTTCAGTTCTTACTTGTTATCGCAAGGCCTCAAAATGAAGAGGTATCAGGAATGTAAGATTTCTGGAGATGCATAAGATGCGAGAAAAATCCTGACCCTTGTTTGACGCATTTCTGGAGTTTCTCAAAGTTTGTGAATTTGTGCAGGCCAGACTTGATCCATATTTGGTGAATCGGGGCATTTAACAACGCGGCGTTGTGGAAGGTTTCAGATATCACGAAAGATCCTTGGTCAATGCCGAAAAAAACTTGTGGTTATTATAGTTATATCAATGGCCCATTGATGGTTATCAATGGTCATTGAGGCTATTAATGGTTATTAATGGCTATTAATGGGTACAACTATGGGCATAATTGTGGGTATACCCAAGGGATTCGAGATCAAGCTTCGTGGAAAATCATTTGCAGTGTTGCAACAACATGTGCGGCGCGAGGAAGGGATAACAAGTGAATTTCCAGACTTCTGACCATTGGGGGATCTAATCTATCATAATCTATCATAATCTATCATAATCTATCATAATCTATCATAATCTATCATAATCTATCATAATCTATCATAATCTATCATAATCTATCTAGTTTTCAATTATCTACTATCAATTATCTGCTACAGACCAGTGATGATCTAGAACTAGATCACCGACCTTTCCTTTTGAGCAGCCGGCGCCAGGTTACGAGACACCTGGATGAGGCCATGCGCCATTTTCAGGCGCCCCAAATTGGCAAAGGGCCGGGGCCTGGTGTTTATGGCAAGTTATCCACCATTGATTGGTTCAAAATCCATCATTTATTGATGTTTATTATGGTTATCTATCATTTATTGGTTCAAAATCCCACCATGTATTGATGTTTATTGATGTTTATTGATGTTCCTCCGGTGTCATCAAACTGTCATCAACCATGGGAAATCCATGGAAATCCAGCACCAATAGTTCGATGCTGTGGATTTTCCAGCCACGTTTGATGACACCAGAGGGTCCCAGCACTGGAAAGATGCTTCATGGATAGAGTAGCATGATAGGGCTATCAACCCCCAGTCATCACCATTTTTATAGGTGGGTAAGGGTATGTATATATTATATATACGTATATATATATATATATATATCTATATATATATATATATTATATAAATAAGAACCATTCCCAGTCATGGCTGGTTTATGGCATTGTTTTACCCCCTCCCAAAGGCTAATAAACATGGGGCTACTTTGCTGGTTTCCCAGGCTGCGGCAGACGAGGGCGATCCTGAAGCGCAATATGCGCTTGGAGTTCTCTACGCGAACCTGCTGGAGGACAGACACTAGTCGAACTTTTCCGGTGGGTTGTGATTGGTCTATTTTTTGTTGTCTCAGTTAAACAGTTAAACCAGTTAAACCAGTTAAACCAGTTAAACCAGTTAAACCATGGGTTTCTACAAATTCTTGGGTTGATCCATGATTTTCCAAATTATTTGATGGCCATATATTTGGGAATCCATGGATTCGAAAAAAGACAGGTGGTGGAGATGTGTGATTTTTCATCCGCAGAAGGGGATAATGAATGATAATGATCATCGATTTGAAGGTTGTGGATCAACTCTTAAGTCAAGAAGCACTGCAAATCAATAGCTTGGAAGACTGGGCTTTTGATTGTCAGCTATTTTCCCTCAGGGATTGGATGTTCCGAAACTTGAGTCGACTGTTTGATGTTTGCAGATGTTTGACATGGAGATCTAGACTGGCAAGTGTTGGACTGACTCACACGGCAAAAAACCGCATGGTAGAATCGGCTCCTACATGAACACTTTGTTGGTCAACTCGCGGAAGTGAAGCAAACAGCATCTCCAGCACTAAGCATCTCCAGCACTAGACTCATCATTTACTGTAGGCTTCATTTCTTGTTTTCAACTCAAGATGTGCCGCGCGTCAAAAGTTGTATGATATTACCCAATTTCTTTGACGGACCTTCAGGACCATAGATGTCCCAAATTCCCATTGGCTGGTTGATGAAAATAGACGGGTTTGAAGGTTTACCCCTTTAACAACAGGTTTCTATGATGATAGATGGTATACCAGTCACCGGCCCAAACCTATTTTTACCAAGCTAGGATATGATTTTGTTCAGGACGACCCTGCGGAACTGCACAAGAATGAGGCTGGGACATCACCCCAATTTGGGGGGCCTTTTAAAGCCACTGCACACATGGAGCAGTGGCTGCGAGTACTGTTGGTTGCTAATTAGTTGATTAATGTTGATTATACTTACGGTAACGACATTTTGGTATCATTAAAAGTCCGTATATTTAAATGTAGTTACCGTATACAGTATATTAGTTGATTCTAAATTTTACTATATATGGGATGTCATCCGAAACCCATTGACTTTCACTCCATCATATTTTTCAAGATGGTAGGTCAACCACCAACCAGTATATAGCTATGGAAAATCACCATGCTTTTAATGGGTCAATCCACGATTTCGATGAAATTGCACCACCAACCAGAAATCATTTGGGGAAACAAATCATGGCCCATTCGTGGCATAACTCGACACCAATCCATGGGACCTCAGGGCCTCAGTGTGCTGTACCTCTATGCAGCCTCCGTGGCCAAGCACCCCGGGGCCCTGATGGTGCGCAGTTGTGATCCGAGTCACCAAGAGTTGGAGGGGAAATGGGATTTCATGGGATTTCATGGGATATATCATGGTATACCCTCTGGTAATTTGTGACGGTTTGCGAACTGGTAATTTGGCCCAGTCGACATAGTTGATTTACCCATTGATAGCATGGTGATTTTCGACTTTTATGTTAGTTTACCAGAGGGTATGTATGTAATATATAATATATACACTAATTTGTATATAATATACACTATATATATATATACACTCATTAGAAGAAAAATAAGAATCCTAAGCAGAGTTAGCAGCCTGGTTGATTTTGGAGCACTGCCCAAACAAAGTTCCCGGGCACAGATCATGGAAAGGCCTAGGTAGATCTCATGGAAACACGGTCGATTCTTCCTTTAATCTTGTCTCCTCACATATATTGAAAAACAAATCACAACTTCCGGCAACAATTCCTCAACAGTTGAGGCATTGAACCATCTTTATTCTCATTAGAAGCGTCTTGTGGATTGCCGTCATATTCTCCATCCATCATGGCATCTGCTAGGCTATGGGCTACAGGCGCACAAGTGGGGGGAAGAAACCTGATTTTTGCTGTGCATAAATCCCAACATTTACATTTCTGGCTTGGGAAATAGACAGATGTAAGATGATTGTGTAAGTCTTTATCATTTACCTGCAATGTTTGTGTTGTTGTCTCTACCAAACAAACCTCCAATTTCTATTTTGGGTGGCAAACTCTAGATCTTTTGGGATGTTTGGACGTGATTTCCAGTGAGTTCCCAATTCCGACAGACAGTGTCTTTTGATCTTCCTTTATACACATTCATATCAATTGCGTATGTATATATATATATACATACATGCATATCATAAATGTGTAATCTAAAACATGTAATGTATAGACAATGGATGTAGATTACACATTTATGCTACATAAATGGATGTAGATATGCCATTAAATTAAAACATAAATGGATATGGCATATCTACATACATAAAACATATATAAAACATAAATGCCATTAAAGTAGACCTATAGAAAGATCTTCCTCTCCAGGCACCGTGAAGGCCTGGCTGTGCCACAGAGCTGTAGTACGGCAGCGCTGAACTACATCGAGGTGCGCGCTCAAAAATTGAGCCGACCGCGTTCTTTTTGGGATCTTTTTTTGTGATGAATAGCCTCTGGTAAACATATATACAAAAAGCGAACTGGAACACGGGCAATTTCTAGTTGATTTACTTATTAAACATGGTGATTTCCCATAGCTATGTTAAATTACCAGAGGGTGTATGGCATGTACCTGGCATGTACCCTCTGGTTACGTGACATAGCTATTGAACATAGCTGAGGATTGATGACAATTTACCGAAATGGCGATTTTCCACTTCGTTGCGTTGCCAGTATCCAACAGAATGATTCCCATGGATGGACATCTGCATCGCCATCAACAAGTGGCCATTTCACCAGGGAGTTTACCATTCTGGAAGTAAACCATCAAGACCATGGATTAAAACCATGAGTAGTGGAAATGGGATGAAATGGGAACTTTTTGATGAGAAGTTTTTTCTTTTTTGAGACAATAGAGGATGCCCCAACATGGACATTTTATCGGACATGAAAAATGATGGGATTTTCCGCACCAACATTTTCTTCGATGGATATTTTCAGCAGTGTCCCACTCCTTGAACGCCAACGATGTCAGAAGTGCTCTCGCAACTCCCGAGGGAGAAAATCACTGCGGCATCTCCATTTTGGCTTGGCTAAAGCTATAGCCCCATATATGGCCATGACTCACCCTGAACCCCCCGTTGAGATGCTTTGGCGCTTTTCTGTTGGCTCAATGAGCTTGCTGAAAATGGTCAATTTGCCAGGAGTTACCATCCCCATCACCAAGGGTTGCAGCTACACATCCCAATCACCAACGTCAGGTTACACTCTGGTAATAATCATGGCAAGCCGGAAAATCGTAGATAGATTGGGATTTAATCGGAAACCCATTGAACTAAATAAGATATTTTCCAGCTTGTCATCTTTGATTCCCAGAGGAACTATCCTCAGCAATTCAAGAAAGCGAGGGCAAATGGCCCATTTACAATCATTTAGTTCCATGATTTACCGATTAAATATTATTCATAACAAACTGTTCAATTTTCAGAAAACTATCCCCAACCTTTTGATGATTACCCCAAAATGGAACATCAATGGTTTATCACCAACTATGTTTCATAAAAAATCACATTAGTTCAAGTTAGTTCATATGAATTCCACATATTTCTTCTAGTTAAATCATGTTACCCTCTGGTAATTTAACATAACTATGGAACATCACCATGCTATTAATGGGTAAATCCACTATTTCAATGGCCATGTTCAATAGCTTTTTGTATGTTTACCAGAGGGTAAATCCAAAGTTCGCGCCATTTTTTCACTCCAAAAAACGCTCAAAACCGTTTGGCGGTCGTGCAGAGGTGGCTCGGCAGGTGGCAGAGGTCTACTCCTCCGGGATGCCCAAGGCTGTAGAGTTGGTGAGGCCAGCAATTTTTCTGGGTGGTTGTTAATGGGTGGTTAGTAACCATCCCATTACCCTCTGGTTATGACTAACATAGCCATGGTATAGATGGCCCATAGAAATAGATGGTTGATGGTTTACTTATTAAAAATGGTGATTTTCCGTGGCTATGTTAAATAACCAGATGGTAATATCCAATAATTGGTTGAAATTAATATCCATGAAAATATCCATGAATTCCATTAGAAACCATGGTTGTTTTTGGATGGTTGAAAATCACGGGATAAACTAAGTGGACTGGGATATGAATGAGATAATCAACTCAGCACCGTTTTCAAGTGATTTCGCAACCACCGTATGAAGGCTGAAGCGGTCTGCAGTTGCCGACGCTACGGATCAATGACTGGGTTGGCACCCAATGAACTTGAGTCCCATCACCTTCTGAGTATTTGGACATTTGGACGGACTAGATGTCAGCGGTGTTGCGGTTTAGAACAGACCCATTCTTTTCCAGTTCTGGAGTTTGATTTCGAGTCAGAAATGAGATTATCAATGATGATCATTCACTCCCGTTCTACCCTCTGGTGTCATCAAACATTTCAACATTTCCCAGCCATAGATCGATGATTTTCCCATGTTTCCCACAGGCTGGGTGTGGAAGATGATCGCCACCAGATGAGTTTTTCGGTGCCTGGGGAATCCGATGACTCCGATGAAACCCCTGGGAGCCCGGGCGTTTTGGACGTTTTTCCTAAGCCCTGAGAAATGGAGGTAGATGGTTCATAGATGGTTCATAGATGGTTCATAGATGGTTCATAGATGGTGGTGCATATATGGTTCATATATGGTTCATATATGGTTAATGTTGGTTAATGTTGGTTCATATATGGTTAATGATGGTTAATGATGGCATTCTCCATATTCTCCCATTGAACTTGCTGTTGATCTGGCGCCGTGTTACGACATTTGCAATGGTAATTTCTGCTGAAAGATGCTTGGAACTCACTAACATTCTTACAGAAAGACCAAAGTCTTGAGGTTTCAAAGATTTTAACCCACGCCATTTTTTCGGGGATCTTCTCAGATTTTCTGGTAGCCCCAGTCATCCAGTCGTCATCCGGATGACCATTGAAACATATTGAAACCGTCATGGTGACCACTGTGGATTCGCCAGAAGATGGCTTTTGTGGAGATTGCGGCCAGTGCCACGGCTGCAAAATAAGTGCAACTGGGCTCCCAAATAGGGATGGAGCAGATGCTGCTAGCCTGGCCATCAATTGGGGATCACCAAAAGGCCATGGCCATGAAAATCAACTGAAAAATATCGGGGGTTATCATTTTTGTCACAGATCACAGATGATCACACACCAATTTTCCTCCAAAGATGTTTTGTTGTCCTTCTCATGCCGTTGGTTTCTGAGTTTCAAGTTCATGAAACACGATTAGAATGATTAGAATGATTAGAATGATTAGAATGATTAGAAACAGAGCAACATCCATATCATCCATGATCCATGGCGTTTCTGTTCAAAACTAGGCTTCAGTTCCTAAGACCGTGTTTTGGGGGCAGAAATCCTGAGGTGGTGATGCCAATGTGGCAGCAGCCGTCAGGATGCCTCAGCGGCGCCTTGGGGAGGGTGATTTTGATCGGGTCCAACGCTGGCGACTGAGGTTGGAAAGCGCTACCTCTTGGGGGTAGTCTGTAGCTTAGTACCAGACGAAAAACAGCCAAGGGCACTAGGTTTTCTGGTTGATTTGAAGGCTTTTTCGAAGATTCTGCGGTTCGGATAGAATGCTTGGACTCTTTATGTCTTACACCGAATTATAAACCATCCACAATATGACCTGATTGTTGGGTTTACTCCATTTAGCCCATCCCGTAGCATTAGACGCCCCCAGAAACCTTGGTACTGAAGAATGGTCTTTTAGGGGTCTTTACTGTAATATGCATGGGGGACGGGACTATATAATAGTACAAAGCTGCAATAACCATCTAGTAGCTCTAAGAACCCTGGTTATTAATCAGTCCTCTAAGTGGATTCTCCCAAGCTTCTAACATATATATATATATATATGTACATATAATACACACATATAGATAATATATATGCGATTGCATATTATTACGTACTGTATACACATATAATTATATATATATATGTACATATATATATATATCTATACACATACATATTCCTTTTGACATGCCACAACTTCTTCGCATGAGGAAGGCTTTCCCCAAGACTTTGCGCGTGCCAAGAGTTTCCTTCGCACCGCTATGGGGCAGCGACATCCAGGAGCCCAGGGACTCTTGGGCAACTTGGCGAAGGCTCTATGGGGGTAGAAAGAGGAACAGGTTGAAATCAGAGATTTTTTCGAAATCACATATTTTCGCACATCTATTTTTTCGAGTCTTGGGAGGGGGTTTTCGGAGGGCAAAGTTGAACAGGCTTGGAGTCAGAGGAAATGAAAGTCCAAGTCACAACTATTTCAGCACGGCAAATGATTGGCTGAAAATGTTGCTGGGGAACTCATCAACACCTCTTTGTATGGTGTTCTTGTTTTGCGGGTGGGACCTAGTCTTTGTCTGCAAAGCCAACCAAGCTAGCGATGAATCAATTCGGAAAACGGAGTCATTGTTCTTTAAAGGGGTAGTTGGAAGAAACGAATCAGCATGTGCTTCTTGAAGTTCTTTTCAGTCCCTAGACTTTTCTCATGTAGACTGCCTCATGTGTCATGTGTGAATCAGGTTTTTGACAAGTTCAGATTTTTGACAAGTTCAGATTATTTCTCATCCTTCCAGCTTTGTTTATTGGCGTGCCCCCCATGTCAGGGGCACATGTCAAACACTGCCCACTCGAAGCATCTGGCAGCACTGAGGCTACATGTACAGCCCCTGGGATCTGCAGAAAATCATCGACCGGGTGGGGTGTCCGTCAAAGCATTCTTGATTACTGCAGGGTAGCCTCTTCACAGTGGAAATATGACTTTTTTGGGGTCAATCCAGCCTCAATGTTGAAACAAAAGAAACAGGTCAACTTGTGGAAATTCTTTGCCAAGTGGCACTTTTTCATTAGTAGTAACCTTTTTTGGAAGCGTTATTGGCCGTGGCCAATCACAGGCGTTTTGATGTTTTGAAGTCGAGACACTTTTTTGACCCTGCTGGATGGTATCCTGACACATGGACCATGGGTCAATATTTTCTCGAACGCCAGCCATGACCATGGACCAGTTGGGATTCACCACATTTTGAAAAATCATTCCGAAATAAATGGATCATTCTATGCTTCAAATATCTCCTCAAGTTATATATGGATCAAAAATCGCAGTGGATTTTTAAGAGTCATTCCATGTCATTCCAACTTTCTGGATCTCAAAAATCATTCCAAAGTTCCACAGATTCACCAGATTTCTGGATCTTGTCCTTTGAAATTCACCGAGGCTTAGGCCTTGGCGTTCCCAAAGATTTGGCTCCTCGACATGGCTATCGATAGGGGAAGCTTCAAGCCATGGCTTTGAGGATTGGAGATTAAAACACCTTGAGTTTTTTTTTTTTGTGAAGTTCAATTTGGTTCACCTATAGAGATCGGTAGACTCTAGATCTCGCTATTGATGTTTTTCTTTGACATCGCCTTTGACATCGCCAGAACTTAGGGGGATATCATGCCGATCTCATGCCGAAGAAAACATGTTTTTCATCTATAGGATATAAAACAGCCATCAAAAAACATAAGTTTCGATCGATTCGGATCGACGCCATGTGCCGTTTGTTCCCCAAGGATGTGGCCTATCGATTTTTCAAGGACGCAGCTGCGCAGGATGATCCTCTAGGCGCGGAGTTAAAAGGGGACTGGCCCTGAACTGGCCCGGCCAAGCGGCCAGGCACCAGTTTTTTGGTAAATCACATAGAATTAGCCTCTGGTAAACGTTTACAAAAAACTATGGAACATATTGGAACATCACTATTGTAATAGGTAAATCATCTATAAATGGTCCATGTTCCATAGCTATGTTTGTTTAATGGAGGGTAGATAGATATGGAAAACCCATCAGACATGTACATTTAAACGAGGGAAGCACTGGATTTCTAAAAAGTGGCTTAGTTTACCGGAGAAAAAAATCAACATCCCTAAACTAAATCATGATGAACTCTTCATTGTATCCTCTCTTCAATCACCAATCATAGCCATGAAATCAGCACGGTTTTTATGGGGTATTTCTGGCTTGGGAATGATAGGACTAAGCGCCCGGCGCTGAAAAAAAATCCCCAAATTGTCCTAAAATGGATGTGATTCTCCCTTTAGATTTCATACACGAAAAATACTAGCAATGTGGCAATTTCACCAAATAAATATTAGATCCTGATAGTTTTTTTGCTAGATATTACATAACAATAACCATCTTAAACCATGTTTATTGGATATTTAATCCAATCCCCCTAGAATTAAACACCCCATAAATGGTCCAGTCCCTCTGTGTTTTTGTTTAGAAATACGCGGGGGGGGGTCAGGATTATTAGCCATTATGAACCATTATTAATCATTATTAACCACTATTTAGTAGATATTTGCTAAATATCGTAGTCACAACAGTTATTCACACAGTAATCATATTTGCTAACCATCATCAATCATGATTAACCATTATTAACAATTCAGCATCATCCATCAATGAATCATTAACCACTATTAACCACTATTAACCACTATTAACCACTATTAACCACTATTAACCACTATTAACCACTATTAACCACTATTAACCACTATTAACCATGATTATCATGAGCACTAATGATTATTAACCACTATGAATGGTTATGAATGGTTATTCATCACCATTCACCATGAACATTTATCATTCTCGACCATTAACCACCATTAACCACCATTAACCACCATTTTCATCACCGTCATTCACCACTGGCAGGTCACAACGGCCTGGGTTTCATCTTCTTCCAAGGCACTGGGACGACCATTCGCCAAGATCTCACGATGGTCCGGTGCTGGGACGATGGGACGATGGGTACCGTGGGGCCGTGGGGAGTTCCCCGATTTCACGGTTGTTTTTTTTGGGGATTTCCTTGGGGATTCCACTGTTTTTTAATAGGACCTTGAAATGGGACCTTGAAATGGTCCCAAGAATTCTAATCACTAATGATATGGGGATGATACTGTATACAAAAAATATTCTACTGTACTGGATAAATGATGCTTGGTTGAGAATTAGTTGTGGTCAAGGGGGTTATTGAGATATGAATCTACCTGCCGAATAGTGTGGACACGTTTTTGTTTACCGTGCTGAAAGATGGGATGATGATGATGATGATGATGATGATGATGATGATGTTTTTGTTGTTGTTGATGATGATCATGGATCATGGATGATGGATCATGGATGATGGATGATGGATCATGGACGACAATGAATGGTGGATGATGCTGGGAAATCCTGGGATGAGGCCTTTGAACATTTCAATCGCTCAGCTCATAGGGGCAATGCTGATGGAATGTTCCTTGGCAGCGAGACGTTTCGTTGAATTCATTGGAGCAGGATTATGATTAGCAGGTGAAAACGTGCGCCACCAGAGTGCTGCTGGAAAATTGGACGTCCCATCTTCAGCGCCACATCAATTTGGAGGGTAGATAGCACTGATAGATCCCAGCTCGACAAGTGGGGCAGCAGTTGTGAGTCGATAGCCTTCCAGTTTTTCTCAAGCTCCCATGTCTTCCAGCACACATTGGCATTCAGAAGTCAATGAAGATACCCTCTGGTAAACAGCCACGTAGCTATGGAAAATTACTATTTATCATGGGTAGATCAACTGTTTCTATGGGCCAATTTCCAGTTCGCAAACTCTTAGTTTACCAGAGGGTACAAGACAGGAAACTCCATGAAGATTCAGATTTGCCTGTTTGGGTACTCACTATGATCAAGCTCCAAAAAAACCAACAAAAAACCACAAATGTGAGTCCAGAAAGGTGTCCCATTCAGCCATATGAAGCCTCTGGAAAGTCACACTCCCATCAGATTCCCAATAGAATCTTGCCAGATTTCCATCAAAATCATTGAACAAAAATCATTGGGAATTCCTGCACCTTCCACCTCCAATTTCTCCAATTTCTCCATTTTCAGGTTTAACTTGGCCTCAGTCTACCTCACGGGCAGTGGCACGGAGCAATCCTTTCAAAAAGCGACCCAGTGGTGCGCAGTGATGAACAAGACCCTTGATGGTTGATGATGGGGGATAGGACTAGCCAGGATGTTGGGGAAGTCAACACCCACGAACCTATCAACATCTATCAACATCTATCGACCAACCACTACTCAATCTTTTTTTTCCAGCAAAAACATCGTTTTACCATGGTCTTACCCAAGAAATCTATGGAAACAAAACTGTAGAAATCAGGAGTTAACCAGCAAAACCCTGTTTTTTGTTTGGGACAATAAAAACTGAGGCCCCTTTGGTCCCATCATTTTTTGGTCATCCACACTAATATTTAATAACCATTCTATATGGGAAATGGGGATGGTTAAAATGGATCGGTTTCATGGGCAACATCGCGACCGGGTTTCCGGTGATGTTCCATTTGACCAATCCATGGATTCTTGGAAAATCCATATTGCATCACAGTCATGTCCACCTTACATCTAGAGAGTTCCTGCCATGGGAACCACAGAGGACCTGCCAGGTACACTCAAGCTTTAGATCGTGGTCATACGCCAGCAGCTTATGCGTGTCTTGGCGACCAGAATATGGCAGGTCCAAAGTTGACGGGGGAAAGTTATTTGGCATCAAAGTTCATATGAAACAATTGTAATGTTGGTTCTGATTTTTTTTTTTGCATCGAACCTTCAAACAAATAAAGTACTCTTCAATTTCTTGACAGTTTTCTCTCTTACTTCCTGTGGACTTGGAGTGTGGCATCACATAGCAAGCTGTGTGGGTGATTGTGAGCAACACAATTTTCGTACCCTCCACTATCCATTGTCATCCAGGATGATGCTTGCAACCAATAATTCTTTCCGGGAATCACATCAATCTTATCCAATATATTTTGTCCAATCAATTATATCACCTATCCAATGACCTATACAAATTAAACAATTCCAACAAACATATCCAAAGAAATCCAAGATCTTTTCAATTTTTCAAATCCAGAATCCAATCTTCAACATCTCCAGTGAATTCTCCAGAATTCTCCCCATCTTTGGGTCCAGCCGGGCCGCCCAGCCATAGCCATAGCGCGCCGTCGAGGCTGGCGGTGATGCACCTGAATGGCATCGGCACGGTACGCAACTGCAAACTCGCGGTGGACCTGCTGAAGCGGGTGCCGTGGCAGATCAGCGCTGAACGGGCGGGAGAAAGGAAGGATGTTCCCCGGTGAGTTTCTATGTTATACATACATAGAATATCATAGAATCTATATGTATCTCTTGATCTAATTATGTATATAATTATATAATATTTATATAATATTATTCATATAATTTTACACATTACCCCAATATTATGTATATATGTATATATAAATGTGTATGTACATATCCTCAAGCTGGAAAGTGGAACACATCCGCTCAGGTTTGCGAAAGAGGAAGCTGGGTCACAGAGAAGTTGCTCGTCCGAAGAGACTGGGATAGGTTGGACCAGATATGATCACTTGAGATCAGACTATATATAGCCAATCTATAGCGTCATCTATAGTCATATAGCCATATAGCCAATCTCTACCATATATCAAAGATAAGTTTCCATGCCAATCTATAGCCATCCACACTTCTGAAATCGCGTTTTTTTTTTTGTTCATTGTCTTTTTTGCGAAGGCGTCTTGGTTCAAAGCATGACAGGTTGGAACTGTGGCAATGGCAACGTCCAAAACTGAGCCGCCCATGCCATAAAGGTCACCCTAAAGGTCGCCCATGTCGCTGCATCAACGGCTGCTGAATTCGCCACAGGAGTTGACCGAATTTCTGGAAACTCAAGGCTTTCATGACCTGCCCGATGAGGAGGTGATAACACTGGGAAAATCGAATCTGTTGATTCACGCAGCATATCTTGGACAGTTTCAGGTGGTGAACACCTTGCTTTCCCATGCGGATTTGCGAGCTGTGGCTGAGAACGGTGGAAACGTGGTGGATTGGCTTTGCTTTCGATCCGACACCACCGCTGACTGTTTGGCCTCCGTCCTCCAGAAATGGACCAAGAAGTTCGGCGAATCTGACATGAAAAGCATGTTGAACAGCACTCGGATGAAGCAGGGCACACCTTTGATGTGTGCCGTGTTCGCACCCAATGTGGCGGTGACACAATTGCTGTTGAGGTGGGAGTCATCCAGTAGCTTAAGGCAATCCATCCCATATGATTTCCGATCCAGGTGGGTTCACACCCCCAACATTTGTTGGTCAGCACCATGTCTGTTGGATAACCATCCCCATGTTCTCCGCTGAATTTTATGGTTGCATCTGCATCCATAGGTGTTGTTGCGAAGCCATGTGTTTTCCATGGCAGACATACCAATTTTTGTTGGTCAAACAAAAACTCACACATTTCCCAAATTTCTCATGGTACAAACTCTTCAAAACCCTCAAAAACATATGATTTTCCGATTTTCCCATGATTTTCCCATGATTTTCCCATGGTTTTCCCATTTTTCCCATGATTTTCCCATGATTTTCCCAGGATTTTCATGGTGAAAACCCACCATCCCCCGGTGCCCTCAGATCCGCCGCGGACGTTGGCTCCAGCGCCTTGGATCTGGCAGCGCAGACGGGCGGCCGCCGGGGCCAGCGGCTGGTGACGCTGCTGCTGGAGGCCATGGCGGATCCGAATGTTGGAGCCATTGGAGACTTGGTTTGGATATTTACCCTACATATATATATATATAATAAAAAATATATATACACATATAAATAGATATTTATATTTATACATGGCCTTATATATATAATTATAACTATAATTATATATATATATATATAAATGTATATAACATTGCGGCCAGGACGGGAGTGCGGCCCAGGGAAGTGCGTTTTGACCGCGGGTCAGTGTTTTATGCATTTTGGGATGTCGGCGGACGAGATTTGGTTCCAACACGAAGCGTTGTGATTTCCATAAATGGCGATACCCGATAGCTGGATGGTTGAAAAATCATGGAAAATCCTAAATGGATGTTTTGGGGTGCCACCATTTATGGAAACCTCCATATGTATATATATATATACATATACATAGATATGTAATCTTACCAATTATTGGTCTATCATCATCATCATCATCATCATCATCATCATCATCATCATCATCTCATATCACACATCATCTCTCATATTGTCCATTTTTAGGATAACTAATATATGCGGCTCATATATCCGGCTCATATATCTATTGGTTATTATTGTGATTATACGATAAACCAATGGTTCTTATCTATTTTTATCTCCATCTATTGGTTTTGCATGTAATGATATTATCTATTGGTTTATTTTTATTTTCTATTATCTATGATCTATCATTGATCATTATCTATTATCGATTATCATTGGATGCTGAAAGGAATGCGAGCTGCGGAATGAAGATGGGGAAAATGGGTATACCTAGTATACTTCTATTCAATGATACAATAGTATGTATGTAGATACCATAATATGATTCGTATACTAATAGATAATCATAGATAAACATAGATAATATATGATATATGAGATGTAATAGTACACAAACATAGATGAACATGATAACATTCCCCGAACTAACATGGCAAGCTATGGCAACGGCGCAAGAAAACGTTGGTATACTTCAATAGAATATGATAGGGGATTTTGTCGAATCATAGAATAATGGAAATATGGTTGAAACAAGATTCTAATATGGTTTTTAGAGAGTAATAGTAATATAGAGGTTTAATGTTTAACATAACTAAGCCACACTTCAACCATTCATAGAATAATGTGAAAACTCATATGGTAAAGGGAAACAGCGCAATACAAGCATCAATGGCTGGGATTGTCAGCATCCCCAAATGGTAGGTTTATATAGGTTTATTGAATTTACAACATTACGGATAAGCGGTTTCGTTTACCATGGTGTTTCACCCTGCTCGTAGTTTGGATCAACTTCGTTGGAAGTGAAACCAAGCTTAGCTGGTAAACCGTTGGTATTGCGACAACAGTTGGGACCTGTAATAAAATAAACAAGGGAACAATATAAATAATGGAACCTGGCTGGTCAAAATGTGTAATTATTGCAATCGAACCATCAAAACTCTAGGGACTTAGCTTAAAATCATGGTGTTGTCGTCCGCTAAAAACTTGGGATTTGTAGGAAATTTGGGGTGCCTTGATCCATGGATTCTGGAGTTGGGTGTTGCAAAATGGTTCCTCTTCAACCTGCAGAAGATCCAGCAAAAACAAGAGGTTTTGGTGCCTTTTTGGTGCTGTAAACTGTAGCAGTTTGGGGTACCCACCGACTTGACCCATACCCTACTTACTTATGTTTTGCATATTTTCAAAGACTCCACCAGCACCCAGGACCACTGTTCCTTGCGGTCCAAGAGAACGATGAGACGTCCGTCCGGACCTTGTTGTCGGCCCGTGCACGACCGGGTGGTGTCCCCAATGGGGCCGACACAACGCCCGTGGAATGCGCGGCTCGTTTCGGTTTCCTCGGAGTGTTGAAGTTGCTGTTGGCTGCTGACGGCGCACCGCGGGGTAGCGATCTGTCTGCGGCCTTGAAATTGGCACATGAACAGGGACATATGGATGTAGAGAGGATCCTAATCAAGTCAGGTGCAGCAGATGATATCAAGTTATCTGAGAAGCGAAGAGCTGAAACTATGGATACGGATGCTCAGCTGCTTCCATCTGGATTTCGGGCCGGTACAGATGAGGTTCCAAGTTTCGCAGAACCAAAACCAGAGTCTGAGAAAGGGAAAATCCGAGTTGAAGAAGTTGATGGTTCTTACAAACTTTATTTTCAAGGTGGTGATAGTATGACTGCCACAGCTATTTTGCCCGTTCGCCTATGTCCGGCTCATCCCCATTTCTACTTCGAGGTTGTGGTAGAAGAAATGGATCTTCTGATCGCCGTGGGCTTCGCTCGCAATGCCGAAACACCTCAGCAGAGCCTCCCTGGGTGGACACCTGGAACTTACGGGGTGCATTCGGATGACGGGCTGCTGCAGGCGAACACTTCAGCGACCAGGGTGATGCCGGGATGGAAGGTGAAGGCTGGTAGCACTGTGGGAATGGGTGTAGAGTGGCTGGGTGGTTGAACATCCTTTTTATATTTTTAAGGCATATTTTCCACCTTTTCTATTTTTTGCGGCATTTTCCAGATGATTTTCCCTGGTATTTTCCTGATTTTTCCATCCCTGAAAGCCCATAGGCCATAGGATGTTTTTCCACAAAAACGCGTTTTTTGATGGGCGAACTCGAGGTGGAATGAACTGCAGGATGAATATCATCTCTTTGTGACGTTGGATGGACAGCGGCAACCACGAGAGGTGCCCTTGGCCGAGGAGACTGGTTCACGAGTTTTTTTATGGAAGAAATCCTGCACCAGTTGGTAAATGGGCCATATGCCAAATCCCCGTAGAATGCCATTATTTACGGTGTTCCATAGAGGTTATACTATCATGATACCTCCATTATGCCCCAATTATACCCCCATTATACCATCCATTGTACCTCCATTATACTTGTATCATCCATTATATTATGTATCATACCATCCATTGTACCATCCATTGTACCTCCATTGTACCATCCATCTATTATATAATATAATACAATAAATTATCCAACACAAGATCTCCATTTTTATCCCTACAATTCACCCAAAATGCCTCTCCAACTTCCCCCGATTTTTTAGGACGGTCGCGACTCTTTCGACCTCTGGCCCTTGGTTGGCGCCGACCGCAACGCCGCGCTGCGTGTGAATTTTGGCGCCGCCGCCTTCGCGTACCGCGAGGCGCGGACGGAGGAGATGCTGAAGGCCAGGCAGGCGGCGAAGAAAGCCAGGTGAGAAGCGAAAAAGATGCGCGAAAAATGGTCTGGTGCTTCACCAAGATTTGTGGGGATTTCACTAAAAATGGTGGATTTAAGATTTAAGCAAGAAAAATATGAGGATTTCAGCAACATGGTGGATCTACTAAGTGGTGAATGGAGGGAACTAAGGAGCCGGGGGTATCTTTAATGGAGAGCCAGCTGGAGATTCAATATATTCCCTGTCAAGAGCCAAGGAGCTATGAATTGAAATTCCCAACCACCTACAATTTCCTGGGTGGGTATGGTGAAATAGCCCAAAATGATGGGTGGATGGTGAAACACGATGGATTATCAATGATTACCATAGATCGTGGAGTGTTTTCCAGGAAAACAGATGATTGAATCTCTTTAAGATGGGTGGATGGTGGCGAAACCACAAATTTATCATGGAAAAACATAGAACTCTATCCTTTGATGAAATATCTTGCTGCTTGGTAGACGTCTGTAAGTGGTGGGGTTGGGTGCTTAATGAGGATGGGTCATCCATCTATGAGACCATGGTTTGATGCCGGGAATGCGCATTCATAGCTGATGAGAAAAGCAGAGTTGCCGAACAGCAAAAACATTAGGGGTATGAACCTTCAAGAGTGAGCAGCCGCGACCCGGAAACCATGTTTTTTTTTTTTTTACATGGTGATTTAAGGCCAGCATTTTTTTTTTGGCGTGGTGATTCAAAGCCAGAAATAGGTGCAAAAACGGGACAAGGGGACGACCATCCCATGAGGAACTGGACTCATGGAATGATAATATGATTAATATGACCCATTCCCCCCATATTTTCCACACCCCAACTGGAAACCCAGGGTTTTTTTGTTGGGATTGTTGGGAATTTCCACATTTTTTTGGGACTAAGCATGGGGTGTGTAATATTAGGGTCATGGAATTATTCCATTCTATTATTTGTAAATGTGTAAAGCCCCTAGACGATGATCCCCACAAAGCGTTTTCTTCATCCAATGTTTTTTTTGTCTTGGCAATTCCCGACTTGTCGGTGAGATAGTCCTATGACTTTGCTGTGCAAAGCTACCCGACCCCTCAAAGAAATGGAATGTCTATTGGGTAATTTGCTTAAAATGCAAATTTTGGAGCACAGCATTTTGAGACAAAACCAGACATTTCTGATATGTCTGGTTCGAAAACTCCCATTTTTGAGATCCCTGAAGAAAGGGTAAAAATTATTCATATCACAACATAGTTTCAACCTGAAAAATGGTCCAGTCCCTGAAACCATAGGAATCACACCATCTAAATCCCCCCAGAACGATGGTTCATTAAGGCTTCGGGAAGCCCAAGAGCTTCACAAGCAGAATCGTCCCTGGGCTTCGGGGCTTCCATGGGGAGATTCCCAGGATTTCACCAAGAGATCAATCCCTGCGGAACATGGGAAAACCATCCTGGTTTTATGGAGGAAGTGGATGTGGATGCTAGGGATGCTGCTCCAAGTATGTATTGGATTTCAGCAATACATGGGGATATTGATGGGCTGGATGCCTCTGGTTATAAGAGTTAGCTATGGTGATGACCCATTGACTTCGATGACAACATGGTGATGTTCCGTTCTAAAGTTATGGTGATTTTCCAGTTCCCTGTGTTAAATCACCAAAGGCTATGTTCAACCAGTTTACCTCTGTTTTCCCAAGGATAGTTGGGATTGATATTTGATATTTTAACATGGTCTCATCAGTTGAAGTATACATTGTGTTTTTTTTTTGTGGGGGGAAAACTCACCAGAAATATGGGAGGTTGCCCAGCTCACTTGGAGATTTCACCAACCCGGGGTTTTCAAAAAGCCATGTGTTTTTTCAGACATCTGCGGCTGGTGGTGGTTTCCCAGAGGTTTTACACTCCATCCCCGGGCTGGTCATGCCGTTTTTTTCCATGGCAGTTTTGAAAAGGTGACCTGAAATTGTGAGTGAGATGTTAGTTATCTCATGTTATCTCCACAGTTGGCATAAAGAAAATATACTGTACATGATATCATTTATTATATCCATTGCTGTATATACATCATATCATTTTTTTTCATCATATCATTTACATATCTCCATAAAATGCTGGCCCATAGCCTGGTAGACGTTTGGTAAATCGGCTAGCCCACATCTTTCAGGGATCACATCTTTCAGCGCAGTGGTTTACCAACACACCGAGGCCCAGATGCTGCCGCCTGGCGTTTCCTGAGCTTGGCGGAAGCCGGGCATGAGGTTGGCGTGCTGGGTTTTCCAGTTCCTGCGATTTAAAAGTCTTGTAGCAAACAACTAAGACAGAGGAACATGAAAAATATGAAAATAGAACATGATCACCAAAATTTCGTGAAGAGCAGGGTACCAGACTTTGGATCGCCAGCGATTTAATTTATGGAGATACCAATTCTTGCTGCAGATATCCCATTCATTCGGTTGGCCATCCAAAGAACATGCTCAGATCCAGTCGGTGTTGCAGATCCATTGAATCCATTGGTCAAGGCCACTCGCCAGCGCAGGTCGCACAGATGAACGCGGCCCAGCTATTTGATAGTGGCCTGGGGGCCCAGGTACTGCCAGCTGGATGAACTAAGCCTCTAAGCTTTCTGCAGCTGGGAAGCAAGGTCAATCCTCGTTGCTGGTGAATTCCAGTCTGGGTCTCAGCTCTCTTTCCGTTGAACGCAGCCGGGGAGGGCCTGTCTGATTTGGCCTTTCAGTTCCCAGGTCAGCCGGTGGCGCACGCCCTGCAGGTCTCGGAGTTTGCACTCACATTGAAGCCAGGCTTCTGAAAATCAGGTCATACGAAAAATCAGGCCACCACCAACACCATGTTCATCATGTTCAATCATCCCCTTCACCATAAACATTGCAATTTCTTGCCATTTCATCTGAGAGACAATTTCGCAGACAAATCCATTTTTCATCCACACAGTCGCTTTATCCACACATATTATTGTAAATGTTTTGTTGATAACCACCACATTTTTTCATGGTTCCACTCGAACAAAATGGGGATGGGTCAACACCTTTAGCATGTACATGTCTTTTTTTTTTCGTCTGAAATATAGCTATGGATCAATACCTATACATACCATTTTTAGGGGGATGAACATCCATAAATCCCAGCTATTTTGATGTTCACCAGGGGGATAGGGTTTTGACCCATCCCCATATCTTCGGAGGGGATCCCATCAGTCAGCAGGAGCAGCGCGATGGGCGCTTCTTGGGTCGCGCCTTTGCGCAGCGCCACTACGAGCTCTCCGCTGAGCAGGGCAACGCCTTCTCGGAGCGGGGTGGAGCTGGAGGGAGGGACGACTTCACCGATGGATGCAGCAATGGGATTGGGTAAGAAGGTTAGTAAAACAATATACCCTCTGGTAAACTAACATAACTATGGAAAATTGTCATTTTTCATGGGTAAATCCACTATAAATTGCCATTTTCAATAGCTACGTTAAATTACCAGAGGGTAGATCATTAGTTGATCCAGCGTTTTTCCAACTTTATCATGAACATTTGCAACTTCATAAAGAAAGGTGGTTGACAAGATGAAGATTTCGTTTCGACACAATCCATTGGTGAATTTTGGGGGGATTTACCAATGGGACCGCTATGAACCACTGATAAACCAGGGAGAATTCCTTGGGAAATTTGCTGATTCCTAGACCCATTAGACCTGTCATTGGTGGTCATCAATCACTGGGATTGTCGAGGCAGCTGTGAATGGTGAATGGTGAGGTGTTACCACTGGGAAATTGATCAGCCCCATGTTGAGATGCTGGGAGGAGATGATTTAAACTGGGTCGACTTCATCTTTTTTGGATAGTCGGGTTAGAACTTGTCAGATGTTGGTATAGATTTCTTGTCCATTTTCCTAAGGGGATGACAAAACAGTATGGGAACCAGGATAGACCTTCCTCGACAACACCGAAAACTTTCCACACTCACTGACCTTTGGAAGGTTTTGTTTACAGTAGTGCTCTTGTTGGAAAGTTGACTTGGACATGGCTGTGCAGATATGATCTGGTGATGATATTTTGCACAGTTTCCCCAGAAAATGCATGGATCTTCGTGGGCTTGTAGCCCTCAGCAATTCGAGGAGCTTCGATTGGGGGACTATGCCTACTACGGCCAGATTTCCTCAGGTTGAAACAGACCCCCAAGTAGGATGCTATGATATCACTTGGGGTATTGAAGATCACTTGGGGAACTTGAAACTACATCTTTCAATTGTAATCTTAATCTCTTAATCCATCCAGAACAGCAACTAGATCTTTGACTTCTAATCATTCCAATCCCAATCCGGAACACATTTCTTTACTGCTCCAAACGTTGCCGTCGTTCGAAAAGCAACGGCTCCGCCCAAAATCGGATTTTTCGGGGCTCGATTTGAGGTTGGGGCCTCCGCTACAGCGACCAGGTCGCAGAGGTGATCCCTGTATATCCCTGGGGGATGAGACCAGTGTTTTTCGGATGGATCGATGGATCAATTTTTCAAATTTCACCATTTTTGGTTTTTTTGGGAGATTTTTGGATAGATCTAGAATCTATAGAGCTTGTTCCAGTATTTCCAGTTGCCATTTGAATTTGAGTCGGAAAAACAGGGTTCATTCCAACATCTGACATGCGTTTTTTGGGTGGTTTCACATATTTTTGTTCCCAATCCCAACAGGAAAGAGCTGATCATCCCGATTTTTCTCGTGTCCCGACCTCACAGGAGGATTTCGAGTCCAATGACACGTGGCAACTCTCAGCTCAGGACCAGACACACTGATCAACTAGGCCCCGGTACCCCAAGTACCCTAAAATAAATGGTTAATGGATATTATTGGAAGGTTATTCCCTCAAAATATGGGAATAACAGGTTTTGACCCATACCATTTATTTTTTTTCTGGATAAAAACAACAGCAGTTGATGTACCAGGCTTGGGAGATTCCTATTTTTGAAAGAAAACAACATCTTTGTTTACGGTGACATGCCAAGATTTTCAGGGTGACGATCATGCATGGTGATAACTGGGATGGATTTGGAGCTGGGCCAAAATTTCTAGCCTCTTTTGGGCACCGAATTGCTTGACAGGATGGAGAATGGTAGAACCCGTTTCCTCTGCTTTTGCCACAGGGGCTTCCGTTGAAATCATAGCAGTAGAGGTACTGGTTGGTGGTTTGGAACATATTTTTTATATTTTCCCATTCAGTTGGGAATACTCATCCCAACTGACGAACTCATATTTTTCAGAGGGGTAGGTCAACCACCAACCAGGGTATTAGTTTGCAAGGGATTCCGCGAGGTTTCCAGAGACATCTAGTTGATTTGTGGCTTGGGTTGCTAGAACTATCAACGAAAAGGGATGCCCAGATGCCAAGCCATCAATCAATGCAACATTATAACATTATCTCTGGTTGGTGGTTTGGAACATTTCTTATTTTCCATTTCATATATGGGATGTCATCCTTCCCATTGACGAACTCATATTTTTCAAGATGGTTAAAACCACCAACCAGTTATCTATTTTTTGAAACTGGTGGTCATATCCGAGGACACTAACGTCGTTCAACTAACAGTTGTGGACACCAAAGTGACACAATTTAAGGATCCACCCAACTAACAGTGTGGAGGGTCCTGAGCAAAAGAAACCCAATGAATAAAATCCTCCAAACATTGGGATAGAATATCATCAAGAAAATTCGTTGGGGCATAGTGCTGCATAGTTACATCAGACACCATTTTCCCATCATTTTTGCAAGATCCCCTCGCCAGATTTTTGATGGCGCTTCCATGACGGCTTGAAGCGCCTGCTTGGGTTGACCCATGTTTGTTCGATAAGCTGCCAGTCCTGTTGTTGAACATTCCCATTACTTGTCCATTGTGGTTTCTGCACTTATTTTTTGAAGTCATGGCATTCACATCCTGCATATTCCTGAACCATATATCCGAAAACATCATTCGAGATCCACTTATGAATGGATATCCACAAGAAATTAGGAACATATGAATAATATAAGAAATTTGTTTTTTTGGATATCCACATAAAACAATAAAAAAACATATTAAGATTGTGGCATTCAAACATCATAAAAGCATCCATACTCAATACCCATCCAGCTCAAACCTGCACCAGGAGACAGACCTGGACCTATCGTTGGCACATTACAGGTGGCTCAGTTCCCATGATGCCATTGTTTGTTGGGGGCGCCATGGGTTTTCCCACAAGGGAGGGACTTCACCCGCGAATCTTGTGGGCTTTGACCTGGTTGAACGGTTGAAGCAATGAAGAATGATGAAGAATGGACATGGCTTTTGTCCGAAAATGGCAGCCTTTCATCTCCCCAAGAGTCATGTTTTGGTACCCCAAAAATGCATGGTGTGAGATGTTGTACCCCATCATTTTCGACATCTTGGATGATCCACCCACAGGCGTACAGCCACGATGCGCATCTCTGGGGAATGGATGCAGCCAGGGCCCTAGGGCCTGGTTAGACTGGGGGTTGATCAACTGTTGATCATCATGATCAGTTCAATGGCCATGCAACAGGAACCGATGGATTGGAGGTACCTTCCATTTATAAGGCCTATGTTTTTGGCCTATGTAAGGGAACATCCCCACAAAATATGGCCTTATATAGTACGGTACCTCCATTTTAGGATCCTGAAATTCCCATTGATCAGTTGCATACTTTGTTATCAAGTTATCATCATTAGCATTAAAATGATATATGATCATGGGGTAACCTGATGACTCATTGTCATCATGGTCATGACTTTCCTATCATCATTGTCATTGACCTTATTAACCACATTGAAGCCCTAATTCTAATGACAATGATGCTATGTTTTTGAACATCGATGTGGCTTGGCCCTGGCGCCACATGGAACCTGTGATCAGCAAAAGTGACTGATCCGCCGAGGCCTTTCGTGGCCCGCGCCAGCTTCAACTTAGGCGGCCCGGGTCCTTCAGGGTCCACCACATCGGTGTGATCATCTTCAGTTTGAAGATACATAAAAATCTTACGAAAACATGAGCGTTTCTCAACATCAACCTCATGAAAGCAGCATGTTTTTTCTTGATGAAAGTGATGAAAGCATATGGCATATTAAATTTTTAATTCACCCCCCAGGTTCCAATATGTTTCACGTCCCCACTATGTGTATTAGTTACATCCCCACTATGTGTGGGGCTGGTGCCAGGCTACATGTACCAATTTGGCGTGGGAGTGGAGCCCGAAGCCCCGGCTGACCTGGTTGAGAAGGACCTGGTTGAGAGTCATGGGGGATCCCAGGTCACCATGGCTTACGTTTCGATAGTCATTGAAGTCACCAGGGTCATCACGGGTGATCCATGTCTTCGATGTGATTTTTTTGGGGTAGCCCAAAAATGGAGGGTTTCTGAAAAACTTCCGATGGGAGTGTCCAGTGATCATTCCATGGATCATTAATGGGGTTATTAGGGGCTTTCCATATACATGGGGGGGGATATCAGGGGATATCCCAAAAATGGATGGTTTATCATGGAAAATCCATCTATAAATGGATGATTTAGTAGGGGTATTTTTATTTCAGGAGACATCTTGAAATCCCCTGTGAGGACGATCCGTGATACCCGCCGCATCCAGCCGGTGTCAGTAGCTTGAGATTGTCACCATAAAATGATGTTGATGAATACAGCTTAATAAATGTATGAAATACAGGTGGAAAATCAACATCATAGTGTTGTACTAATATGATTTGACCATATTTAACAAGACATGAAGATAGAACATGGCTGAATCTCCCCGGCTTTTTCCACCTATTTTTTGTTGCTGAATCGATCTTCCCCCGATTTTTAGCATCGCGGAGGCAAGACTTGCCGCTGGCGCAGCGCTTCTATGGCCAGTCGGCTGAGGCAGATCCAGGCACGGCGGGGTACTGATTTCAATGGATCTCGATGGATTTCAATGGATCAAAGGATTTAAGTGAACATTTCAGAAAAAAAATCTATCAACTGATTTCAGAAATCCTTGGGACATTTTAGTTGATGAAATATCAACATTTTCAAAGGATTTCAGAAAAAATCTATCAACTGATTGCAGAAAAACATAAATTTGCCAATTGATCTCAATGGATTTCATCAAACATTGGTGGATTTCATAGACATTTCATCCATTGGTGGATTTTTCCACTAAAATTTTGGGATCTCAATGGATTCCATCAGGTTTTTCACTGCCATGTGCTGAATTTTCATGGATATGGGTCCGATGGTGAACCCTTAGATTCCTAAATATCATCATGTTCATTCATTCCCCTATTCAAGTGGCCATTCGGTGCGACAAAAAACATCAAAAAACTATTTTCAAAGACGGAGTGAGGGTCTCGAGATTTTAACAATACACTCCAATGCATCCGGCTGGACACCAAGACAGGCAGCCTACACACACAGTGCCACAATATGTGTCAGATAAAATGTCGGATAGGTGAGAATCTATGCCACGGTGGAGATCAACCGAAGAAAGACATTTATATAACTTGTGGTTGTTGTTTTTTGGTCATTTTTCCCCGACATCTAGATCCCATCTGGCCATCCATGCTGAGGGAAAAAAAAGGGGGTCGCAGGTGCAGTGCAAACTCCCTTGGCCATCATGATGGCGGTTCTGGCTCTGCAACACTTTCTGGTTTGGCGCCTCAGGGAAGTGATCTACAAGATTTTTTTAGTTGTGGGTTTTAATAGGCATTCTTGCAATCCATGACTATGGAAATGAAGGGAACACTATGGTTATGGGCAGAAGCATGTACCGTACATACCTCATTTCTGGCTCTCCGATCTATGAAAAAATGTGGCTTCCCCCTGACGAATCCGATCGTATTCCATTCACAAGTTCAAAATAAGTTATATAATGTTATATATATATATATATTTGTTTATGGGATATAAACACATGACATATTATATATATATTATATTTGATTATTTGATGATATTCCCTTCACAAGTCCAACATATCTCCCATTAGCTGGCGGTTTCCCACATTTTCTTTTTCCGATGATCAGCAACTAGACATCCAACATCCAGCATGCCCGGCCGAATTCAAGACGCCTGGCCATGGTTTCCCTCTGGTTATGACTAACATAGCCATGGAAGCCATGGCCCATAGAAATAGATGATTTTCCCATTAAAAACTCCATTTATAAGGGATTTTCCATGGCTATGTCAAATAACCAGAGGGTAACTGTTATTTTAACGGCCATTTTTCAGTTCGCAAGCTCTTCTTTCCGGAGCATCTGTCGAATTGTCATGGCCGGATTGCAGCCCAGGCTGAAGTACCAGAACTAGAGGCTGGGCTGGGATGACGCCAGGGTGAATTTACCATGGGTAAATTGATGTAAATTGCCATAGAAATTGCCATACCCGGAATATGGGCGAATCCCCGCATGGGATGGAGATCCATTTTTCCATGTGATGGCTGATGCTGATGCTTCTTGGGGAAGTGCTTCCCATTTTTGGAGGCTTTGTTTGTGCTGATCGGGCGCATGGGGATCGTCCACAGCTGGGGTTATGGTCATTAGGTCCCAAAAAAATGAAGGATACTAGGGATAGAAGTGATATGACCAGCTAGACATAGACTGGAGTAGATGATAATCACCCATCAGACAATAAGTGATATAAGTGACATAAATTAGATAATTAGATGCAACCTATGAGATACAGGCTTGGTGTTTCTTGGCTGATTTCCAACATGATACGGTCGCCACGGCCAGGCGTATGTCGCCACGGTCAGCGCCGATGTTCGCTTCCACATCTTGTTGGTCCGGCAACCCACTTGTGGTCCGGTTTCGGCGGGGTCACCACTGAATCAAAAAAAGTGACACACCATACCCAATTTTTGTGGTTTATTGTTGGCTATACTGGTATATATATATATATATGTATGTATATATATATATATACATATGGATCATATATTATACCTATTCTTATATATATATATAAAACACCCCCTTACTTGGGATGATTTATGATGGTCTCCTACCGTGTTTTCTTTTGGGACGGTTCATGAACTGTGGATCCGAGGCGCACATTTGCGCCATCCTGATCCTTGTCGTCATGCGAAGGACCCACGTGGGGGCGCCGTGGCAACCACGTCCGCTTTGTCGAACTGAACCAGTCACTGTTTTGGTCGACATGGAATTCTCCAATGAAAATTGTTCTAGTGATTCTAGTGTTACTGTTTATTCATGGTGGTTTGATCTGTGGATATCGGCACAGGGTTGATGAATGCTCTCTTCATATGGGACCCCAGTTATCAAAATGACGAACTATGGTTGTTCCTTTGGACATGGCCCACTTTCGGTCGGCGAACAGAAGGTGCGAAATGTGCGTCTTGCAGGTTTCCAGGAGCTTGGCGAACAGAATATCTGTTGGGAGAACCAACTGTTTCCGCTGGCAGGCCCAAGAGAGCGGGGACGTCCAAAGGACGCCTCCCTGCGATTCGCAAATTCTTGGAGATACGCCATACGCAGTAAAAGTTGGGAATCTTAGGTTCTTGGCGTAGCGGCAGCAACACTATACAGACACGCACTCCTACGGAAGGTCGAGAAATCTCTGGTTTTCTTCAGATTTCATGATCTGGTTACCTGGTCATGAAAAATCACCTACTGTGCCGAACTACGACGCAGAGTTCGCAAGAAATTTCTCACTGGTTTTCTTTTTGAAGCTGTGACACACCCCACTTTCAGCCCATCAGCCCAGACGTAACCCGTAACCAGACGCTGGGTGCTCCATCCACCAGTGGCTTTCCCTGGCAGCGCCATGGAGAAACGTCAAAAGGTGATTAGTCTGTTGCGACAGCTGCACCAAGAACTACATGGAGGTTTAAGGCTGGCTCCGCCTGCGGGAATCTGGGAAAGGTTTTTCAGATCGGTCAAAGATAGGAAAAATATGGAGAAACATGGTAGAAACATCGACCTATTGTAGCCTGTTGTGGTTAGTTTCACTCCTTCGATAGGATCTTCGCACAATTTTACATTGGCCCCCAGAATCACGAGAAAAAATGATGGTTTTCATCCTGAACTGCCTCAGCTTTGGGTATACCCTCTTCAAACACCTAGAACAAGGGTATATCTGGTTGTCTTTTTCCTTTTGTCTTCAACTTTTACATACTTTTACTATGCTTGGCAAATCCCATTTATCCCAATATTTTGCTGGTTATAATTATTTCCGATCAATTACCCCACTATATCCCCTTGTATACTTACGTAATGTTACTGCAATACCAATCATCACTTAATTTCTAGGTCAACACTTCATTAAATATCACCAACAAAAATTGGATCTTCCCATGTTTTTTTTGCTCGATTTTTTCGATCATCCCATAGCAGCTGCGCAACCTGCGCAACGATCCAGGCATCATCATTTGTCTGAAGTACTTATCGGCCTCGGTGTGGCAGAGAAAGCGGCCACTTGGATGAGAATGAGGAGTCCTCGGAGTCCTCTGGGAAACTAACAGAACTAACATTTTACTATGGAAAATCACCATGTTTAACAGGTAAATCCACTATACATGGCCATTTTCAATGGGTAAATCCACTATAATTATGGACAATCACCATGTTTAATGGGGAAATCCACTATAAATGGCCGTTTTCAATGGGTAAATCCACTATAATTATGGACAATCACCATGTTTAATGGGTAGATCAACTATGTCAATGGCCATTTTCAATAGCTTATTGTTTGATGATAGAGCCTAATAGAAGTCGCATGAAAATGCTGGATTTTGCCCCGAATGGAAATGATGCCAACAAAAATTGAGAGATATTCATAGGCAATAAATAATGTAAACATATATAGTGTTTTTTCGCAGAAAAGTACGCCAAGAAGTGCAATGTTTTTTGTTTGCAAAGAGGTACAGTATCAGTATGTCCTCAAAAGACGCAACAATCATTCCTCTTTGAAGCATTCCCTAGAACAGTATTTGCAAAAAAGTGCAGCCTTCTCTTAAAGCAGCACGATCATTTACACGTTCTGCATTTTTGCAGAACGTCAGGTGTGTAGTTGCAGAGATGCCTCATTTTTTTGAAACGCGAAATAGTTGTTGGACAGATGCAGATCAGTAGATTGCCTTGCAAGAAATGCATTCGTCTTGCAGCGAAGCAGTTTTCATGCAAATCATGCAATGATATCTCTTTCAAAGCACACCAGTCAAGCAGTATTCCAGCAAAATATGCAGCATGCTTTATTGCATGATGCTGCATTCCATTCAAAATTGCAATAGATTCAATAGATTTTGGAATGGGGCAGCATTTCTCTTCAACATCTGCAGTATTCCTTTGAACATCACAATTTTCACTTGGAAGATGCAGTGTGCTGTTAAAGAAATGCCGTTTTCTGCCAGAAGTGCAGCATTCCGAAGCAGCCATTCCCAGTGGCAAATCAGTGGCAGACGATCATTGGAAATGCTGCCATGGGGATGGGTCAACATCTACCATATTTAGGGGAATCTATCCATTTATTCATCAGCTACTTTAGGGTACCGTTTGAAAAGTGTGGGTGGGTTTTGAATGCCCCTTGACGAAAATAGCCATATGATATCATATGATACGGAAAAGAATGATTTCATTTCCACGTGTACCAGGATCTTAAGAGTCACAAAGAGAGCAAGCTGGACATCGATTCAAATGATTCCAATTGGTTCCAACGGGGTTGTCAATACTTTGTACCTGTGGTACCCCTAACATATGGGGATGGGTCAAAACCCTGGTACCTAGTGAACCCCAAAATAGTTGGTAAATGGATGTTCATCCCACTAAAAATGTATCTATAGGTATTGACCCATACCCATATCACGATTCATCATCATTTTCCGCATGAATTTTGGTCTGATTTTTTTTTGTAGCTCCAAATCCTGCTGGTTGATCAGTATTTTTGTGAAACAAAATGGTCATCAATTGGACTGAACTGGGGTATACCCTCCGGTAAACTAACATTTTACTATGGAAAATCACCATTTTTAATGGGAAAATCCACTATAAATGGCAATTTTCAATAGCCATGTTAGTTTACCAGAGGGTATCATGGGTATATCCCATTTTCAGAGACCCAAATCACTCCCAACTGGTTTTTTTCACCACGGGTTAGAGTCACCAGGCGCTGAAAGTGGTAGAGCTCTTCGTCGAAGCGTTCCTGGGATGTTCATTTCACGGGATTTGGGATGGTGAAATGTGGGATCATGGGCATGTTCTGGATGACTCAATTCTGGTGCATAGACCTTGTTTTTTCTTATGGGATTCTAATCCTGGAATGGGAGAATTGGAATGGAGCATCTTGGGATCTTTTTTTCGAATGTAGCCTCTGGGAATCCATGGATGGAAACTCCCCAGTTCGATGATCTTCCCATGCACAAACCGACGGTTTTTTTTCGGGCCTTCTGAAATCTTGAGGCGTAACCCCATCCACCCCATGCTACAACCCCGGCTGGTTTGTCTCAACATGGGGCATTCAAACATATGCGAAGATTAGATTTGACTTGTTTTGAAGCCGGACAAACATACGCTGATCATATCTGATCATCATATTTTGGGAGAATTCTCCAGTTGATCCATGATATATATTACCCTCTGGTAAACATACAGAAAGCGACATGGAACATGGCCATTGACATAGTTGATGTACCCATTAAACATGGTGATTTTCCATAGTTGAATGCTAGTTCACCAGAGGGTATATTCCCATAGTTGCTAGTGAAATCCAAATTTTCCCATGATATTCCCAGAGTATTCCCATGATATTCCCATGATATTCCCATCATATCACCATATTTTGGGCACCCATTTTTTCGTCGACGGCGTAGCGCGACGCGTAGCGACCAGCAAGGACAGCGACCGAGAATGGGCGGGAAGACCTTCCGGCACCTTGGAAGGACGAAGAATTCGTTGTTTTTGTTTGAAATGGATGTGAACCTTACAGACATGGATATCAACCCTATCTATCCTTATCTAATGAGCAAGCCGTTAGTTGTGTTTGAAATAGTAGCAAGCTTTATCTTTGGAATGTCTCGCTTTTTCAAGGAATGTTCTGACCCGCAAGTGGCTTGATTTCTGGGGGGCAAAATGGGGGTGAAGAGTTTGCTATAGAAGCCATGGCCAATTTCGTGCCATGATTTAGCTATTAGCTCAATGGTGATTTTCAATAGCAAACGGTTCGTCACTACCGGAGGATAGTGTGCCAATATCATCTACATTATCATCTATATTATCCTCCATATATCATGCACATATCCATTGCCACAGATATGACAGCATGGTTGGCTCCATCTTTGCATCTCCAGTACCTCTCAGGTTCGCTTCATGGACTGGCTGTGTGCAGGACACCCATGTGTGATGGGCTAGAGTTGATTGGGTGTGTGGAGTTAGTGATGGGGCCCGTCATCACCATCATCATCATCACCACCATCATCATCATCAGCATCAGCATCAGCATCACCATCATCATCATCATCATCATCATCATCCTCATCATCATCATCATCATCGTCATCGTCATCCTCATCATCATCATCATCATCATCCTCATCCTCATCCTCATCCTCATCCATATCGATTAAAAATCATTAATAACCATTGATAAACATGGCATACACATTGATAAACCACTACCATCATCATCAGCATCGCTTCCAGACTCTGTAGGAGTAGCGGACGCCGACGCTGCGGATGCACCTCTGAAGGTTTTTCGCCGCACTGTGGGTGCTTGAGGGTTTGTGATTGTAGTTATTGAAGTTCGAGTGTTGAAGTGCATCCGGGTCCTAGCTGGTGATTTTCTTGGATTAAGCATGATTAAGCTAAGATCTGTGCATGAAAGATCTGAAAGCACGGAAGGGCTGGTTGTCACAAACAGGGAGATTTCCAAAGAATAGTCTCACTTAAGGACCCACTTTCTGTGCCTCTATGGCTTTGTGTAGCTGCCTTTAAAAGAACTACCAGGACCTTTGAAACTTATGCACTTCGTATTCATCAGAACTTCAGTTGGGTGCCATTCTTGGATACTGATTTTGCTCTCGGAGAAATCGGCTTCAAAATTGAGCCTCCAAATTCACATAGTTCTGCGCATATTT